TTCCACGGTCGCGAATGGCACCTTATCATAAGGTACCTAGGCAGTGAAGTGGACGAACACAAAAAGCGACAACAGGGCAGCTTGAACCCCGCGCGCGCGCGCGCGGAGTCTCGGTGTGCATGCTGACCGATTACATAGCTCCCCACATGTGACAGTTAAATGACAGTATGTTCAGTACTTACGTAGCATCGGCTCCTGACTCTGGCCATTGTCATGTGCAGTTGAGGCGAGCTCAACCAAGGGCATCCTCACAGCCAGTGGTGATTGTGTGCGTCTTTCCAGCGAGGCAAGTGCCTCGTCGGCGCCTTCCGCCCAAGGCACCATTATCTAAGGTGCCTTACTTGAGATACCTTCGCGCGCGGACATGACGCACCGCCGTGAAGACACAACTGTCTGTCTGATCACAAAGAAACACCAGCATTACCTCACCACTATAAATTTAGTCTATCTTTCCCTCATGCTTTTGGCGGTCGGAGACAGCCTCGTCCAACATGCCACTACTATGCAGAAGGCTTCGTCGTCCGCGACATGCGCAAGTCGGTGATTATCCGCAATCAGCTGTTGATCCCATGACGCACAAGCCAGCAGACGAGCCTCAAGCGCCTGGTTCCGATAATCCCCCAGACGCTCGGCAGACAGGGCAGCAGCAGAAAAAGGGACTGACAGATGACCGCAGATTGGACCTAGAGAATGTCGTGCGGACCGTAGCATCGCTTCCTAACGGCACGGCTCGACGAGGGCTCACAGGGCCGATAATTGCTGAGCTGTAGAACACCCTTGATCACCCTCCACAGTCTTTTTTCGGAGAGCCTTACCGATACCGACAGGCAGACGGCTCCTACAACAGTCTTTACAATCCATCTCTCGGCAAGGCGGGATCATCATACTCGAGGTCCGTCCAACCAACGGCATGGCAACCATCAGCCTTACCCGAGCCCCAGCTCATATTTGACACCCTACTGTCGCGCGAGGATGGAGGTTTCAAGCCTCACCCAAACGGCATATCTAGTGTTTTCTTTTACCTAGCCACTATCATCATACACGACATCTTCAGAACATCGCACGATGATCCCAGCGTCTCCCTCACGTCGTCCTACCTTGACCTTGCCCCGCTGTATGGTGCCAATCAAGACGAACAGAACACTATAAGGACCTTCAAGAATGGCAAGCTGAAGCCAGACTCCTTCTGCGAGAAACGCACCCATGGCTTTCCACCCGGGGTCAATTGTCTCCTAGTTGTCAGTGACAGGCCGAGTGCCCCTGACAGCGGTACACCTACTGACTAAACAGTTCTTCAATCGCTATCACAATTGGGTTGTGGAAAGACTGGCAATGATCAACGAACGCAACCGGTTTTCACAGCCTAGCAGAACCCAAGATTCGAACACGAGGAAACGAGCACTTGAGAACCTCGACAACGACTTGTTCCAAACAGGAAGATTGATTGTATGCGGTCTATACGTTAACATGATTCTCCACGACTATCTCCGCGTCATTCTTGGCCTCAACCAGACGGCTTCGACCTGGTAAGTTCTCTACCAAACTGTGCGTCAGCTCAAATATCAACACGTATTCCAGGAGTTTAGACCCCCGAATGGATACAGACACGGAAAAGATCCCTCGAGCGGGCGGAAATCAATGCAGCTTCGAGTTCAACCTGTGAGACACAAGACATACATCCGAGCAGACCATTTTCTGACAGTCGACAAAGGCTCTATAGGTGGCATTCGGCAATCAGCGAGAGAGACGAGAGGGTACTGAACAGTCCTCGAGCCCACCACTATTTCAACCCAGCTGATCTCTTACCAGTGGTTGGATGCACATCTTGAGTCGTTGCTTCGAGACCTTAAAGATAGGATGGGGGCTCCAGACTCACATAGCTTTGCAACCTTTGAACAGTCTGTTGCAAGTGAGCCCGAACGACGCACTTTTGGTGGCTTGACAAGAGAACCGGATGGACGTTACTCTGACAGCGATCTTGCTCGGATTTGGGTCGAGAGCGTCGAGGATGCTGCCGGTAGGCAACTTTAAGACAATGCCCTTTCTTCGTCTGACAAGTGGTAGGGGCATTCGGCCCAAACAATATCCCACGAGCACTTCGTATGATTGAAGTTATTGGCATAAACCACGCTCGCGCCTTGCGTGTAGCTACTCTCAATGATTTTCGCGAGTATGTATTCAACTTTTGGCATAGGGATCGGCCTGACACTTCAGTCTCTTAGGTATTTTGGCTTGCTTCCTTACACATGCTTTGAGCACATTACCTCAGACCCCGCAGTAGCACAGCGCCTCCAGGCTCTTTACGGGCAACCGGACATGGTTGAACTCTATCCTGGTCTTCTCAGCGAAGATGCCAAACCATTGATGATACCCGGTAGTGGGTTGTGCGCCCCCTATACGCTGAGTCGAGCCATACTCTCCGATGCAGTAAGCTTAGTTCGCGGCGACCGGTTCTATACTATCGATTACCATACAGGCAACCTCACAAACTAGGGGTGAGTGCTTTCCATATGTTTCAGAAAGAGTAAAAGCTAACGAGATCATGAACAGATATCATGAGGCTGCGTCTGATGTACTGGTCGACGACGGATGTGTGTTCCACAAGCTGGTATTGCGAGCCTTGCCAACTGCCTTTTCCCCTAGCAGTATATACGCTCACCTACCGTTGGTTATGCCGACGACTAACCGCACCATCGTGGAGCGCCTACAGCGAGAGTCTCGGTACTCCTTCGATCGTACACGGACTTTGAGTCCTCAGGTCCATATTTCTAGTCCTCTTGCCGTCAAGGAAATCCTCCAGAGTGACGCCTTTGCAGGCGATAGCTGGAGACATCAGCTGACGTACTTGATGGGGAAGCCTAATCACCAGATGGGCCTGTATGGCGATGCGACTGATTTCGAGCAAAGGCGAGCTCGCCTGGAGAAGACTATCTTCTGCCCAAGCCTGGAGAAAGAGTTCAGAGATTTGTTCAGTCAATTATCAAGATGCATCTACCCAGAGGCAGAGAAAATCGGAGAGCTTCCCCAGACACTGCAAATCGACCTGGTTGCCTGTTTCGCCAATGCCAGTATGTTTATGTCATTTAATGATGTCCATACAACCACTGACTCTTTGAATAGTACCCATCAACTTCGTTGGTCATTTGCTGCCATTGCCTCTGAAGTCGCAGGTAGACGTTGACGGAGCGCACACCCCAGATGATCTTCACTCCGCACTCGTGGTAAGTCCACCTCATTTTCTTTAGTTGTCACTAATGTTGATGTTTTGAACCAGTCGATCTTTGCCGTCTTATTCTTGCGACTGGACCCGGTCTTGTCATACAATATCCGTATCGCAGCCCAGCCTATTGCTGCGTCGGTCGGTGACAACCTCGAAATTGAAATAAGTAATGTCCCGGCTATCATGCTGCTGCTTGACGACGAGGATCACCAGTCAGAAAGTCGGGACCCTGAAAAGAAATTGAAGAAGCTTGGCTATGAGTTCATTCGCAAGTTGCTCGTTGCAGGCGTCAGCGTTTGTCAAGTTGCCTGGGTCGATGTCATCCCTGCGCTGGCTGCATTCGTCGTCAATCAATCTCGCATGCTATGCCAGGTTGTTGACTACTATTTGGGACCAGGGATTGAATACTGGCCTCTTTTACAAAACCTAGCAGCCTCAGATGAACATGGCCATGATGACATGCTGCTGCATTATGCGCTGGAGGCCATCCGTAAGTTGTTCCATCTGTCCATCGGTGAGCGAGGTTACCTAACCCTGTGGTGTAGGGCTGAACGGTAACTATAGCGTCTTCAAGACTGTCAATCGAGACAGTGATGTCGAAGGCCACCCCCAAACGTTAAAAGTCGGGGATAAGCTCGTGATCAAATATGTAGGCTGCGACTTAAGCTCATCCGATTTCGTTGACTCCACTGAAGCTGACTTGGAGATGTAGTCTGATCTCGCCTTCAATGCGGAAGTCTATCCCCGACCGAACGATATATTGGTCACCCGACCCCTTGACAGCTACCACTTTGTCGGCTACGGCCCCAACCAGGCTCTCGCCAGCCCTCTCAGTCGCTTTGTGCTCGTCAGTATGTTTCGCGCCGTGGCACGTCTCAAAAATGTACGAAAGGCCCCTGGCCCGCAGGGGGAGATCAAGACCGTTGATGACGGAGACGCGGCAGGGTTGGATCGATACATGGATGTCTTCTGGAGAGAATTTTCTCCGTCTCCCGTGAATATGAAGTTGCATTTCGACGCCTGAGAGCCGTGGAAGCTTGCCGAGGAGTACTAGACGACTCTATAGACAGCCTAAACCTACAGACCTATGAATATCGCTTTCTGATATTGTCGTTAAATGCATTCTTCCCGCCAATACTTGAGTACATAAGCTAGGTCACTGCTGTTGAGATTGATAGCCGACATGCCTTGACGTTGAACCCGTGATTGGGCAATTGATGATCAACATTACAGCCAGCTCCCAGGAGCTTCTATTATATATTTAACATCAAGGTGCCGACAGCACAATCCGACGACGAGCATCGCGAGGTCCATGCTAGCGACCGCCGCTCATGCTCAATCGCCATGTCTGTGTGCCTGTATTCACAAAGCCCGGCGTATCCTCCCTGCCCTTGCGCCAAAAGAACAAAATCCAGGCATGGCACCCATGTCCAGTTTCTGCGTGCCGTGCCTCCTTTGTATCGTGGTGACCCAGCCTCCTTTCGGCCCTGGCCGAGAAGAGGAAAATTGGGAGTACACAAACTATGATGAAACGAGTGTACCTGCTCTCCTTATCTTCCCTGTGTATCAAAGAAACCTGCCGACGCCGATGCTATGCGAGAAGAGCAGAGAAAAAATAGACAAGAAACGATGCCCCTCAATAGAAGGCTGGGACGTCATCAGAGACGAATGTAGGTGGGGCGTCGATCATTGGGGCGAGTTGTATGTGTATATGTGACGGAAGCAAGAGGTGTGAGGGAACTTGCTAGGTTCTATTTGTACGGCGGCGAGCAAACCTCTTCTAGAAGGCGACCTTGCTGCCATTGAGGCGGGAGTGGGAGTGGTAGGGCCCGGGACCGAAGCCGCCGGGGCTTATGGCGGAGGAGGGCGTCATGTAGCCGTCCGATGCAAGGGATGCCACGGACGAGAAGCTGTGGTTGCCATGGTTGGAGAGGAGGGTATTGTTTCGAGACATGGAGATGCCACCCATGGATATGAGGGCGTCAGCGCGTTCGAAAACGTTGCCGTTGAACGCTGCGGCGAATGACGCGCTCTGAGGCGTCGACGGCACCGTGGCCTGGACGGCCGGGCCAAGAGCTGCGCTCTGCGGCGTCATGGGCATCTGGTATGGAGGGTTATTGAGCTGATGGCTGCCAGGGCTGAAGATGGTGCTGGAGCTGGAAGAATGCGTGCCGCCAGTGTGAGAGAGCATCGACCCCCATGGCGATGACAAGATGGTGTCTGACGTTTCCTTCATCGCCTGGTGAATCGGGCGCAGTCTCGTTCTTGTATCACCAGGCAGGGGAACTACCGGGCTGGCATATTTGACCTCGGTCGCAAACTCTGCCCAAGCATTGACGAAGCTCTTGATCAAGCTCCGGAAGGAGGACTGTCCCATGACCCCTGGCTCCTTCAGCTTTATCAATGAAAGGCGGTTCTTGAGCAGTTCGGCTTGTTGTATGGTCCGGCCACACTCTTGAATCAGCCCTTTCCAGCGTCGAATCTCGTCCTCCAAAGCACGCTGCCCTGCTGCTACCCGCGCACCGTTGGCGAGCTGGCTCTGGAACATGGGTAGGGTGCGCATGACGAGATCAGAAGACCTTCGAAGGATCAAGAAAATCTTCTCAAAGTACCGATCGTCATCCGTAAAATCAGATATGCCACGGTTGCTCGATACATTGGAGGAAAATGACTCCCCAGATCGAGGGGTCGCCGACGTTAGGGTTGCGGTGCGGTTGCCTCCGTTGCCGTTGCTGTTGACGTATGATATGGGCACGTCAGTGGCAACTCTGAGGTTGCTAGGGTTGTGAAGATACTGGGGACCCCGTGTGCGTTGCGGCGGCGGCCCCATGCGATCGGCAGTCGGGGTTACAGCGTTGGAGTTATCACGCGAGTGCGGCTTGATGGTGTTCCCGGTGAAGCCCCTGTTGTCCCATGGTTGCTGACTCTGCCCAGAGGGCATGGCGAGCAAAGTCACTCTGATCTCCATGACGCTGTTGTAGATAAGCATCAAGAGTGTCCGGATGTACCGTGGATCTCCATTGTCGACGAAAGAGTCGATGTTGTTGGTAAGAAGAGCACACACATGGGTGTAGGCGCCCACGAGTGTTTGGCACGCCCGCCGCACATTCTCGTCATTATAACCAGAGTCGTAGCCGGACTGGTCCTCGCCGCCCACCGTGGGATCGTGGTTCTGAATTTCTTGCTCTAGCTCCTCAACATGTGAATTCGTGTTGTAGAAAATCATCTCGAGGCTCGACCTCTTAGCAGAGCCGTCGCTAGTCAGACTCATCAACATCTGGATCATTGGATGAATCTGGAAAACGGCGTATAGAATGCCCTTCGCAGCCTCGAGAATAGGGTCGAACACCTTAGACTCGCGTCGACGCTCAGGCAGGATCGACAGTCGCCGTACATAGACCGGCCGCTGTAGAAAAGGCTCAGCAGGGCTGTTGGGGCTCTTGAGTGCCATGCTCACGGGGGCACCAGTCATGGCAGATCCGTGGCTAAGGCCGCGATAGTGACTGAATCGGTTGTTGGCCTGTGTCTCGTCCAAGGTGCCAAGCTGGTTCTGTTTTTGCGAAACGACACCCATACGCCGAGCGCGGGACTCTGGCCGTTCGCCTCTTGATGCTTGGAGCACAGTTTCGGAGTTACTTCTGACGCGCTCGTTGACGTTGCCGATGGTGAGAGGCATGACGCCCGGTCTTCGCATAGTTGATGACTGCTGCGACAGGCCTCGGTAATGTGAACGTGAAGGGATCGGTGGGGCTCGAATGGCAGCTGGTGATCGAATGCTGTCCGGAGGGTCTGCGCCGTTGACCTTGACGGGGAATCGGCCGCTGGTGACTCGCTTGATCGGTGGCATGCGTGGTGTTTCTATGCTCTCACTGGATTCGTCTGCGCTTTCGGACTCGGCACGCCCATTGCTGACTACCTTTTGTCGGAGGTACTTTTTGATGTGAGACGTGACGGCAATCTCCGTCACCTCACTTTCCTTCAGGAATCCTTCGTTCGGCGGACTGGTTGCCTGGACTTGTAAAACCTCGCGTGGCGGGAAACTGATTGGATTCCCGTCGAACTTGAGAACCTGCAATGATACCATGTCGGCTAGAGCAAGAGGCAATTCTTCGATGCGATTCCTCTGGACTGAAAAGACTTTCAACGAGGTAAGTTTGACGATCTCCGGGGGCAGCACCCTCAACTTGTTCTTGCTCAAGTCGAGAATCTCCAACGATTTCAGATCGCACAACTTGGACCAAGGTTAGACAGCTGTCGCAAGGGGAGTGGATATTGAGGAACCAACAGGCAGGGGGAACTCTCGGATCTGGTTGTTCCTGACGTTCAGATACCGTAGTGAGGTGCACTCGGCGAATCTTGAAGGAAATGAGGCGACTTGATTGTGAGACAAGGCAAGTCTGGAATTTGGGAAGATATCGAGTTAGAATCAGGGGGAAGACGGCGAGACATTTGATTTCGCGGCAGACTAACCGTTCAAGTTCATTCTTGATGATATCCACCACTTCCTCGGGGAGCTTCTGGATCCCCTTCCGACTCAGATCTATCGTGACGCCTGGCTTCAGGTCATTACTGACCGCACTAGCTTCCGCGGCTTGGGACTCGTTTTCTCGGAGGGCATTCTGCATAGCCTCTCTGGCCAGCGCAATGACCTGCGCAGATGATATAGGTGTCGATGCTGACAGTGTCGCGTTGGATGAGGAGGTGTTGCGGATGTTGGGCATGGGCGGCATGGGCGGTGGAAGCGAATTTCCCATCGGCAAGCGTCGAACGCCCTGGGCAGGATTGTCGGGCAAGCCTCGAGGGCCATTTGACCTTTCCATTCTGTCCATTGCCCTTTGTCGGGCTCTGCGATGACAGACTGGACCGGTCGGGTCGATGGTGTTCGGACTGCTCGGTCACTCGGAGAGGAGAGGGCAAGAGTTGCGCTCCGTGAATGATCGGGATCGGGATCGATAACGAGGTTCAATTTCGACGAGCGAAACGGGTGGTATGGTTCAGGGATGCGATGATCGAATGTGGAGAGGCGTCTCGTCTCAGACAAAGTGTGCCTTGGGAGGTCGAGCCTTAGGTCAAACCGAACGTGACTCGGGGGCAGGCAAGTTCATCATGGGTGTCGTGGGCGTGGAATTTCGAACGGGTGAACAGAAGAACAATCCGCAGTTCAGTCGGGGGGCGGTCTCCGAGTCGAGTGGACAGGACGTGTGAGAAGGCGAGGCGGAGATGTTTTCCGTGGGAATCGGGGTCAGTTTTGTTCAAGTGGTAGGACAAGACGGCGCCGGGTTGTGAAACTGATAACCCGACATGGAGCTTTCGTCTTTGGCGAGCAAAGGTGGAGGTGGAGGAACGGGCATGCAGGCTTGGTACAACCAGCGGCTGGCGTGAGGGCAGGAAGAAGGAGAAGGGGGGCCAAAGGGTGCCCCCTTTTGTTTCCCGATGTACTGGGTCGACGCCGCTGTGCTTCTAGAGCACGCTAATTGTGACGTCCAACCCTGTGTGCTCCAACCTAAACTGCAGCGTACATGAGTGTTGGACCTCCTCAGAGATGGGGTGCCCATAGTAAGGACTTCGCTCACAGTGGGTCTACCTCGTCAGGGCGGCTAAAGCAGGTATGGTTTAGTGTATCTGCAAGGCACACCAGGGGCCAATCGCTCAAGCAGTGCAAGGGACGTCACTGTGTGCACAGGGTTTGGTGAGCAATACTCACGTGGTTGGAGGCAATGGACCACTGTAACACTCGGCTCTAGGCGACGTCTTTAGGGGAGCCCCTGGTAGCTTTAGGGGTGTCCCAGTGCAGAGAGATCCAGATCCCCGGGATGGGCCGCGTTCCAGGCCTCTTGACACGCTGACAGCGCTCCTGGAAGGTGCGGTGGGTCTGCATTGCTGAGGTAGGGTCTGAGGTAGCTACCTACCTAAGGTAGGTAGGTCCTAGGTAGGGTAGGTACCTTGGTCTCGAATTCAGGCGTCAGCCGAGAGATGTTTGTTTCTTCCTCCAGAGCATATTGTCTGTTCGTCAAATCGCCCGAGCACTTCTTGTCGCAAGTCACGCCACGCCCGCCTTCAACTCTGTTTGCTCACGGGCATCCGAGGAATCCCCTTGACATCTACAGCTGGAGCGAACTCCTGTCGAGTCAGACGCTGATCCTCCTTGTTTCCGCTGGCTGGGTCTCGGCGGTTGAGCGGAGATCCCATACCTGCGGACCGCCCAAAAGGGAAGCCGACGAGACAGCCCAACACCAAAACGAGGGTTGGTTTGAAGGTATCGGACATTGTCAACTGACGAGTGAACATAACCGACTGAACCGTGAGAAGAAATCCCACAAACGCCGACGAATACGAACCGAAACGACTCAGCTGCGCGGCCTTGGTTCTGTCAATATCGACCTAGGTGGCGGGACCGCATGACGCAAGAAACAAAACACATTCTTATTTCTTCTTTCTCCTCAGACAGCCTCGCTTCGCCTCGTCTTGCCTCGCCTGACCTCGTGGAGCACACGGTCGCTCGGGCGGCACCACCCCGGCCACCGCTCTTCTCGGCCAGTGGCAATGCGAAACCGGTGCCATGGCTCCCCTGTCAAGAAGCAATTCATGTGTCGATATTGACTTTACCCTGCGTCGACAGTTCAAAAAACAAAGCTTCAGGTACTCGAGCGTTCTTCTGGCCACGTTTTCTCTGCAAGACGCATGCGTTGACTAAAATTTTGACCGGTCCAGACCACAGCAGAGGGAGATCATAACGGCGGCACTCGACGGCAACGATGTCTTTGTGCAAGCCGCCACCTCCTTTGGCAAGAGCCTATGCTTTCAGCTTCCAGCATGCATCGACCAAGGCAGTGAGTTGAGTCGTATCTCGTGTACAAACTTGACGCCCTTACAAGTCGTGCTCCAGTCACCATCGTCGTGTCGCCCCTGCTGAGTTTGATGGTGAGAGCTCAACCCCTTTCGTTGCGACGCCACGAGCTCGGCTGAGATGTCCAGATGAACCAAGTGGAACAGCTGCAAGCCGCAGGCATCAAGGCCAGCTCGTACAACAGTAACACCAGGCCCGAGGAGAAGGACCGTATCAATAGAGATCTCGCCAGCGGACACCCTCGGACCAGGCTACTCTATGTCACGCCCGAGCTATGCTCGTCAGAGTCCTTCCGCAACCGCCTCAAGTTGGTGCACCAGCAGTGCGAGCTAGCGCGGGTCGCTATTGATGAGGCGCATTGCATCTCTGAATGGGGTCACGACTTTCGCAAAGATTTCAAGCGGCTCTCGTGGTTTCGAGAAACGTTCCCCACGGTCCCGATCACGTGTCTCACTGCGACTGCTAACCCACTAGTTCGCGATGACATTCTGTTGACGCTCGGTCTGAGTGCGACCCCCGAGAGGCTCAAAAGTTTCGTCATGTCGGCGCACCGCCCGAACCTGCATCTCGAGATCAGGTACACACAAGATCGGGAGGATGGCAGGCTATCCGACTTTATCAAGTGGATTCGCAGCGTCCACGCCAGGCGGAAGGCGGAGCCACGCAAGTCGGAACTGGAAGCAGTGGGCGAGCGACTGGATAACGTGTCGGGCATCATCTACACCATTTCAAGGGATGAATGTGAAAGCCTGGCCAACGCTTTAAACCAAGAGGGTATCGGTGCCCGCCCCTTCCATGCGAAACTGACCAAGGAGATGAAGGAGTCCACGCTGGCCCGCTGGGTCAGTAATGAGCCGGGCTACGATATCATTGTAGCTACAACGGCGTTCGGCATGGGTATCGACAAGGACAATGTCCGTTTCGTGGTCCACTGGCGGCTCCCGAAGTCCTTCGAAGGGTACTACCAAGAGGCAGGACGTGCTGGACGCGATGGCAACGCGAGCTATTGTTTCCTCTACTACAGCCGCGAGGATCTCCAGCGGGTGCAGAACATGGTCAGCAAGGGTAGCCGGGACGGGTCGAACAGCGATGCGCAGCTGAGAAGCCTACAGCGTCTGGCGCTTTACTGCGAGAACACAAGCTTGTGTCGTCACGCAGAGATCTGCAGCTACTTTGGTGAGACAGCGATACCGTCATGCGACTATGCGTGCGATTGGCATAAGGACGCGCAGGATCTCAAGAGGCGGTTGGCGAGAGGGCTCGCGAGCGAAGAGTGGGTGAGCACGCAGGCGCAACACGGCGAGTATGATGGTGATCCATATTACGATGACTAAAAGAGATGCAAGTGGCTTCACGACGCTGCAGAAAAAAAAACATGATACCCGACAAGTATTGATTTGTCATGCAGTCTCTTACGATGTTGACATCTGTGGCCTGTGAACGACGGGAGCGTGTCGATGTCAGGCCTCTGTCAGAGACTGGATGATGATCGCCTTCTTCAACTTGATCGAGCTACTGCAGCTGGGTATTTGTCACGCCATGCGCTCGTCGTCCTGAAAACGCACTCAGGTAGCGGAACCAAGAATAAAAATTCAGGGCTAGCTAGTCCATGAAAACGGGGGTTATTGATGAATCATCCCGCTGCATCCGACATGATCCTGAGCTTGGAACATGAACGAACGAACGAAAGGCGGCGATAAGGCGCCGTCGTGGTCGTGTCTTATTAGTAAGAAACCCCGCAGAAGCGGGCAGAAGAGAGGGAAGACCGAGCTACCGGGCACCATACAAACAAACATCCTTGTCAACAGCCCCGCCGCCCTGAACCAAGCACAGCACAGCAGAGCTCCATCAACCTACACGCATTGCAGATGCGTACATCACGCTGACCCCCGATTCCACCATCCTCTCCTGCAGCCGCCCCGAACGAAACTTGCACGTCACGGCCCTCTGCTATAATACGGGGTTACCCCTCCACACCACCACCAGTACCCCTCTGCCGTCCGCGCAGCCTCACCCCCTCTTACACCAAACTCCATGCGTGCGTTCCAGACCTTGCTTCGCGCAACCGCAGTACCACCAGCAGCATCGTCTTCGTCCCCAGCAGCAGCTTCGTCGAGAATCGCCTCTGTGCACCGGCACCTGTCCACGACGTCTCGCGTCATGGCACCCATCACGAAGGAGGCAGACTTTGTCGTCATTGGTGGCGGAAGCGGTGGCCTCGGTGCGGCGCGCAAGGCCTCGGCGCAGTTCGGAGCCAAGGCCATCATCGTTGAGAGCAAGCGCCTCGGCGGCACCTGCGTCAACGTCGGGTAAGCTTCTTCTTGTCGGTGTCGACCTTGTCGGCATTGTCCTTGTCGGGGTCGAGATGTGCTTGCACAGGGGCTTTCAAGCGCAGAAGCTAACAGGTCCGCCAGTTGCGTCCCCAAAAAGGTCACCTTCAACGCCGCTGCCATTGCCGAAACCATCCACCACGCCAAGGCCTACGGCTTCTCTGTCAGCCACGATAAGCCCTTTGACTGGCCGACCTTCAAGACGAAGCGCGATGCCTACATCCAGCGCTTGAACGGCATCTACGAGAGGAACCTCAACAACGACAAGGTCGAGTACGTCCACGGCTGGGCCACGCTCAAGTCGCGGAACGAGGTCGAGGTGTCTCTCGACGACGGGTCCAAGGCCCTCATCAAGGCGAAGAAGATCCTCATCGCCGTCGGCGGCAACCCGGCCATCCCTCCCTCCATTCCCGGCGCCGAGCTCGGCACCAACAGCGACGGCTTCTTCGACATTGCCAAGCAGCCCAAGAAGGTGGCCCTCGTCGGCGCCGGCTACATCGCCGTCGAGTTTGCCGGCATGTTCAACGCCCTCGGCACCGAGACGCACCTCTTCATCCGCCACGACACGTTCCTGCGCAACTTTGACCCCATGGTCCAGGAGGCCGTCACGGACGAGTACGTCCGTCTCGGCGTGCACCTGCACAAGCGCTCGCAGCCCACCAAGGTCGAAAAGGCCGCGGACGGCACCCTGTCCATCACGTACAAGGACGGCAGCGGCAACGAGACGGTCGAGACGGGCTTCGACCACCTCATCTGGGCCGTCGGCCGCACGCCCGCGACGCAGAACATCGGCCTCGAGGCCGCCGGCGTCAAGCTCAACGAGCGGGGCTACATTGTCGCCGACGAGTACCAGAACACGAGCGTCGACAACATCTACGCCCTCGGCGACGTCACGGGCGAGGTCGAGCTGACGCCCGTCGCGCTGGCCGCCGGCCGCCGCCTCGGCGAGCGCCTCTTTGGCGGGCCCGAGTTCTCGGCCAACAAGCTCAACTACGAGAACATCCCCTCGGTCGTCTTCTCGCACCCCGAGGTCGGCAGCATCGGCCTCACGGAGCCGCAGGCCATTGAAAAGTACGGCAAGGACGACATCAAGGTGTACAAGACCAAGTTCACCGCCATGTACTACGCCATGATGGAGCCCGAGGACAAGGGCCCCACGGCGTACAAGCTCATCGTGCAGGGCCCCAACGAGAAGGTCGTCGGCCTGCACATCCTCGGCCTCGGCAGCGGCGAGATGCTGCAGGGCTTCGGCGTCGCCATCAAGATGGGTGCGACCAAGGCCGATTTCGACAGCTGCGTCGCCATCCACCCGACCAGCGCAGAGGAGCTGGTCACGATGAAATAGAGCGAAACCAAACTACAACACTGTTTCGAATGAATAAAAGATTCGTGGGGCCTTATGGGGAGGGGTTTACGTGTCACCCAAAGATGGGCTGAAATGAATTCTGTCTCTACGCCAGAGCTGTAGGATAATGGGTATCATCATACACAAAAGGGACCATGCGACTCCTTGACCCCTTGCACGCCTCGTGCCAACTTCAATGACCTATGCCCTTTCCTTTCCTTGCCTGGCCCCTTTTTCATGCTGGTCTGAATGTCGGCTTGCTGTCGAGAAAAGTTGCGTATGCAAAGTGCTCTTTCCATCCCAGGTGGCGAAAGACGCACAGTAAGCACATGCACGAGCTGATGTCTTAGACAAGGTAGATGCTGATCACGGCGCTGGCAGCCCAGGCACCGACGACGGCGTAGAGAAGGACCTCGGGCCCCGGGGCGTGAATGCCGCCGCCGCTCGAGCCGCCATCACCGCCAGCAGCAGTGGGCGTGGCGGTGACGTCGACGCCGCGGGCGGAGCAGGCGCTGGCGAAGGCTTGCCGGGCGGGCTCGACGCGGTCGGGGAGGCAGACGTTCTCGATGGCGGCGAGGACGCGGTCCTGGCTGTCTTTGCAGATCTCGGCGATTTTGCAAGGGGTGGACTGCTTGCTGAGGACGGCGAGCAGGCATGCGGGCGGCGAGGCCTCGACTGTGGTGGTGGCCGCGGTGGGGAGAGGAGCGGTGGCCGCGGCCAGGAGGACCGGGAGCAGGAAGAACGATTCGATCATCATTTTTGCGGATCTTCTTGGGAGGTGGGATTGTAGGTGAAGCGGCTCTGGGGAGGTTGCTTGGTGATAGTGCAAATGAATGGTATGGGCGGGCTGGAGAGTAGGTCTGAGGCTGTGTGGTGGTTGTGATGGTTGTGATATGGCTGACGATTGCTTCACTCGGCTGTTACGTGACATTCTTTAAAGAGTCTGAGCAGAATGGTACCATGAGGAAATCATACGGAAGGAGCCATCCCTTCAACTGTCTAGGCTGCTGCAGTGTTGCACTTGCCTCCATCGCCTTCTGGACCATCATTGTGAAGGAAGGTGTAGTGCACACCGAGACACGCCAATGTCAAAGGATGAAGTGGTCGAGACACAGCTGTCAGCGGACGGCCCCTAACGCGGTAACCGTTAGATGATCCAGCGGTAAGGCTTCTTCTCAGGCTCCATACTTCCAGGCTCGTGGCATCCAGGCTCGTGGCATCCAAGCTCGTGGCATCCTGTCTGGCCGTGCTTGCTGACCGACGCTTGGCCGATTCTCCCGCTATCCTGCATGTCTTGGCCGACTTGTTTCTCGAAGCCTTGAAACTTCCTTCGCCCTCTGACGGCACGAGACAACTGAGACGAAGCGGAACGCCCCTCAATAGTCCTAAAACCAATTCGACGAACAGAGCGCGGAGCCGGCGCATCTCGCCCACTCGTGGAGATCGATCATTTGCCTTCCAGCGCCCTGTGCTCGCCTAAGTGCATAACGATCTCGTGAGATAGAGCATGCCCATATTGGTTCATCTCGATGGAACCAAGCTAGCCAAGCAGCGTCTGCCGCCGCGGCAGTCAACCCGGATGCCGATGTCCTTGCGTCACTTCACCGAACCTTGTTCGTTAGCTCGCGTTGATGGCGTTATACCTTGCGCCTTCATTGGAAAGTTCCATTCCGCATCGGGACACTTTTCGCTTCCCTGCGTGAGCTGGCAGGCGGTATTGGAAGCCTGGGCTAGCGGAAAAGACCACAGTGGTCCCAGAATAAACCTTCTCGCGTGACTGGGACAAGGGAGGCACCATACCTCGCGTACACCGTCTCGAGCCCAGCCATTCGCTGAAACGGCGTCAATCTCAACACAGAATACAGTTTGCCCCTCTGGCTCCGTGTCGACCTGAGGTGTATTGTGTGTATGCTCGCCTCCTTGCTGGGTCTGTTTGCTTCCCGAGTCGCTTGTCTTTGTTCTTTCTTTTGTTTTTGTTTTTGAACGGTCGGCCACGTTGGGCCATTAGGTTCTCCAGACAGGATCGGCGGGTGCCAAACGTGGTTGAAGAAAGGCAAACAGAATGCTTCCTGCTCTTCATTGGCGGTCTGTGGTCCTTTCGCACGTATATCTTCAACCCTCACGTACATCTCTCGTACGAACGCCTCGGATACGGAAAAGGGGTGGAACGAGGAGGCCCGCTGACTCGCACTCGGTTCCGGACCAAGAAGGGCACCCAAAAGGGCGCCAAAAGGGCACCCAAACGCTCTCGCGCTGAGACTTTGCCGACACATGGACAAGCGTCAATGCAAGGACACCAGGCATTCGCCTCCAGAAATGCAGTGGTTACGTCCAGCCCTACCGCCCCCGCCCGGCTGGCAATCTCCAAAGCAAACAGGGTTGACCCGGGCCAGTCTAAAGTTTGTGCTCGAGAGGGGACGCAGCTGAAAAGCCCCGATGTCCCCCTTTCACGTTTACTATTCCGAGGTGATGGGTCTTCTTCGCGATTACCATGTACACGTAGACCATGAGTCCACGAAATCGTCGCTCATGAGCGGATCACAGCCCTGATACGGGACGACATGTCCGAATCTCTGGTGCCCAAGGTCGTGGGTGTGGCCTCGGTGCTTATTGCCATCACCACACTCTCTGTTTTGATTCGATTCTTCGTCCGCGGCTGTCTGTTGAGGAAGCTAGATTGGGATGACGGTGCGTGGTCTATATAGCCTGGCCTGAGAGCGTCGCTGACTTGGCATGCAGGACTGGTCTTCGTCAGCTACGTATGGCTGGCCTCTGACGATGCTTCTGCGTCGATACTAACAACGCCAGTGCCTCACCATGGTCTTCTGCAGCATGGTCCTTGCCAGTGAGCACCCTCGACTCGACCTCGACATGGGAATGTTCTGGCTGACCGATCGCACAGTGACCAAAGTTGGGTTTGGATCTCATCAGTACGATCTTTCCGACGCTGATGTGGAGCGATTCTTCAAAGTGTGTACGGCGTGTTCGCATGACTGGTACCACAACTAACCAGTCTGCAGCTGCAAATGGTGACGCCCGTCACCTACATTTGGGGCTTCGTCACGGTCAAAATGTCTTTTGCTGTGCTCTACCTCCGCCTGCTCCCCGATCTGCTCAACAGACGCATCAACCAGGGTCTGCTGGTGCTCTTGATGGCCGAGGGCCTTGAGGAGTCACTGGTCGTCATCTTTCATTGCGTGCCCGTTGCGAAGGTCTGGGATCACTCGCTCGAGGGCACGTGCCTGGATCTCAAGCCTTTCTACTACGCCTCTGTGAGTGATGCATGTGGATGACTGGTGGTCTCGGCTGACGACTTGGTCCCTAGTTTGTCGTCAAGTTCTTGACCGACATTGTGCTCTTCGTGCAACCGATTCCCGTGATTTGGAGGATGCAACTCTCCAAGATTAAGAGGATCGGCGCCATCCTCATGCTATCCATCGGGCTCTTGTATGTTCTTGCTCTGAGCATCATCTCTGGCGGGAGGCTGACCGGGTGCAGTGTCTGTGTCATTTCCATTGTGCGCGTCTCCTACATCGGGGCCATCGGCCGTGATTTCACCTGTGCGTTGTGATGACAGCTTACCTGATGCGGGCCCGTTCATACTGATACTGACGTGACGCAGATGGCATCGTCAACCCCATGTTGTGGTCGATGGTCGAGGTCTCGTCCCTCATCGCCTGTTCCTGCGTGCCGTCACTGCGGCCGTTCCTGCGTTGCTTCCCGGCCATCGACCGCGCGCTCGGCCTGACGTCAGAGAGGGAACTGCGGTCACCGTACAAGATGGGGCGGCCGCCCAACGCAAACTCGCTGCCGCTGTCGCAGCGGAGCAAATACAACCGGCCGAGGACGGGGGTGCAGAAGCCGGTCCAGTTTGGGCTCCAGATGGGGTCCGGGTCCGCCGTCTCGCGGTCGGCCAGCTCGGAGGCGACGAGGACGTCGGCCGATCAGGGGCACGGGGGCATCACAGACACGGCGGGGGTCGAGGTCGTCGTGGAGATGATCGAGGATGCGCATCTGGCGGCCGGGTGGCGGTCGCCTGGGGCCGGGGGGGATGAGGTCGAGCTGGTTGGGGCGTTGCAGGATGATACCCGCGATTCGTTGGAGTTTCGCCACCAGGACACGAGCTGGTTGTCGATGCGGCTTTGAGTAGATGATTGATTTCACTGTTCCGCTCTGGGAGGACATGGTTCATTATGCATGAGTGTGTGGACGAGACGGCAGCCAGGTGTCCTTGGCGCTCACTACATCGTCGTGACGGCCTGTTGTGCTCATTTTGGCGTTTCGGTTGTCCGTCGAGAGTTGTCGTTGCGGTGACTTGCGCGACATGGGGCCGTCCGTCCTGTCACGACAGCGCCACGGTAGCTTTCTTGCACCATCACCGACAGCACGCAACCAAGCAGAGGGCACCTGTAGTCTCCGTTTTGTCCGGTGCATCAGCAGACCACGCATGTTCAACAAGGCCACTCGTCAAGGCACATCACTCCGTTGCATGGGGCAGCGTCCCGGCCGAGGGCGGGTGGCGGTCGGCCACGGTCACAGCCAACGCGATGTGATTGATGCTGGTATTGAATGATAACAAACTCGCTAACAAACCCCCCGTCTCCAGCGCCCGGCCACGCTCCACAGGCCGCGCGATCAAGCGGCCGCCGGCACCTCGACGCTCCTCTCGACGCCGTCGGCGCTGCCGCTGTTGACCTTCTTGCCCGTCTTGGCAATGGTGGCGAGGACCTTTTCGTAGGACAGCTCGGGCTCGGCGATGACGGAGGCGGTCTGGTTCTCGAGGGAGACCTCGTAGGACTTGACGCCTGGGAGAGGGGGGAGTGTCAGTAGGTGTGCGGGCAGACATGTCTGGGGGTAGGGACAGGTACGTCCGGCATTGCTGGGAGGGCACGGCACGGCACGGCAAGGGAAACGCACCGTCGAGCTTCTTCAGCACGCGGTCGACGGCGCCGGAGCAGCCGCCGCAGCTCATGGCGATGTTGAACTGGTAGTTGTGCTCGGCCATGTTGTCTTCGGTCGTGTGCGTCGTGTTCGTGGTTGTGGTTGTGGAGGGGACGTGGAGGAGGTGTTTGCGGCGCGTTCGGCGGGGTAAGGCAATGGCGAAGGCGTGTGGGGTCTCTCAGGGTTGGCAGACGATATGGATCTGAACAACGTAGGCACCTTAGGTAGGGAGGTAGATAGGGAATAAGGGGAGAGAAAATGCATGCTCCGCGGAGGCCGCAGCTTATATGGATCGCGGACCGAGAAAAAGACAATTATTAATTGTCACCACCACCACCACCACCACCACCACCACCACAGCGGCACCTTGGCTGCACCGTCACCCGTCGTCAGCAACAACCATGGGTGCGTTCGGCCCAATTGGTGCCGCCAGCGTCCAGCGCGCCCGGGCCTCTGCAGCACCTCATCGGAGACTCTGAAACTTGCTCACGCCCGCTTCCTGATGACGAGCCCCTCCTCATTCACACCTCCAGACCGTAGGCCGTAGTGCTGGCAGCAAAAGGAACAGGTGTCTGAAACGGCCCGCAGCAGCCCTGTCTCGCTCCGTGAGCAGTATTCACCACGGCGAGCACGTCACGACGCCATTGTCCGATACGGCCGATCACGATTCAATAGCTCCTCTGGTGTGGTCCTGGTGTGGTCCTGGTGTGGTCCTCGTCTGGTCCTTGGCCGTGGTACACAGCTTGATTACGGACGAGGCTTGCCTGTTCTCTCCCGACTACCTCCAAGGGAGATGACCATCTGCCTGTTCCTGATCGACAGATCGACGGTGCGTCTGACAGACACCCCGAGGCGAACCAAATGAACCCCCCCATCAGCCACCACATCGCACAGCGTCTGGCATCCCTCCCTTTGCTGCCCAAGTTGGCCTCGGTACTTTGCATGATCGCCGCTTGCCCGAATAGCGCAATGTCCATGTAGGCAGGTACTGGCTCGGTACGTGATGGAGGGCTTATGTCAGTGAAACAAAGTAACGTGCAGGCATCTAGATGTACTGTTCGCTCTATCCTTGCATTCGATGAGCAACATGTGCGCTCTGATGCTCGGCTGTCGATCAACCAAGTAACGAGGCCAAATTCGGGCACAGGGATGGCAATGTCCATTCACATATCCATTGATCTGTCCAGTCATGTACACACATCCTACGGCCTCTGCCCTGCGCCGCCCCCACCCGCACCGTGACCATCTGCCGTGCCGTCGTCGTCCGTCGGCGCTTCGTCTGCACGAGCCGGAGCCGTCGCGGCCCGGCCGAGGTAACCGTCCCACAGCCGCCTGAAGATGCCGCGCGCATCGTCCTGGCTCGGGTCATCCTCTGCGTAGTCGCCGTCCTCCGGGAAAGCCCCGACACCGCCGCGGAACGCACCCTCTTCCTCGGCGGGATGCCAGTTGGCTCCGAGGCCTGGTCCGCCCTGCGCCAGTGCGTCGTCGTCGTCCTCGTCGTCGTCGCCCTCGCCCTCGCCCTCCAGGAAACCATGCCCCTGCGCCGCCCCAAACGCGTCCAGGTCGAGCTCCTCCTCGCCCTCGCCGCCCAGCACACCGCCGAGCCCCATGGCCGCGCCCCCGCCCGCCGCGCCGCGCGCCTGCGCCCTCGCCATGCGCCGCTGCAGCCGCATGGCGAACTCCCGGCCCGCCGGCGTGTCGAGCGCCGCGCTGCCGCCGTGGCCGTCGTTCTCCCGCCACGGCAGCTGCACGCCCTCGCTCGAGAAGATGTTGTCGGCGAGCGGCGGCGGCAGCGGGTCGAATTCGTAGTTGGGCTGCTGGCCGAGTATGTGCCGCGGCACGCCGGCGATCATCTTGGTGTCGCCCTCGAGGAAGGCGAACCGCGCCGTCCGCAGGTCCGAGGGCCCGACGTCGGCGGGCTGCAGCTGCTTCGCCTCGTCCCTGCCCGCCCGCTGGACGGCCGCCTGCAGCAGCGCCGTCGCCTGGCCGTTGTTCCACAGGTCCTTGGCCATGTGCAGGTAAATGTCGGTCCAGTACTTGGCGTGGCCCTGCGGGCTGACGCCCCACAGCGACGGCGGCACGTCGAGGTTGAGCGCCTGGAAGAGCGCGCTGTAGAGCCACGGCACGCGCTCCATGCCGTCGACGGCCAGCTTGAGCGCCGTGCGGTCGTCGCCGAGCTGGAGGTGCGCGAGCACCGCCGTCTGCGCCATGAGGTGCTCGTCCGCGTGGCCCGTGGCGTGCGTCGTCGTCGTCGTCGTCGTCGTTGTCGTCGTCGTCGTCGTCGTGGTGCGGGCGCAAAAGTCGACGAGCCACTGCGCCTGCCGCGCGCGGATGGCGAGCGGGTGCAGGAAGTTCTTCATGGCGTACGGGTCGTTCGGGTTGAGGCTGTAGAGGAGCTTGGCCCACTCAAAGGCGGTGCGGAAGGTGCCCTTGCGCATGAGGCTCTTGATGTAGTGGTAGCCGGCGAGCCAGAACTCGCGGTTCTCCGGCCTCTTAAAGTCGAGGCGCGCGCGGCCCTGCGCGAGCTTCTGTCGGAACGCCGACGTCGTGACGCGGCCAAAGGTGAAGAGGGCGCGCTCGATGAGCTCGGCCGCCAGCGACGCGTTCTGGTCCTGCGTCGCCACCTTGCTGACCTGCAGCAGCGTCGTGATGTGGTACGGCGTCTCCTGCAGCAGCGACACCATCATCATGGGGTCGCCCATGCCGACGACCTGGAAGAAGATGATCTGGCTCCTGTCGTACGTCGCGTCGTGGTGGAACGCAAACTCGGTCGTCAGCCCGTCGGCGCCCTCGCGGACCGCCTTCATCGTCAGCCCGCCCGCCGACCCCATGGGCCAATGGTCCTTGCCCTGGATGAACATGTTCCTGCGCAGCGAGATCTCCGGCAGCTTCCTCCGCGGGTCGCCGCGCAGGGCCTGCTCGAGGCCGATGTGCACCCGTCCCTGGGCCCGCTGCCGCCGCAGCTCGGCCTCCTGCTCGGCCTGCTCCTCCTGCCGTGCCGACTCGATGGCCTCTTTGCCGAACAGGGCGCGCATCTCATGGATGGCCTTGAGGTGGTGCTCGTTGATCTGCAGCAGCGTGTCGACGTCGCGGCTCGTGCCGACGAGGTCTCCCGCAGCAGTGCCGCCCTGGGCCGCGGCGGCGCTGAGCTCCTGCAGCGCGCGGTCAATCTCGTCCACGTCGTCATCGGTCTCCTGCACGGGGGCCTCCTCCTCCTCCTTCTTTTTGCCCTTCTTCTTCTTCTTCTTGTTCTTTTTGCTCTTCTTCACAGGCTGGGGCACGGCCTCGGGCTCGGCGTCTTGTTTCGCGGCGCGTGTCCTGCTGTCGTCGTCGGCGTCTGACTGGTCGTGCTGCTTCTTGCCGTCTCCGTCTTCATCTTCGTCATCGTCGTCGTCGTCGTCATCACCGCCCAGGGCAGCGAAGAGGCTGACGCGCGGCTTTGGCGCAGGTACCACTGGCTCGTCATCTTCGCCGTCGCTGGCCTCCGACTTGCCCTCCTCAAGCTTCTGCAGCTCGCGCTGCTGCTGGATCTTGCGCAGCTGCCGGCTCGACATGGGGATGTGTGTGCAGAGGTGCTGCTCCCTGTGGTGATGTAGCTAGAGAATAAAGTAAAATGCAGGCCGCAATGAGCTGAAGGATGGCAATGCCGGTTTTGTGGCAGGCAATGACATCCGCTCGATGATTTCTGCAGGCTGTAGGTAGAGAAGGAAATCATCGACGGTTCGCCCCTGCGTCACGCCGGGCCATGACGTTCGGTGGGCTGTGGTGGGGCACGCTTCCTTTGGCGGGGTAGCTACCGTACCTAGCCTTACCTTAGGTACCTAGCCTTACCTTAGGTACCTAGCCTTACCTTAGGTACCTAGATAAGGTACCTATGTAGGCACCTCAAGCACCTGAACCTCAGGTACCTTGAGCAGCTTCCAACCGCAGGTGCACAGAGTTGATCACCAAGCAAGCATCGTCACAAGGCATGGAACCTCAGCGCTCGTCAGGGTCTATTCCTGGGCTGCAGACTACGCTCCATCCCAAACCATCCGCTCGAGGTGCTCTTCCACCGATGTACGCTCGATGACCATGTCCTTTCCTTTGCCTACCAACCCCTTTCTTCCGTCCCGTACCATCCTTCGGCCCCCTGCCCCCTTTCCTTCATCATAGTTCATCGCCACGCTGCCGTCCTGTACGTTGTGGTTCCACGTCCCCCTGCCACGCCTTGAAAATGTAGGGGGAAAATATGTGTGTAGGGTCATGTTTTCCTGAGCCTCGCTGGCTCACTCATGAAAGAACACTTTTTTTTTTGTCGTCGCGCGTGCCAAAAACTCCACCGCCCTCATGCATGCCGAATCCAGAGCCGCCAATCCTCGAGGTCCACCCGCGACCAATGGTCAGAGCCAGAGCCAAAGCCAAAGAAAACGAAAAGCAAACGCGCTGCCGCCTCTCTTGAGAGTCCACCATGGCGTCGACCTGACGCTTCTTCTTCTTCCAGTCTGCAAATCGTGTGCTGGTGTTAATCATACAGAGGTAAACCCGAAAAAGAGACTGTCCACGTGTTGGGGCATTCTCTCCAAGCCGACCCCATGTACAGCCGTAGGAAAATAAAAGGGTGCTTGGAGAACAAGACCAGCGTCTGCCGTGGATGAGCGTTCCATCACACCACACCCGTGGACGTGCTTGGGCTGTCGTGGCGGTGCTTAGCTGACGGGCGCGTTGGAACCGTTGGCGCCGCCGCGTCCCCGGTAGCCACCGCCGCCGCCGCCGCCACCACCACCACCACGGCCGCGACCTCCGAATCCGCGGCCACGACCGCGGCCCCTACCGCGGTACCCACGGTATCCGCCGTCGACGCTGCCCTGGCCGAACGTCTCCATGTTCTTGCGCTGCTCCTCGCCGCGCCACTCACGACCGCCTGGCTTCTGCCCATTGCTATCAGCCCGCTCCTTGGCCTCGCTCGAGATGTTGTCGAAGAATGACGTCGACTTGTTGTACGCCGTCGGCGCGGCTCCGACAGCCTCGCTGGTGGGCGCCTCGATGGCTGGGCCATCCGTGGGGGTCTCGGCGGACGGGAGATCGCCAGCGATGGCCTCCTTGACGAGGTCGTCCCTGTTGAACTTTGCGTTGGACTGCGCAAAGTCAAAGTCCGCATCGGGAACCTCAACCTTGGGTTGGCCCTGGCGTCCACCGCGCGTGTTGCGACCACGGCCACCCTGGCCACCTTGGTGAGCCTGACCACCTCGCGCGGCGTTGACTCTCATCTCGTTGACCCGGTTGGTCAGGTTGTCCATCATGCTGCCGTTCGCAGCGGGCTGAGGCACAGCCTGGGCACCGGCGGGGTTGTTGAGGTTCGCCATGGCCACGGCGACAGCGGCCTTGGCGGCCTGGGTAGCATCGCGGAGACTGGCGGCCGACGTTGGTGCTGCGGTCCTCATGGTGATCTGGGCCGTCGACGTGGCCTCCTTCAACACGGGGCCAGAAGGCTTGGGGCCGGTCAGTGGCACGACGGGTGTGACGCGGTTGCTCCTGGGACCCGTGGGAACAGACTTGTCTGCCTTGGCGGGCGCGGCCTGGTCCAGTGATGCGGCGGCGTTCTTGACTTGCTCAACGGAAGGCTTCGACTCCACGGGAGGCGTGGGAGCATGGGCGGTCTGCTTTCCGAGTTGTTGCTGCTGCTGTTGCTGTTGCTGCTGCTGCTGCTGCTGCTGCTGCTGGGGACTCGATTTGGGGCCGGCGGAAGGCTGGGGAGTGGGCGTAGAGGAGCTGGGGTCTTGTGCGGGCCTGCCCTGCGCACCGGGCTTCTGCTCCTGCGAACCAGGACCGCCAGGAGGGCCTTGCTGGCCAGGAGCCGGACCGCGGCCGGGACCCATGCCGGGAGGGATGGGCTGGCCGGGGGGGAAGTTGTTGTAGTTGTTCCAGCCGGGAGGGGGAGGTCCGCCGGGGAAGCCTTGGCCTGGAGGGCCAGGTGGGAACCAGCCGGGGGGGGGAGGGTATGGCATGTTGCCCATGGGGCCGCCAGCCGGGCCAGGTCCGCCGGGACCGCCACGACCTCCGGCAGGAGGCCAAGGGCCCGGAGGCGGGTAGTGGTAAGGGGGTTGTCCGAAACCCTGGGGGCCGGGCGGCGGCTGGTTGTTCTGGTGTTGGCCGCCAGGGCGGGGGCGCGACTGGGGTAGGTGTCAGCTTTGATGCATGTCTTGAAGGTCGACACAATGCTTCGAGGCAATAGGCCAAAAATCAGAAGGAAGGCAACGGAAAGTTTCGACATTTTTTTTGCGCTTTTCCGACAAGGTGATAAGATTTACATCCGCAATGGTTCATCAAGGGTGGCCAAGGAGATTGGGCTGGAAGGGGGACGGTGGTGGCACTCACACCAACGATGGCAGGGTCCTCGGGCACGGCAGGAGCCTTGTTCTCCTTGATGCCCGGGTGGTCCTCAATACGCAAGTCCTTCACATCGCTGCCGCGGAAGATAATATACTCGTAGACCTGGTCGGAGGGTGCTATCTCCTCCTCGGGGCGAGACTTGCGACCCTCGGTACCGAAAGACTTGACGTTCTCGAGCGAGACGGTAGATTCGTCCGAGTTGATTTCGTGAAGGACGCCGACATAGCTGTAAGTGTAGGAGTCAGCGGCCAAGCCAGAATGCAGCGTGGCGGGTAGGGGAGAGGGTGCCATACCGGATGTCACTCTTGGAGATGAGGGAGATGCGAGATCTAGGGTGTGCACGTCAGTACATATTGATCGCTTGCTGATGAGGATCGCCAATGGGGCAACCAGGCAGACCCCGCGTACCCTAGGAATTCCGACATCCTGGTAGTAATGTGGTTGCGTTGAGCACGCCACGAGCTTGGTGCAGAGGCGGAAATGTACCGAAGAAAGCGTATGTGGAGGAGGCTGCACAGCTGGTGTTGAAGGGAGTGGCTAGAAGGCTCTCAGGTTTTGGCTTGCGACCACCTGAATTGGCCCGTGCGATGTCGACGATGGTCCGTGCGCTTTGTTCTTGTCGTTGCTCACAGCAAGACCTGGTCGTCATTCACAACTCTGCCCACTCCAGACAGGAAACCTCTGTTTCGCGAAGATTGAATTTCCTTCTGAGGTTTTCTGTCGTTGTTCTCCTTTGTCTGGCTAAGCTTGGACAGGTTCCAACTTTAAGTAATGAATGCCTCCTCTGAGAGACTCGTGAAGTCACGTGTTACAGGTCCTAGTGGTGATCTTGGTAAAGTTCAATGAAGAGCACCTCAAGTTAATATACTAACGAGACTGATATGCACATGGGGTACTGAATATCATGAATCGTCTTAATAATATGTCCATGATTCGTTCTGAGACTATTTCCGATATAGGGACGTCAATGAACTCTGCAAAACTGTTTCTCAGATGAAGTATCGTTGGAGAACAAATCAAGACTTGAAATGCTATGTGCGATTGAAGAGCACAACACAGTATGGCACTAACAGCACGCACATAAAAGGACACATACTTCAAACAATGGTTTTACATATTCCCTAATTGTCATTTAAGCTCGAAGATAATCAGAGCGACGGGAGTGCGCCACTTGAATCCAAGCAACAGCAAGGTGGTTAAAAGCGAAGTCCATCACATTCGCTGTGCCTTAGCTATATCATGTCTCATCATTATGCGAAAATCAGCACCTGTGATTTCTGAGTCCTGCCTTAGGATGAAGCTTCGTCACCCCCAAGCTCCAGTCTCATGAACATACCCCGGTGCCAAATACCCTCTTCCTTCCATCGGCCCATTCCCTCATCGACATTGAATCCGAAACGCTCCCACGTCCCAGTGACTTGCTCCTGTGAATGTACGCAGACGAGACCACCCCATTTTGGAATGTCCTTCTCGGAAGCGGCACCCAATGATTCAAGACCTTGTTCCTTGATACTGGGGTCGAAATACGTCGGGTTCTTCCTGAGCCATCCCAACGCCTGTCCGACCAAGAGCTTCGCAATGCCATGACCCCGAAACTCCTTCACGACCGCCAGCCGTCCCAGCTTGACATATGGCTCCTTTCCATCGTGCAGGCTCGTCGCCCGATCCGCCTCATGGAGCAGGATCCCGTCCTCACCCCACCCCGGTGGTCCCGCCGTGGCGTCCCCGCCCTCAACCCCATCTGCGGCCCCGCCCTTGAGCACGCCGTCCCAGTACTCTCCGCCGTCCTTTGGGTGCGGCGCGTGGGGAAAGGGCACGAGACGAACGGTGCCAATGGGAGTTGACCGAGTGCTGCTGCGTCGTGGCGTCGTGATGTTACCGTTGGCGTCGACGACCTCCTCCTGGACGACCTGATTGACAGACGCGTAGACGACCCAGTGGCAGCAGCGGCTGTCGTCAGCGTCGAACTCGTTCTCGGCGGGCACACCCTGCTCCTCGATGAAGACGGCGGTGCGCACCTCCATGGCGTCGGAAAAGGATTTAGGAATGGACGGCGGTTGGGCATCGTGAGGGCGCCCGAGGAGGTAGTCGTCTAGCGGCGTCGGCTCTTGGAGGGATATAAATGGGGTGCCCATGGTGCAGTGGTTGGTAGATTGCTGTTAGGTGAACAAGATGAAATATGAATTTCGACTATACTTCGACCACGAATGTTCCCGGCCAATGTTTCTCTAGCAGTGGGTGCGATGAGTATCTTGGAGATGGGACGATGGGGAAGAGTGAGATCATATGGCGGTCAGATGAGGCACAGATGAGATATATAGATGTCAAGAAGCAGACAAGTGACCTGCCACATTGGCCCTAATGCGATCCTCCCAAAAAAGTATCCCAATATCAGGCATTTCCCATCTAATCAACGCGCCACATACTTCTCCCACAAGCTTTCGGTGCCTGATGACCACGAAAGCCAACAGCGGTATGACGTTGTGGACCGCCTCCGCGTGGCGACCGTGCCGATCTTGTTGCCAAGCGGGAGGCGGCCGGCATACACGACACTCCGCTTCCCCGGCCTAGATATCATTGACTTCACTGCACACAGAGTCTAGAGTTTTTGTTGCTTGGCATTTAAACATAAATACACATCACCATCATCAACATCCGCCGTCATGGTCATGATTGCTCCAACGAGCCTGGCTTTTTATTGGGAGAGTCCACCTAGAGCCGTCCGTAAGAGACAAGATGCCGTAGCCGCGTTCCCAATATCCCCGAACGCACAAATGCAAAGGATGCGGGGCACAGCCAGTCCATGCCGCCGCCGCAAGGATGGATGCCAGTAAAAATCCCACGCCTCTCCGTAGTAGTTTACGCAGCCACGCCCGGCCCCCCTGGTGTTTTCCCCGTCTCCCTGTTGCAAAGCCAGGGCCTCGCAACTCGCGCCAGAAGCGACCACCGCAGTCCCTCCACAACAAAGTCGAGGGCCCACGGCGGCAGCCAGATCCGTGTTCCCCGTTTACCGGTTGGACTTGGCGACACGCTCCAGCTCGTCCTTCTTCTTGATGGCGTACGAGTTGCTGCTGCCCTTGGCGGCGTTGATCAGCTCCTCGGCGAGGCACTCGGCGATGGACTTGACGTTGCGGAAGGCGGCCTCACGAGCACCGGTGGTCAGCAGGGCAATGGCCTGGTTGACGCGGCGCAGGGGGGAGACATCGACGGCCTGGCGACGGACGGTACCGGCGGAACCGATACGGGTAGAGTCTTCGCGGGGACCGCAGTTGACAATGGCGTCAACGGCGACCTGGATGGGGTTCTGGTCGGTCATCAGGTGGATCTGTGCTGGTCAGCCTATGTGTTCTTCTTTCGGCATCCCGTACCGCTGTGCGCGGTTGATGCGCCGTTCCATGCAACTCTTCCTGGGTCCCGGGCGACGTACGATCTCGAAGGAGTGGGCAACAATGCGAACGGCCATGAGCTTCTTGCCGTTGTTGCGGCCGTGCATCATCAGAGAGTTGGTGAGACGCTCAATGATGGGGCAGTTGGCCTTGCGGAAGCGCTTGGTGGCATAGCGACCGGCGGAGTGGGTGACGTAGACGGGGTTGCGGAGGGAGACGTAGTCGCTGTGAAGTGAGATCTCTGGTTAGTCTTTGCTCCCACATCATCGCATTCTGCTTCCATTCCGACAGGGTTGGGCGGTTCTCACGTCAGAGAGATGTCGCGGACCTCGACGTCGTAGTCCCACTTGTTGAACAGCTTGATGTTGCCGACCTCCTTGACAACATCCTTGGGGAGAACGTCGTACTGGACGTTCTCGACCTCGATCTCGCCGCCGTCAGACATGGTGTCGAATTTGCAGTTCGGAGCTGGGTGAAACTGCAGGTTGTCGGGTTGGTCGTCTGTCTCGTCGGAGGAGAAAAGTTGCTGGAGGCTGAGCTGGTCGTGAGGGTGAGTTCGTGCGGTGGAGGAGGGTCGAGTCGAGAAATGTCCAATTCTCGCTTGCTGGATGGGCCTGCAAAAAGATTCTTGGTGCTGTCCAATCATTCGGGTCGGCAGGGTGGAGCCGCACACCTCACCGCGTCCTTTTAGGGCTCGCGGCCCTCTGAATCGCCCTTGCCATTGGCCTAAGAGCCCCAGAAGCGGGGCAGAATCCAGGGCTTTGTGAGTGCCAGGCGAAAGGCAGGAACCCCCCAACGGGCATCAGTCAAACCACCGCATCGTTGAACGAAACGAACTTCTTCCACCCCAGCGTCAGCGTTCCGTCCATCAACCACCGACCGACGACAACATCAGCAAACATGGCGCCCGCAGCTGGAGCTAAGAAGCAGAAGAAGAAGGTTTGTTGCGCCTGACTACCACATCGTCATTTACTCGTGCCATTGTCGCTAACATATTTGCAGTGGTACGTAACCGCCGCATCTGCGACGCCGACTTGATGAAGCGCCAGACGAAATTCCCACGAGAAATCCTCCTCCTCTAACACAATACCTCCAGGTCCAAGGGCAAGGTCAAGGACAAGGCCCAGCACGCCGTCATCCTCGACAAGCAGACTTCTGAGAAGCTCTACAAGGATGTCCAGTCCTTCCGCCTCGTCACCGTCGCCACCCTCGTCGACCGCATGAAGATCAACGGTTCGCTCGCGAGGAGGTGCATCAAGGACCTCGAGGAGAAGGGCCTCATCCGCCCGGTGGTGCAGCACAGCAAGATGCAGATCTACAGTACGTTTGCTCGCCACGCAGTCATTCGAGGAATAGCGGCTAACAAGTTCAGCCCGTGCTGTTGGCGGTACCGATTAAACGATTCACCTTACTGCGATGGACATGACTTTGGTTTTGCGTCGTTAGGGAGGGCTTGGCCCGGGTTTCCATGGGTAGATATCACGGCCCGGACTAAGGCCGGTATGCTCGGTGTAGCAAGGAATCGGAATCGGTTGACCCAATGACTCAAGAACTATGCGCAGTGAAGTGATGCCTGTATAGACACGGAAGAGCGGGAGACTACTCTTTGCATACTTCAGCAACATGTCTACATGCTTGTAGACAACCATGACGCACATCGGTTGACCCCTCAATCGTTTCCACGGAGTGGTGGAGGGGCTCAATATGGCTCGATGACACAAATTCAAAGTTCACCATGCTGCATGGACGACAGTTTCCAAGCTGATTCACATGGGCCTTAGCTGGCACCGTCGTGACCAGTGACACTACGAGCTCTTCACATCCCACTCTGACACTTGTACGCTTGACGATGTGTGTTGAAGCTCAGATATGGTGAGCGTAAGGATTGCAGAAAGCCACACACTTGATGTGCGATTTACAAGGACGTGCATTGGAGGCAGCCACTTAGCTTCCTTTGTTGTCGTCGGTAGTCGTGAAGAAAGTAGTGCGTCATTCAGCTGTACAAATGCGCTGGCTATCAGCACATAAGGCATCTCCAAGGCTGCTTAGTGTAGCTGTACCGACCTCACCACTTTGGCAGACAACCTGATTGTTTTTGCTAGTCTGGTGTGATTAAACTATGTATGCCAGGGCTGGTCGATGTCCTGAAACCCAAGCTTGCGCCTACACCTGATAATAAGTGAGAGCACTTCCAGGCACTTTGGCTCAGCATGTAATTTGACCGCCGCTCTTTTGGTCAACCTTCTTTAGCGGCTAGACACCGACACGCACTTGTTATGGCACTTTCGTTGACTCTGAAACAGCCTTGGACTTTCTGTTGATACGCCGGAAGTTGTCAAGTCTGGTGTCGGGCTGCATCAGGTCTCTTGGATAATGACCTAATGAGCCCAGGTTGTGGCTGTGTGATAGACGTCAGTGAGGCGGGCAAATTGGATCAATTGGCACGACATGGTCAGCTAGCTCGCAGTCGGGAAAAAAGAACACAGGCTTCATTTTGCCGAGCCTTGTCCCATCAAGCGCAAAATCCAAGCAAAGCAAAAACGCACGCGATAGAGACGGATAACCCAATGTGCCAAGCCTGAGCACATGCAAGCCGTTGATACCTGTTCAAGTGGACACATACCATCAAATCCTACGGAGCGAAATTCTGTCTCCATCAGCATCTCCGCCTGGGAGAGCAAAAAAAGCACGCCTCCAAGGGTAGGGGAGCTGATCATGCTGGATACGGTTTCGGGGGGGCGAAGCCCAGACCTCTCGGTGGTCTGGCGATCTCGCGCCTCCCGTCTCGCTGGCTGGCAGACCTTTCGCCCGAGGAGGACCACTAAAAAATTTTCTGGTCGGGGGAAGGGCAGTATGGGGAGCTGCCAGATTGCGCGGTGGCTTTTCGCTGGCTTTGCGTCTCGCGGCCGAGGAACCGGCTGCTGGCTAGGGGGAGCTCTGGCTTTTCGCCTGGCCGGTAGCCAACCCCTGGATTGGTGCTGTTTTAGCTCGGCTGTTTGAATCGGGGTGCGGGTCAGGGGAGAGCGGATATCTATGTTGACAGGGTATGGTGTCAATGGGCACAGGTCTGGACCGCATGGCACTGGCGGAAAATACAAGGATAGCATGGAAGTTGAGTTTGAGGCAATCGATGTTGGACTCTGGTGCAACGTGGAGAGTTATCCGACCAAGGACACCTGCCAAGAGCATTGCTGAGTATCGAACTCAAGACAATGATATGCGGTTGCGGCTCTGATAACTATGGGCTGTTCTTCCGCCTAAAGGACAAGTTCTCTCGCCCCGAGACCATTTTCCAACTTCCTAGATGAGATGTTATCACAGCAATGTAGTACTGATCCTTGACGGATTGTTCTTCTCAGGCTGCTGAAGCCTTACCAGTTGTCTTGACCGGTATCGACGGCATTCTGAGGAGTTGGGCGACGCCTGTCGATATGTGCACGACAAAGCGGGACGACGCACCAGTTGCCCTTGGGCAAGCCAGGCATGGCGGATTTGGCATCTCGTTTCGGGAGAGCATTTATTAACAGCACATGTATTCAAGCGCAAGCTCCCTTAATTGGCAAGGGCAGGGTTGCTGATGGTCTTCTGAATGGTAGACACTGACACAAATCACCCACCGCCCGACAACCAGCAACAAGTTGATGAAGTTGCCATCAGAGAATCATACTTGTGCGGTCCCAAAGACTATTCAATGTCACGCGGGTTTACGCAGTGCAACCCAACATAAACGCTTTGTAAGGTCGATGTTCGAGAAGTCGTTGACTTGTGAAGTCAGGGATACCGGGTTGGTCGGGTCAATGATCCAGATGGACGGCCCCCGGCCAGCCAATCACCGGGGAGCCGTGACATCCCTTGGTGAAGGAGCGTTCAAAGTCATCCAGGTGTATGCTCACGATGGTGACGGTTGGTTGGGGAGCCCGTGATAGCTTACGCCCCAGGCAGCGACATGGCGCAACAAGTCCAATTGCCTGTAGAAACACTGGATTGGACTGCCTAGTGAGCCCTCGTGAGGCCGTCTTTCAGGTTTTGATAGCAGATCCCAAAGTTCAAATGCCTCGATCGTGAAGCGAAGTCGCAAAAAAAATTGCTCTCCACCAAAGGAGCCAATTCACACAGCCCCCCACACCCGATCCAATCTCGGTCGGGCTGAACCGGGTCAACTCAGCCAATTAGCGCAGCGGCCTCAGGCCAACGGGGTTGCCGGGGCAAGTGAGAAATGGGGGTTGGGGGGGTGAATTGGCCCGGGCGGCTGCTGGGCTTGCAAAGGGGGAAGGCAAGAGCGACAGGCCAAGGTATCCACTTGCGCCCCGGGCCAGTGCGTGCTGGCCCGGGAGGAATCGCTCAAAAGGCGTTCGCTGCCAGAAAAAAATCTTCCTTTCATCTCTTACCTCCCATCCAGTCGACGACTGCCTCTACTACCTGTCTTCATCCACCTCCGGTTCATCGAAACCACTCTCCCCTCAATCCTTTCTTCGTCAGGTTATTCCGTTGAAGCAGTCACAATGTCCGTCGAGAAGCAGACCGTTCTGGGCATGCCGGTACGTGAATCCCGTCCTCCTTTTTTTACGGCTCGCCAAAATGCCTCGCGACGACAACTCTCGAGCCCGATTGTCCCATCATCACCAATGCTTCGTTGGATAGCTCCTTATCCAATTGACCCTTTGTGGGCCATGGGCTGAAGATCGATGCTGGCAAGAAGGGTCTGCGCGCGAAGAGGCATTTCTCCTTGCGCGCACCTTTTTTGGTCCAGACCCGAAGCCACCGAAGCATTGGAGGTCGACGCGAGGCATCATCATCACTTCCATCACCACTACCAGCACGCTCATCACCGCCCTGTACAACATGCTAACGTTTCGTCTTGCAGCCCTTCCTGGCGGATTTCCTCATGGGTGGTGTCTCCGCCGCTGTCTCCAAGACCGCTGCCGCCCCCATTGAGCGTGTCAAGCTCCTCATCCAGAACCAGGATGAGATGCTGAAGCAGGGTCGTCTTGACCGCAAGTACGACGGCATTGCCGAGTGCTTCAAGCGTACCGCCGCCGATGAGGGCGTCATGTCCCTGTGGCGTGGCAACACTGCCAACGTCATCCGTTACTTCCCTACCCAGGCCCTGAACTTCGCTTTCCGTGACAAGTTCAAGGCCATGTTCGGCTACAAGAAGGAGCGTGACGGCTACGGCCTGTGGATGGCTGGTAACCTTGCCTCCGGTGGTGTAAGTTCTGCTCCGATGCTTGTTGCTCAATCAGCGTACTGACATGTTCAAGGCTGCCGGTGCCACTTCCCTCCTCTTCGTCTACTCCCTCGACTACGCCCGTACCCGTCTGGCCAACGACGCCAAGAACGCCAAGAAGGGTGGTGAGCGCCAGTTCAACGGTCTTGTCGATGTCTACCGCAAGACCCTTGCCTCTGACGGTATTGCCGGTCTCTACCGTGGTTTCATGCCCTCCGTTGCTGGTATCGTTGTCTACCGTGGTCTCTACTTCGGCATGTACGACTCCATCAAGCCCGTCGTCCTCACCGGTAACCTTGAGGGCAACTTCCTCGCCTCTTTCGCTCTTGGTTGGGCCGTCACCACCGGTGCCGGTATCGCTTCTTACCCCCTTGACACCATCCGTCGTCGCATGATGATGACCTCTGGTGAGGCCGTCCACTACTCCGGTGCCTTCGACGCTGGTCGCCAGATCATCGCCAAGGAGGGTGTCAAGTCTCTCTTCAAGGGTGCCGGTGCCAACATCCTCCGTGGTGTTGCCGGTGCTGGTGTCCTCTCCATCTACGACCAGCTCCAGGTCCTCCTCTTCGGCAAGGCCTTCAAATAAGCGATTTCGCTCCACAACAACAAGAACAAGTCGGGCGGTGGTATAATGACGACTGCCTGATGGATGGCGAGGGGAGTGGCCAAGGGTGGCCTGGAATAGACAAGGATGAGTGGCTCGCGGGGTGCGAGGGAAGCTGCAGCAAAGATACCCAGCCATCAAAATACGGTGGTCGCCTGGGTCTTTGCGGTTAGACTGGCATCTGGCAAGGCGTTTTCTTTCCCTGAACTCGCTTTGAGTGCGCCTTGCTCGCTGTAATTATACGTCTCCAAAGGGAATTTCCTGATTGTACTCCATACTTCTGTTTTCTTGCCTGTGAACTCGAAATGTGCTTCTTGTCTGTATGGCGAAGTCTCTTTTCCCAAGTGATCGCGTGATTTCGTGTCCTCTCGAGTTGGTTCTGATTGGATACAATGTCCAAGATAAATGGACCCACATCAACTGCATGCCCAGCGCGTTCAGTGAGATGCGCGGTGCTGCACCGTGCCTGTTGCGCGGGTACGACTTTGCGTCCGTCACGATAGGTTGACCGTCTGGCTGCAGATACTGTGTCCAGCGGGCGACTCGCAGCAGGCTAAGATCACAATTTGCAGCAGCTTTAAACTGCTGTTGCAAGGCGTTCAGGACCTGCCGAGTTTGTCCAATCACGCAACAACTTGTTGCATCGACACGAGGCCATCACCATCGTCTGTGCAGTGCCCCGTCTGGTTCCATTCGTTGCGCACATCGCCCTATCTGACACGAAAAAACCAACCGTCACGTTCACTGCTACTCGGCACCGCGGCTCATCCCTCACCATGCCCCCAAAGCAAACCACGGGCGCCAAACGAGGCCGCTCCTCCAAAGCCGGCGGCGCCGCCTCGGCCACGGCCTCGAAGAAGCAGCGCGCCTCCACCTCTGCCGCGGACCTCGACGACCCGTTTGCCTCGTCCAACGAGGAGACGGCCGGCCGGCGCGCGGCCGAGGTCATCGATAGCGACGAGGAACCGAGCCGCGGCCGCGCAGAGTCCCCGCCCGAAGAGGCGGAGGAGCCTGAGAAGACGATCCCGTCCGGCCTCGTGGCGAACCTCCTCAAGGAGATGTTCGCGCGGGAAGAGACGCGCATGACGGAGGGGGCGAGCCAGGCTGCGGCGCGGTACATTGATGTCTTTGTCCGGGAGGCTATTGCGCGGTGCGTGCATGAGCGCGAGGGGGGGTTCCTCGAGGTGAGACTTGATTTTTTTTTTCCCTTTCGTGGATGTTGGGGGGGTCGAGTCTATGTTGGGGGGGTTAATACTCGACTGCGTTACCTTGCTGACTGCCGTTTTTACAGGTTGATGATTTGGAGAAGATCTCGGCACAGCTGCTCATGGATTTCTGAGGTCTTACGCGTTCAGCTGGGGGTTGGTTGAATTGGCTTGAAATCTGCATCTTGACTGGCTCATTATGGATGACCTTGCGCAGGCGATGCCTCACGTCGGCAGGAAGGAAATGATCCACGGTTGTCGTGCCGAGCGCAACGCGCAGTCCTGCTATACCATGAATGAACGCGGCCGCCCAGACGGTATGCTGATGACAGTCGCAACGGGCCACGGAACTTGACGGATTGTACGGCAGGGGAGATCTGTCGGCTGGGAGAGAACCGGGCAGCCAAGGCACGGAGGGCTCATGCGCCTGTTGGAGGCTTCCAGGCCAAAAGGGGGGGTTGGCAAGACGTGCAGGGGAGATCCAGCCCGGGGTGGGTAGACCGGCTTTGCAGTGCCAACGGTTCCCGAGATTGGTGTATATAGTACCGTGGTACTATGGACCGGGCAGCGTCACGTCTTAGGCGGAGCAGATGGGTCGTTTGCTACGTGCATGGCTTGTTTTGCCAGTGTATGGATGGCCCATGAAGTTAGCTGGAGGGCTGCTCCACAGAATTCAGGGTCAGTTGCACAGCCTGATCACAAAACAGCAGAAGGAGATGCAGATAATTAGCATGGCATGGAAAAAGACATCAAACTTGACGTGTGGGAGCTCAAGTTTGGGCCTGAGTTTCTTTTTCCTTCACTGCGCACGCCAGCTGATGTCGACAGCTGCGACGAGACGGGCTTGACACGGCACAGGGTGAGGGCCCAGAATCGACGGCGTGAACGGGGCTGACAGAAAGGCACTGGCGTACGCTGTGTTGATGCAAGCAACAATGTGAGGGACAATATGCGGCAACTTCACCTCATGCCGTGGGCCAGAACGTGTCACTCTTGGGATGCAACGACCTCCCTGCGGTTGGGAACGCAGACAACCCAGGTCATGCTGGCCTTGGAGGCCGAGACACATACCCGCTGTTCCTCGCGATGGACGACCTGATGGGGTGGCCGAACTGAAGCATCCGAAGTCCTGGGACATACTGGCAAAGAAACCAAAGGTGTTACGCGGCGTCAGGGAATCGACTGAAGTTGTCCTGGCAGCTGTTTGCGTTGATGACAATGTCAGGTGGTCAGGCGATGAGGCGACTAAGGAAGAATACAGACGAGACGAAGACGAGGCTGCGGCAGGGTTAGAGTGGTAGAGTTTCTGGGGTTGAGCATGTGCGTGCGACTGCGCTTTTTTCGTCGTTTCCAGATGGACACGATATCGGCATGGGATGTTTCGTTTCTCGAGGATGAGGATCGTGTAAGCGAACCACCACCCTACGAGCGGAAATTGGATCAGTATCGGTATTCTCGATGGTCCGACAGTGATATCGCTGGGATACCACTTAACAGCCGACTTGGCGGGGCCCTGAGGGTTTGATGCCGGGGGGGGGCGTGAGGGCGGAGCTGGATGGGTGACCTCAGAGACACAACGGCGGCGTGTATCGAGGATCGCGACAATGGAGTCGTGGCGGCCTGAACTCAGGCCACTCATCCCTATCCCCGTACAAGTCCAGCCGTGTGTGACGTCTTGGGCCAACAGAGAGCAAATGGACCAATCCGGGACAGGGCGAAGCAGCCTCGTGGCTTGGGCAAAGCACGGTCAGCAGTTGCTCAGGACAAGAGGTTGCAGAGTTGCAGAGACGATGGGGTAGGGTGACGTTCAGTCGGGTTTGGAGGAGGTTTTCTGAGACGGGGCCTGTTTTGTACGTGTCAGAGGGTGGTCGTGTGAAGCACATCCGAGCGGTACAACGCCCCTGAGTACGTACCCTCGACCGCCCCACTCAGCCCCCAGGTGTTGCAGTGAACACGCAGCGACAAGGAGCCCTGTAGCGACCGCTGATGGGGGGATTGCTACAGCAGCGGCGGCAGCGAGCACTGCGGCCAGGGGAGTTCTTCCAGCGCTGTTAGTGGATCAACGTGCAGTATGCCCCCCCACAACCTTATTTCGGCTTCGACATCGTCCGGTCTTTGACTTGTCCCTCCTCGGTCCCAACCTTGCTCACCATGACCATGACCATGACCATGACCATGACCATCTTCCTGGGATCCAGCATTGCATGTGTGTGCGGGGATGCCCATTGAGAGGCAGCTGCATGCAAGAAGCCTACACACCATGATTCGAGGACTGACGTTCGAGTATCGACATCAAGGTGCCTTTCCCTGGCTCTTCGTGGCTTCATCGCCTTCTACCCCCCTTGACGATACCTGCAGCATGTCGACCGCCTAATTGCCTGCTTCGGCCGGCGAGTCGAACCTGCAAAGTCCTATGAATCTCAGCTGGTGTCTCTCGATTCTGGCTGATGCTGAAAAAGCTGGAGAAAACCCCCAGCCCAGCCTCGAGACATCGAATCAGTCCTGGTCCAAACGCGTTTCATCTCGACTCCCGCTTTTCTGGCCTACCCTTCAGTATGTCCCTGCGGCCGACACCCTGCAACACCAGCCCAGCCAAGCCCAGCTTGAGCCGCCTCGTCTGTCACAACGGCGATGCACTCGCCTCGCTCCCCTGCCCCTCATCTACCCCCCCGGCCCTGTCCACGGCCCACGCCCAGAACCTCAGACGCATCGCCCGTGGCAGATGTGCAGGGGTTCGTGTCTGGCCTCCCCTTCCTGGGACGATCCTAAGCTTTGCTTATAATCATGCCTTCTGCTGCTCTCACATCACGGCCGTTTCGTTCTCTTCTGCTTGCAACCCAGTGACCTTGACGAGTTCTGTTTCCTTTTCACGTCTTCTCTTTCTTTTTCTTCTCCATCAGTGTCTTCCTTCACTTCCTCAACACCCGTTCAACCACCACCTTTAATTCCACTTCGCCGCCGAAGCTAGTCCTTCGCAACCACAGCGCCAGCCGCTTTATTCTCTGTACTGCAGTGGTTCTCTGGAAGACCGGTCCGATCTTTTTTTCACGACGCACTATATCGTCCTCACACGTCAAAACGACATACATACCTAAAACAAAACACATATTGTCAAGATGCAGTTCTCATCAGTCATCCTCGCCGCCATCGCGTGTGCTGCGCAGGCTCAGGGTATGTTGCACATGGAGCAGACATCGTATGGCACCACCGCTAACACAACGAGCAGCCATCGGTGTTCAGGCCGTCCAGGTTGCTTCCAACAACGGCTCCCTGACCTTCTCTCCCGAAAAGATCACTGCTCCTCCCGGCAGCATGGTTCAGTTCCAGTTCATGGGCGGCAACCACACCGTCACCCAGTCCACCTTTGACAGCCCCTGCCAGCCCATGGGCATCGTCCAGACCGACCCCAATTCGCCCCCCAAGGAAGGCATCTTTTCGGGTTACGTCCCCGTCGCCGCCTCGGCCAACATGGGCCAGCGCCCCGTCTTCAGCATCATGGTCAACGACACCAAGCCCATCTGGCTCTACTGCCAGCAGGGCCCCCACTGCCAGCGCGGCATGTCCATGGTCATCAACGAAAAGTGAGTCGACCGACGTGTGACCTTGCCCCCTCTTGTAAACCTTGACTGACCCAAGCCTCTCCAGCCCCGCCAGCAACAACACCAAGACCCTGGCAAACTACAAGGCCGCCGCCGCCGCCCTCGGTGGAGGCAACGCTGGCCAGCCCGGCGGAAACCAGCCTACCACCCCCGGCGGCGGCAACGGCAACGGCAACGGCCAGGGCGGCGGCGACAACAACCAGAACCCCGGTGCCGGCGGTGCCCAGGGCGGCGGCAACAATGTCCCCGCGGCTGGCGCCTCGCTCGCCGTTCCCAGCTCGCTCCTGCTCGTCGCCGGTGCCGCGTTCATGCTGCTGTAAGGGGTCCCCTCGCAGCAGAAGACAGGGGGGTGGCAAGGCGCCGGGGTCGCGCGAGGTGGAGGCTAATACCAGATTCATCGCTGAAACGGCGTTTACTCGTTATATTATCATGACGTTACATATTCATGTGTCTTTTTTTCTTACTTCTTTCCAATGTATGTCATCCGGCCAGAGAGAGGGTCGGTCGGTCGGTGGGCATGGCGGACGGGTTAGATACCCTGTGCGATACGTCTGTAAAAAGAGAGGTCCGAGAGGCCACTTGGTGGAGATGCATAATTTTTTTCGCTGGTTGTCTCAAGTGATGCTTTGATGGGTATGTGCTGTGAGGGGGAAGTGAGAGGGATGTGTACGCGGTGCAAATCACAGGCAACATGAACCCTTGGACATGTCGCCGAAACCAGGGTCTTGTGAATCCATTTTTTACTTTTGAATTTTCTCATACAACATCATCCAGACATCCATCATGTGCACGTCACGTCTGGAGCCACGGCTTGCCCGCCTTCTCCGCCTCCTTCTCCCTCTTCTTCGCCGCCCGCCTCTCCTCCTTGGCCTTCCTCTCCTCCTCCTCCTGGCCCGGCAGCTTCCTCTTGACGCGGCCCTTCTGCGCCTTGTCGCACAGGCGGGGCACGGGCGCGCCGGCGGGCCAGCCCTCGGGGAGCCGCACGTAGCCGACGCGCTGGTACCTCTCGCTGTTGCCGAAGAAGTCGACCCAGTGCTGCAGGGCGTCGTGGACCTTCTGGGCGGCGGCCTCGCGCTCGGCGGCGCGCAGCGCCTCGAGCTCGGCGTACGACCAGTGGCGGTCGACGTCGGCGTCGTCGAGGGGCAGGTACATGGTCTCGACGCCGCGCATGTCGGGCACGCGGTCCTCGGCGAAGCAGCCCGTGACGAAGGCGCGCGAGGCGTCGTGCCCGGCGAAGAGGTGGTAGCTGCCGCCCGGGCCGTAGCTGCGCGGGTTCGCCGACACGTCGTAGATGGTGTGGTTGATGGCGAGGTAGATGGGCGTGTCGGGGGTCGTGCCGTCGTAGGCGCGGAGCTCGGCGGGGGTCAGGTAGAGGGGGCCGTTCTGGGGCGTCGGTCAGCTGGGAGGCCAGAGAGGTACAGCAGAGCGACAGCTGGGAGGCCAGAGAGGCACAGCAGAGCGACAGCTAGGAGGGAGGGAGAGAGAGAGAGAGAGAGAGAGATGCATACCCAGCGCAGCTTCCAGTACGAGGGCCGCAGGTACCACGGCTTGTCGTCGAAGCCCCAGGTGAAGCTCTCGCCGCTGCTCATGACGTAGCTCAGGGCGCAGCTGGCGACGGCGAGGAAGCTGAGGACGCGCAGGACGTCAATCAACGGGCTGAAGGCATCGGTCTCGCCGTCGTCCGTCCGGGCGGCCTTGGCTTTTGTGCCCGCCTTGGCCTTGGACTTGGTCTTGCGACTGAGCTTCTCGGACGGGGTGCCGGCAAATAGGTTGTCGTCGTCCTCGGAGCCGCACTCTTCGTCGGGGACGATGGGGATGGCGACGGGCTCTTTCTTCCGCTGCCGGGCGGTGGTTGCTTCGGCCATGGCTGCGAGCGGTGTCGGTCTTGCACTTCGGGATTGGGGATCGAGGACGAAAGGAGGGGGAAGCCGTTGGTGAGGTGCGTGTCGGGTCGAGTATAAAGCTGGGTTTCGAGCTGTCAGGCAAGGCGACGTGTAAGTGGGATTGGGAGCAATCTGATAGGGTGCCGGATGGCCTGCATCCGAGAGACAGGAGGCGGATCAATTCGAGGACGACAGCACGGCTTCTACGGGTCGGCAGATGAATAAGGAAGAAATGGTCTGGAATCGGGGCAGTGCTCCACTGACGCGACAGCAGGCCAGGGCTAAGAGCAAGATCGCAAGGGCCTGCCTCAGGGATCTATGTCGAGGGAGTGTGTTTCCTCCTGAGAGGGTCAATTGCCAGCAATGGATTTTACCGAGCTCCATCCAAGCTACCTACCTACCTAGGTGGGTAAGATAAATAGTCCCAGAGCCTCGCGACTGTTAGCATGAGCCGAGACAGGGGGCTCTCAGTCGGGTAGTGGCTCAGCCGTACAATATAGCCACCGGGTACAAAAACCCACAGTGGACATACCTCAGTGTTGTTCTTCAATTGGAGTGACCTTATCCTCGACCCCGTCGTCACATCGTACCATCAATTCGGGGTGCAGGAGGAGGTTCAGGCTACGAAGAACACAAACAGCGGCGAGGACGGGAACCGGTTTTATCAGCGAGGAAACATGAAGGCCGACCTGACAAGCCACAGCTATCACAATACGAGTCCTGGCTTTACGTTTGTCGTGAGTCCGCCGAAGGAACAACAGACCACGTCTCCCCAGTAAACTCCAGACGGCCATCCACCCTCAGCCTCTCCGGGTCCATATACACGCACATCCCAATGCCGCTACGTTCGATATTACACACACGTAGGATCATGTACACCTCATCATGCCCACGCGCATTGTGAATGTCTTGCATCTACAAGGACTGAGTCAGCAACAATCCAACAGCGGCTCTAAGGGGCACCACTAGAATGGTCGATGGCGTGACGTACCCGCTGGTATTGAGCCTTGCTCATATAGAAGGGTGTATTGTGAGGCCCTGTGGTTGTCTTGACTTCGATGTAGTACTTCGGCCGGGCATCCCACCACCCTTCCCCGTCAAGATAGCCATGGTCCTTGAGCCATTTTGTGAGCTCGCCACGCACGTCTTGGTACGTCATGTCGGCCGTCTCTCGCCCGTTCCAGGGCGGCATGTCCTGATAATCCGGGTGGAGCGTGACGTACCGCCGGATCGTGCTTTGCCAGTTATCGCGACTCCAGCCGTGGAGAGCGGGAGTCAGTCGAGACAGCAGCTCGAAGACCTGTATGGAACCGAGTGCATCTGATCAGCTTTTGATTCGGGTCGTTCGGCCCAGAGACTTTGGTCTCTGGTGTTAGGGGGAACTCACGTATAGCTCACCGGCGGCACCAATTTTCCTGTCACGCTCAAGTTGACTCGTGGAGTGGAACCGGCTCTCGACGTCGGGGCCGTCAAAGCCGCCTTGCCAGGCGTCGATTGATCTTTCTGGAAGTGCGTCTCGGAGGTTGCTCATGTCGAAGATGCCTTGCGACGGGAACACGGCTTGCCTCGCCGCGTCGACGACCTTCGTCAGCAGACGAAGGTACAGAGCATCCTCGCTCGTTGACCCTTGAAGAATCGTCGCATGATATGCTGAGGGCATAGAGTGTAGCTGGACAACTGAATGATAGGCCATATGGCTACGTCGAGAGACCGTGTGGGTGACCTCGGCGTCGCTACTCGACAAGTCGGGATACGTTCCAGAAAGGGGCGCCAGTCGGGTCTCAGTCGGCATGGCCGGTCCTCGCTCGTTCGCTGCCGTGTCTGGCGTCATGGGCTGCACCAGAGATTCAGCATCATCGCCCCTTCCGGCAACGGAAGCTTCATCCTCCTCATCTTCGGCCACATTCACGTCCTCGTTCGGGATGGAGATGTTTATGATGCTCAGGCGCTCAAGAAGTGCGTCGACCGACGCTGGATCGGCGCCCAAAATCGTCACAAGCGCTCGAACCGCGAATTCCTCAACTGCATCGGGAATCTGGGTCACAGGATCCCGCATCAGCCAACTCGCCAGATATATGGGCAGGGCGCTCAGGTAGCAGATTTCTCTTGCTTTCTTGTGCCTCGGCACGAAGAAGGTGAGGTGCGACGAGCTGTCATCGATGTGCAGGTCACCAATGGCAGTCTCTAGCTCCGTAGACCGCCCGTCCTGGGATATCCGTAGCACGGACGAAATGCCGGTGGTTTCGGTGGTCACAGCGCTCCGCAGCAGCTGGTACAACTCGCTGGGTCCGGCTTTGTATCTGGGACTGCTAAAATGAGCCGCAATACTGGACGAGTACGTCGGCGAATTAGTGACACAGTAACCATGATCAGAAGTCATTGCGGAACGGGCACTCACCGAGAGATTGCATGCGCTTTCCGCTTGATATCGTGGTTTGGGGTCGAGACGGGCCTCGAGTCGGCTTCGGCAACCGACGTGCTCTCCCTCACGGCAGCTGACAGATATCGATTCGCGAGTCCAACCCATCTGATAAAAGGCTTCAGACGCAGAACCTCCTCTCTGCTGAAGTCGAGCAACTTGATTCGGCTCCTAAACTTATCCGCCAATGACTCGTTATCAACGATGGCAAAACCCGCTCCGATCGTCCTCAAAGTTAAATTGCCACTCCCATACTTCACGGGGAAAATTGGTATTCTATGGAGCGGCACAGGATCAGGGAGCTCCTGCTCTGTCTGCAAGAGCGCATTCAGCGACCAGAGTGTGGCTTTGACATCGTCAATGGACGCCTGCGCATCTGTCTGCAGCAGCTCGTCATATACCATCTGGAGTGTTAGCGTCTTTACGCCGAGGTTTTCCACGAACAGTTCCCTCAGGTCTTCGTAGTCATCATTCAACGTGACCTTGCCACTGATGTCTGTCGTACTGGACCACAGGCAGTCAGACGTCTTGTACCAGCCGGCCTGACCGTCCTTTACGACGAATATAAGGGCGTCGTCCTCGAATGTTCGCCTATTCGCATCCGAATCAGTACTTGCGCAGAGGAAATTGGGGTTTCGAGTCCGCGACACGAGAATCTTGCCTTAATTCGTTTTGGAACGCGACGACCTTCAAGTCCGCGAGGTACAAGTAGAGGCCACGGATGCGGTCGAGGTCATCGCAGCCCTGATCCCTTAGTTTCGCCAGTTCTCCCAGCAGATCCCTCCAGGACACATCATCAATCTTGAGCGTTTTCGAAAAGAAACGCGAAAGTATCCTCATTTGATCCTCGCTGCCTAGTTGGGAATAGAGGCGCTCGAGTGGGAATAACGATATCATGTCGGGTGGTGCCTTCCAGCGACAAGAACTGGCAACCGTCCATGTCGCCTTGGGTGCTCCTCGTGCGGGAATTAGAATGACAGTCCCTCCTATCTCCCAGAATAAATTCCTACAGGAAGCGGAACAGTTAATTATCAAGAGCTTTCAAGAAAGGCTCACGAGAATTGGAGTTACGCACTCAATTGCGTCCTTGGCAGCTTGTCGGTCTGTAGTGGCCTGGAATCTAGTTTCAATGGCGACATAAATCTAATATCGTCTGACATCTGTCAGCGAACGCACTCGTGGAGTCGGCAGTCGATATTCGAAAGAGCATGTCCAGGAGAAACCGCGTGTCGTCCTCTTTGCGCACATTGAATTTTGTGTGGAGGAACAGCCACTTTGTAAGAAACGCCTCTTCATCCTCAGTTCCTTCGAGATTGAGAAATGGGAAATGTGTAGAGTCATTTCCCATAAACCGCCGGTATTGTTGCTGGAGGTGTGGCAGCGGCAGGTACGAGTCCTTCAACTCACAGTACACCTCGAGGGGAGGCTTGCATAGTTCATCTGCCTGGAGCCCGCTCAAGTACTCTTTGAGATACTGTTTTTCTTTGAACAGTGACTCTTCGTGCCGCCAGAGGTACTCAAACAGGCCCAGCCATTTAGCCGGGTGGTGGTCCAGGACAGAGGTAAACTGTTGCGAAATTTCGTGTCGGTTCTGAGAGATTAGCCTCAACCTCCTACGAACGCCAAGGTGATCATAGAGCCAGCCCTTCCACGAGGGATGACCTGCAGTCGGGGCGCTAGGTGAAACTTCAAGGTATGCCGGATGAAGAAACGTGACTTCAAGGCCTGGCCAAGTATCAGTTGGCCCCAGGAGAGCTCCCGGCCCGTACGGGTCATTGCTGTGCAGGTAGAAATCTTCTTCATCTGTCTTCCCAGTGGCATTGTTCTCTTTGTAGAGAAGAATCTGACCAAGCCTTTCACCACGTTGCCTGCTATTGTGAGAGAGGTATAAGAAATGGAGTTGGGCCCTGGATTTCTCGACGTCGACATGTTTGGGCGAAGACGGACTGTACAGAGCCTCTAAGACGGACTTGCGGACCTCCGAGACAGATGCTTCCACAGCGCCTAGATGCTCGAAAAGAGCTCTGCGGTCCGCATTGGCAACAGCTGTGGAGTCTAGGACATGCTTTTTTACGCCCGGCGGGATTGGGATCCCGGCAGTTGTTGGTAGATAGATGACTCCGTCGTTGGCAGAGACCCACAGGCCATCATTCAAAGGAAGTATAACACAAAGCCTCAGCTTAGAAATGGCTGTCTTCACTTTTTCAGTGAAGAAGAATGTCAAGAGCCGTGCAACTGCTGAGTGCCAGTCCTCGCTGGTCGAGGGCGACTTCATTCTTGACTGAGAGTTGGCAAGATCGGCCTCAAGAAGATTGCGGATGATAAAAAAATGGCATGCATGCAGCCCGTATGGTTTCAGGGCTTCAACCGAAGCCCTCTTATATGCCGTGGAGATAAAGGGGTCCAGTACAGAGTCATCGAACAGCGAGGTCCCGTTACGGTCGGTGGCCGTGTTAGCAATGATGTGAACATTTTTGATGGTCCGGAGACCTCTTTTATGTCGTGACTTGAGAATGGGTGTCTGAGACACGAGCTCTTTGATCCGCTGCACCAGGTTGGACCAGAATGCGCTTGATTCATTCGTCGTGGAGGGGAGAAATCTTGGCCAGGTGTAGCACAGGCTTGGGTGCTCGCAGAATTGCAAGACGGCCTTTATGAACGCTGCGGCGATGCCATCGATGAGGCTCCAATTTCTCAAGGAAGTGGAAACGATGTCTTGTCGACTAGCGCTCGTGTCGAAATCGGAATGAATGAGAAACTATCAAAAGGACCGGGTCAGAATTCGGGAGATCGCCGTCTCCGAAAATCTCGAGGGCCAGGGGGTTCGCATACCTTGAAATTTGACTCCCTGATGGGTAAGAAGGCAAATATCTCTTGCTGCTCAATGAGTGGCTGCGAGTCACTTGTCAGGGGAAACGCGAGCACCACCTCGGCTTCTGTGTTATTAGCCGAATCGCGATTGTCGCTTTTTGAGAGGTTCGTGGCCATATGACGTGTGACATGATATTGCTTATTCTCGGTTGAGGTTTGGCTGCCGTTCCCACTCGCACTACGCGTTGAGGTGGTCTCGAGAAGAACTGTATGGTCACGCTCATCGCCTACGCGAAAGTTCTTGGAGCTCTTCAGCCCGCCATCCTCATCGTAGAAAGCAACGCTGATTTGCCGGAGGTTGCGCAGAAACAGCAGTGAGGTATGCTGTAGCTCGCTCAACTGTCTGAAGATGGTCTGTCGGAGGTGCTCCAGCTCCTGCGCTTCCCCTTGCTCGTGGAGGTGAAGGGTCATACGGGTGAGTGGCCCAGGCAGCGCAGCGGCCTGGTTCTCCCATACGGGAAGGACCATGCCTAGACCGAGATCGCCCTTCTCATGCTTGAAGTAGAAGGAGAAGTGGCCGGATTGAATGGCAACTTTCCATGCGGCGATGAAGACGGATTTGAAGCCGATGCCCTTAGCACCAATGTAGCCACGAGAAGCTGACTTGGTGCTCTCGCCGACGGAGCAGATGGCGCGCAGATCCTTCTCGGTAAAGCCGTCTTCGTTACATTCAACCACGATCCGGTGCGGGTGAACGTGGAACGAGATGAACGGAAGGGCGCCGTTGGCCTTGGCGCGAGTGAAGCGATTGTCGTCAGCGTTTTGGAGCAACTCGAAGACGAAGCGTGCGTCGCTTCCGTAGATATTTTTCGCCAGGCTACATTTGACGTCAGCAAGGCCGGCAATTGAGCCAAGGTGGGAAAGAGACCGGCTCGCGGTCCTTACGTCTTGATCGAGTGCGCTGCCAGCTTGTCCTTGGCGAGCATGCTCTCCTCGATGGTCCGCCTGATGCTTGGGTTCCACTGCCCAATCTGTTCCATGATATCTTCGCCGACGAATCCGTACTTCTCTCCAATGGCCACCACGGCTCGTTTTGCATCTTCCGAGCTAGTCATGATGCCTTGCTTGCGGCATATGTTCGTTTGGATTGTGTCTGGTCAATTCTTCGTGTTTGTCAAGTTATAGACGAGCAGTATGGTGGAAGAGGGACCTTTGGCACCATAGCATGCCCGCCCCGAGTGGGAAAATGAGGAGTAAATATAACCGCCATGGGACGGGCAGAGGGAAGCTGTCCGCCTGTCTTGTATGCCTTATGTGCCTCGTACGAGAGGTGACATGCCGTTGGTGTGGAAGCGCCGATGTGTTCATGTCCTCCAATAGACAGCAGAGGTTGGTGCAGGCATTGCGAATAGCGGCGTCCACGGGCTGATGCACGAGATTGGTGGGCTGAGTAGACCCATCACCATTGTAACCGGCAGTTGGTGCTGTTGAAACATAAGCTCCTTGCAATCTAGCTTCATGATACACAACCTGGACGCTCGAGGTTGGTCGGCATCTCTATCTTGCTACGGGCACCGGGGAAAGCCTTTCAGCGTTGATCTGCTTCCGCAAGCTCGCACACTAGATCTCGGCGCAGGCACTGGTTCGGCCTGTGAGTTTGCGAGGCCTGGACTGGACCCTCGTTGCAAGAACTCATAGGGTAGCTTTGTTGGAAGATGCAAGAGTCGGCGCGCGCATGATAGCCAGGTAGCTTGTACCACCTACGGTCAGGTAGGTAGGTAAGGTAGGTACGCTATGGGGAGGTTGACGAGACCCACGGAGGAAGTGAACTAGCCCTCATCTTTCAGCATGACCCGATGCGAATGCTGCATGTGGAAAAGACCAGAGCATATCGAGAATCGTAGATCTCGCCAAATGCCAAAGGTATGTTCCTGCGCAAAAGCAGGCCAGTCCCAGATGTGCGAGAGCATATACGTATCGTGTATGTTCTGAAGCATCCTGGGCGAACCACGACTGATGTCAGCACCTTGCGAGCAGGGTCGTTTCACACTCAGTCGTCAGGTACAGCACGCAAGAGGTCGCTACTCAGGGCTTGGCTGAGCAAGAGCGACAAGGCTCTACTTCAAGGCCGTGGTGCGTACCTGCCCTCCGCCTCCAGCCTTCGACTCAAGCCTGTGTTTGGACCAGTGGTGTCGGGCCTTGGTGGGGAGGCCGTGGCACGTGCCCTTTGGCCTTGGCCACATGCTGAAGAGCCCTGAACGGTCAGCGTTGACAAGGCTGATATAATCACATGCCATCACCGTGGCAACCCCCCCCCCCCCCACTGCATCATTGAACAGCAACTGACAGGGAAGATGGGGTAAACACGCTCGACACTAGAGCAGCCCCCCCCCCCAATCCATTCATCCACAGCATACATGCTCGACACGACACGACAGGCTACCAACGAGATGCCATCCACCATCTGATGACAATCCATCCGTCCATCCAAACCACTTTCTAGTCTGTGCTAAAAAGTCAAAATTCTGCTATACCTCCGCCCCCTTTCAGTCGCTTTCAGTCGGGACCCCATGCCAGTAGCAGCATCGACATCATCATCCACGTCAGACAACCAGGCTTCACAACATACCACACACCCGAGACCAGGACCGCTACATTCCTCCCCAGCGCGGCCCACGACGCTGCCTGCGCCGCTGCACAATGGACTCACCACGCAGCCACCTGGGCTCGCCGGGCGGGCCCCTCAATCCAATAACGCCCGACCGCGCCAACCGCGAGTCTACCTTTATGGCGTCGCTGCGAAGTGACCTCCGCTCCAGCCCTGTCCACGATAAGATCAGCCAGTTCAACACCCTCGCCATGCAGTCCAAGTCGCTCGAGCGCAAGACGGCCGACGCCGCCCTCAAGCGAGCCATGCTCGGCCGCGAGGAGGCCGAGGGCGAGATGCGTCGCTACCGAGACGAGACCAAGGTCCTGCGTGTCCAGCTCGAAAAGGCCCGCGACCGCGAGATGCGCGTCAGCGAGCGCCTCGAGGCTGTCATGGTACGCTCCCTCTCTCTCTCTCTCTCTCTCTTTCCAAAATTCTCTCTCTCCAAAAAGATTCTCTAGCTGACACCCCCAGGAACAACACGGCCGCGCCAAGGAGACGTACGCCCACACCAAGGCCGCCTGGGAGAAGGAAATCAAGCACGCCCGCAAAAAGACGTTCAAAAACGACGCCGCCATCATCAAGCTCCAGGAAGAACTCAAGGCCGCCCGCGACGGCTGGCGCTCCGTCTCCGACCACCTCGACAACGAAAAGGCCCGCAGCAAGGCCCGCGAGCAAGAGGCCTTTGCCGCCCGCTACCAGATGGTCAGCCTCGAGGAGAAGCTCGGCGAGGCCCTCGAGCGCATCAAGGTCCTCGAGCAGGAGCGCGACGCCATGCGCATGGAGCGCGACACCTTCCGCGACCTCGCCAAGGAGGAAGAGGTCGCCCGCATCGCCGCCGAGGGCCGCATCCCGCTGCCCAAGAACGAAGACCACGACGACGAGTTTGCGTCGCCGAGGAAGAAGAAGCCCAGGGTCTCGCTGTCGACGGCCGACGTCGTCTCGAGCGCCGCCAGCGAGGCCGAGTTTGAGGAGATGATGCGCAAGATGGAGTGGGAGCACCAGCGCGCCGAGCGCGCCTACGAGACCATTGACTTTCTCAAGGCAGAGTGCCAGCTCAAGGCGTGCGAGGGCGCCCGGTCGCTCAAGAGGAAGAGCATGATGTCGCCTCGGCGCATCCTCGTCGCGCCACAGGACGTCACCGGCCCCGCCGAGATGGCCATTTTCGGCCTCACCCCCAAGTCCGCCTCGCCGACACGACCCTCCTCTCGGGACTCCGCGTCTACATTCAAAAAGCCAGAACGTCCTGCCGTCAGGAAGCGAAGCCAGCCCCGACGCAGCACCATCTTCAACCCGGAGGAGGGGACGTTCCGTACCGTCTCACAAGAGGAGGCCCAGGTCTTGGCGGCGACAGAAGGCGCGGCCATGCACATTATGGAGCAGGATGCCGAGGAATCGACGGAAGAGCAAGTCGTGGAAGAGATCGACATGCAGATGGAGGACCTGGTCGACGTCGCCGTGCAACCTGAGGAGCACGCTACTCAGATCGAAAAGCAACTAGAAGTCCAGGTGGACGACGCCAGCGAGCCGGCTAGTCCTGTAGACGCACCCTCAGAACGTCGCATGTACGCGCGCACCCCCTCCGTCGAGCCTCCCGCCTTTGCCCTCCTCGCCCAGGAGCGCATGTCGTTAGCCTCTCTGCTCAACGCGCCCCACGGCGATGCACACACCGCTCCGCTTCCCAGCATACCTACTGTGCCCGACGAGGTCGGACAGGCCGAGGAAGAAGATGAAGAAGAAGAACAAGAAGAAGAACCAGCGGAAGTCAGGGAAACCCAAAAACCAGAGGCGCCAAAACCCGCCTCACCGCCGAGGAAGCGCTCACCGCGCAGCTCAACAACATCCGTCGCCACGAGCTACCGCACCTCGACGACGACAACGACGATTCCCATCTACGACGAAAACGAACGGCCGGCATCTCGCTTCGCCCGCTGCCGCACCCCCTCGGGCGAGTCTCACTCGTCCTTCGACGTCAACAACCCGGCCATGACGCCGACCATGACGCGCGAGGAGGCCCTCGCCCGCATCCGCGAGCGCCGCGGCCGCGCCCGCAGCGCCGCCCAGGGCGCCGTGACGCCCCGGCTCAAGATGGTCGAGGGCGCCGGCGAGAGGCGCGACCTCAGCGCGCCGCAGCCCCAGGCGAAACCCACGAGCATGAGCAAGGCGGCGGGGCGGGTCCGTCACGCGCGGTGAGGATCCGTCCTGGTGTGGCGTGGCCGATGTATATCACGACAGTACGATGGCTCGCCTCGAGCGTGTTTTCCATGTTGCGCGGCGTTGGACGATCTCGGGGTCTCGCGAGGCCTCGTTCTTTTTTTTTTCCTACCCCTTCCATGCATTTGTTTTTTTTTTGCGCATGGCGTTGGGGATGCATGGCGTCACGGGCTGGGATGATTATTTCCGTACCCCCCCCCCCCCACTAACCCCTTTTCTGTATTTTCCAGCTGGGGAAGGCTACTGTTCTGGGGAGGATTGAGATATGATTATCATGGCTTGTAGAGACCAAGGCGGTGACGCCGGTAATTGATGTTTTTATGATCATGCTTCGTGCTGTCTTTCGTCTTGGCTGTTCTGGAGAGGCCCTGTCGGCTTCCTCGACGGTGAGCTTTCCGAATGCCAGGCCCACGACACTGGTGTCATAAAGGTACGGCATTCCGGGAAGTGAGGATCTGATAGTGACAGAACGTATCTCTCCAGTCTCGTCCTTGCGCGTCTGGCTCAGTCGACAGGTGACTGGCGAAACAAATGCATACACACAGCACTCAACAGTCCTAAGCGCCCCAAAGAACAAGTGGATACAGAGTTGGAATATGCAAAATGTCTCATAAATCACATGGTACGTTTCGTCAGGGTATACAAGAACTTCAACGCCGTCAAAAAAGCAAAAGGCCACGCCCCTGGAACGCCATCGTTCTGCCGGTCATATCCTAGCACCGTGATACACCTCACATTGACCCAAGGGGTCGCCCGACTCGGGGGTGGGGGGTCCGAAGGGCAAAAGGCTCCCCCCTCACCGCCGGAGGAAGCCCCTCTTGGCATTCCGCGACCTCTCACTGCTATACGCCTCCAGCTTGACCGGCACGAGCACGGCCTCGACGCTGCTCTTGCCGCCCTGCGCGCCGCGGATGCGCAGCCGCCAGTGGCCCGCCGAGATGACCCACTGCTCGTCCACGGCGGCGGCGGCGGCTGTCCCATTGCTGTCGACGCGGCGTCGCTTGCGCGGGCCGGCGACGTCCTCGGTGGCGGCGTCCACGGGCGAGGGAGGCGACGGGTGTGCCTCGGCCGGCAGCGGCAGGCTGTGCTCCTTGCCGTTGAGGGTGACGTCGGCGTCGTCCTCAAAGGCGACGCGCACGAGGTCGTCGGACAGCGGCGTGTGGCCCGGCGTCGGCGGCTGGCTGCTGCGGCCGCCGGCGGCCATGAGCAGGCCGAGGGGCTGGGTCGTCGGCGGCAGGTCGAGCTTGGTGGCGAGGACCTCGAAGAGGCGGGCGACGCGCGAGCGCGTGTCGCGAAAGAACTCGGCGCGGGGCCCGTCGGGCGTCAGGTGCAGCACGGTGGCCTCGTCGGCGGCAATCTCGAGGACGAGGTCGGCCGGGTGGGGGTCGGTGAAGGGGCGGGCGTAGGTGACGCGGCCCGAGACGGGGTCCTCGGGGTCCTGGTCGTTGGTGATGGAGATGCCGCTCTTGAGTATGTCCTCGAGGCGCAGGAGGATCTCGTGGCGCGCGCGTGTCTGGTTGTACGACAGGGTGTGGGAGATGAGGCGTTGCTCGAGGCCCTTGAAGTTGAAGTAGCGGCAGTCGCGGAGGAGGTCGGCGCGATGCGTCTCGTTGCGAATGTGGACGGGATAGCCGCTGAGGAAGTGAACGAGGTCTGCGAAGATGTCGGCCGAGCGATTGGGCACCGAAGGCGGCAGGATCGAGGGGGGCCGGATGAGATGCTCACGCTCGAGACCAGGGAAGAGGTCTTTCGGATTGGAAAAGAAAACGGCGAAGCCGAGGGTGAAGAAGTTGGGAGAGTTGCCCGGGTCGTTGAAGAGCTCGCGCGGGATCTGGAACTCGCGGTGGCCGATGGATATGAAGATGGACTCGTCAAAGAGCTGGGAGATGAGCTTGGGCAAGCTGTAGAACTGGGCGTCGGCAAACAGGCGCACAAAGTGGGTGCCGTCGCGCGGCTGGACGTGGTAGCCCTGGAGGTGAAGAGATATGTCGTGAAAGGTCTCGGGATCGCGGTCGATGTAGAGAGTGCGAATGGCCGTCGACAAGTCTTCGCCCGTCTCTTGCGCGCGCTTGATCTGGCAGTAGAAGTATTGCGAAAAGTACGAGGGTGCGTCGGAGGATATGGAGGCACCCGAAAGCTTGAAGAGCTGGGAGCCGATCTGGATAGGGAAGACACGCTCGTGGGGGAGGATGCGCGGGATCTTGATGACGTCCTTCTGTGTCGTTGGCGGACTGCGCGCGCGCGGGAGAGTGAAGGTTGTCGGCGTTGTCGAAGGCGAGGGATCGCCGCTGGGCGTGATGCCGTTCTGAGAGGCACCGGAAGCCATGGCAGGAGCGTCGACCGTTGTCGCGATGCTGAAGTCTAGATGCGCATCCGCTGTTGGTTCATGGCGTGTTCTCGCAAGGAAATGGAGGGAAGGACGCTGGCTCACCCTGGATGTTGCTCGAGAACGGATGGCCAAAGGTCATGGCCTGGCCAGAGTCAATGGGAACATCAACCTGGCTAGGTGGTGGCATTGCGATGGGGAGCCGGAGCTGGATCCTGGGCGATCTCAGCAAGTGCCTGAATGGCAAGCCGGAGCATGGCGTGAATGCGTTCGTCGCCGTATGCAGGGTTCAGGGGGACTTGACCTCTTTTAGATGGATATCTACACCATATGCATATGCCCTACCCTTGCCCCTCTCGACCCGATAAATCGATAAACTCCCAACTTTCACACTCACCAGCAGCCGGAATATCTTGCACGTCATCTGAACCTCAGCAAGCCCTCATCGAGCGAAGAGTGAGGTCGAGGGAGCTGAAGCTACGGTCTTGACCTTTTTCCGTCGGTGAAAAAGAACATGCGGACCTCGGGGCCGTAAAAATCCCGGGGACTACGGGGCCATCCTGAGATGTCGCTATTGTACATACAGCGCGGACGGATCCCCGAACCCCTCATTCTCGATCGGCCCGGCCAGGTCGACATACGTAGCAATCGCATTCTCGTCAATGACGAGAAATAGCTTCGCCATCGTCTGAAATCTCATCATTCACCTCTCTTCACAAGTGATCTAACTACTCACTACACACAACTTACACCAGCTCGACGCAACCCACCATGCCGCCTGTCGACAACGAGATCAACGGCAAGCTCGCCCTCGTCACCGGCGCCTCAGGAGGGTACCGCTCACACCGCACTGCCCCCATCTCTCTCTCTCTCTCTCTCTCTCTCTCTCTCTCTCTCCACGCGTTCCCTCAGGCTGACAAGAGCACCCCAGCATCGGCAAAGCCTGCGCAACAGACCTGTGGTCCCAAGGCGCCCACCTCGCCCTGACCTACACCACAAACCTCGCCTCCGTGACAGGCCTCGTGGCCGCCCTGCGCGCCGCGTCCCCCGACCGGCCGGCGTCCCACATCTCCGTGCACGCCCTCGACCTCGCCTCGCAGGCCAGCATCGAGGCCCTCTTCGCCGCCCTGTCCGCGCACCACGGCCGCCCGGCGCCCGACATACTCGTCTCCAACGCCGGCACCGCCGGCTTTGGCAACCGCGCGAACCCCCACCTCGAGGCCATCTCGCTCGACGAGTTCGACTACACCATCGCCATCAACCTGCGCGCCGCCTTTCTCCTCGCCAAGCTCACCGTGCCGCACATGAAGGCCCGCCGCTGGGGCCGCATCGTCTACGTCTCCTCCATCTCGGCCATTGGCGGCGGCATCAACGGCTGCCACTACGCCGCCAGCAAGGCCGGCCTCACGGGCCTCATGAAGAACCTCGCCGCCAAGCACGCCAAGGACGGCATCACCGTCAACGATGTCGCTCCCGCCATGATCGGCGACACGGGCATGATCCCTGACGAGAAGAGGGTCGAGGGCACCCCCGGCGATGTCAAGAACATCCCCGTCGGCCGCCTGGGCACGCCTCAGGAGTGTGCTCATGTCGTCACCATGCTGTGCCGAACAGGCTACATGACGGGCCAGAGCATCTTGTTGAGTGGAGGCCTCAAATAACACATTTCAGCTCGACAGGCGGTAGAGCAGGGAGGCGCCTTGTGTAGAATCCTTTTCATCAAAAATACTACCTAATGCTACTGTTTGGTTGCCCGCACTATCCTCGTAGGGCGTTCATCCCTGCGGCAGGGCTCTCCGTCTAGGATATTAGCCGGCGCACAACTCCAGCAACAGACGTCGCGAGAACATCTCCTTCACTACCTCGGAGATCGAGCTGTGCCCATCATTGCGGGCCACGGCGCAGCGCGGCCTCCCAGCCCCGAGGGCCACGCTGTCCCTCAGCATCATGCCACTCGTCCTCCTCCCGGTCTTCCACAACAACGTCGACGCTAATCGTCCTGAGGATACCGGTGGGAGGAGGGCTCCGGTGAAAACAACGAGCGCGTTGAACGTCCTGTCCTGTCGATTCCCGGTACCCAGGCACCCTGGCCCCCTGGATGATGAACATCGAGTCATGGGGATTGCCTTTGGTACTGGGTGCACACGACGCTGGACCGTCAACCTGGTCACTTTGCGCAGCATGGTTCTCCTTGGTCTCGGTCTCTTCAGGCTTAGCTGGGCTATTCTGGGCCTGGAGATTGGCAACGAGGAATGAAACAAGGAAAATCATGCTGGCAGGAGAGTCAGTCGAGTAACATTCCAAGAATCAAGTCTCACGTACAGAGCGGTGACGCTTGCAGCGACGCCAGCGGTGCGTCCCCTGTCGATATCATCGACATAGACGTAGACACCCCCGTAATTGGTGTAGACCTCGTTCCTATTGTCCTTATTGTATAGTTCGTCAGAGTGGACTGCCACATAGAAAGCATTCGAAAGGGCTTGAATGATGGCACTGCTTCTCGTCAGTCGAATCCAGGCGGCAGTCTTGGCAGTCGATAAGCACTTACAGCAGGTAATAGATGGCAACGGTAGCACGATGCCTGGTCGAGACCTGGATTCCTGCGGGGCCGCGTTTTTCAAGAGCAAAAGCAACGAGGAGGAGCAAGAATGTTGTCGCCAACAACACTCCATGAGTCCAAGAAAAGGCCACTGCTAATAGAGGTGCTGCTGGTGACGAGAGCCGACCGCAATATAGCGGCCAGAACGAGAGGACCAGGTAGGTGAGACCAAGAATGAGGGGCAGACCCAGGAAGCCACGCCAAGAGGACCCTGTGTTTCGTGAATTACTGAACAAGACGTCGACAATCGAAAGGATGGTCAGTCCTGCCGCTGTAGATGCGAAGAATTGACCGAGGTTGTAGTAAACCCACACCGTCCTCGACGCGACAGCGAAGCTGGTGAAGAGAGCAACAGCGATAAGCCCCGCGATCTAGCTATGAGTCAGTCAAACAAACAACGTCTTGATAGAATGGTTCCCTTCTTCTCGTGTTCTTACCAAAGCGAGCACACTCAAAGCAGAGTTCAGGCTGAGGATGCGGTGACCCCGACGTTTGGACAACAGAATTCTGACAACGAAGGACACAGGAGCGACGATCGCAGTGGTTATTGATGCAGCCAGCAGTACCTTCAGGGTAAGGCCTTCTAGGAATTCCCCATCGTATTGCCGGGCATAGATGAAGCTCGTCATGATGCCTGGCTCTCTGAAGTGAGGGTGATGGGGAGATTGTGGTTTAGTGATACTCCTGGCAATAGAGCACTGGGCCGGATGCCAGAGGAGGGAGGGACACTGTGCGATAGAGAGGAACGATGCCGTGGAGAGAATCGAATGCAAATCCAAAACAAATAGGCACTGATGCTGTCGTTGTTGTTCTTGTTCTTGGAGAGACGAAGCAGCCATCGACGGGCACACTTATTCGGGGGAGAAGTGGGAGAGGCGCAGGATGTTGTGAAGGAAGGACCTCTTCAGGGATAGGATGGAAAGAGCCAGCTCTCTAATCCGTTGCATGGCACCTGCCTCGACCAGTGCTGTCAGGTGCCTTCCTAGAAGGAAGGCGAATGTGATTTCAGCCAGGAAGGCACAGAGCACAACAGGACTGGGAGCCCGACGACTTCTGCCAGCGATGGTCGGGGGGATCTAGAATTCATGAGGTCGTAGCTTCAGTGAATGGGGTCGATTCGGTTGCGTGAGCTCCGGCCCAAGGAGGAAGAGATACAAACGAAGCTCTCCATCATGTCAAAGAGCGAGCCGTCGAACAATTATCTCTCTCCTCACAAGCGGCACAAAACGGCCCAAGACCAGCTTACAGGCTCTCTCAGGCTCATCGATACCACCTCGCCGCAGCCCCTACCTTAGCGAACCCTTCATCGCCAGCCTCCTCGTGCCGTCAACGTACGAGTGAAGCGAGAAAAGCAAGCCGCCAGATTGATCTCCTCTGGCCGACGTGTTTGACGGCGGTGCCGATGAGGCGTGGAGGAAAGCGGCTGGGGGGTGGCGGGTATGATCGACGGATGAGGGGATGCTTCCGGGCCCCTTCTCGAAGCTCTCGAGACGCGCCCTGTGCGTGACATTGATTCGGGGCCACGCACACAGGGCTGATCTTCAAGTATGACGAGATTACGTTGGGAGGGAGAGAGAGTTTTCTATATGTTGAGTCCCGACCAATCCTGGATCGTGGTGATGGGATTGTCACAAGCCACTTTTTTGGAGAGTTCCATCAAGCATGGAACTAAACATTAATGAATCTGCGAACGCGCATGCAGCGTCGTAATTCCCAATCCAATCATTATGCTCGTATACAGTTTTACATGCAATCTATGCTCGATATCCAGCTCAACAAAACTCAGAACCGCGCCTCAACCTTGGCCTGCGTGTCCTGCAGCGCCCAATCGCTGCTCGCCGTCCTGCTCCTGACCTTCTTGACTTCCTCCTTGGTGAACCCCCTCGCCTCGACGGCTGGGTTGTAGCCGAGGCCGTTGGCTCTGCCAACGTCCTTGTCGTCGGCGGCAGGGGCGTCAGCGCCGTCGGCTCTCTTGTAGACGGTGACAACAACGGCACCGCCGAGGCCAAGGTTGTGCTGCAGCGCGGCGCGCGTGCCCTTGACGGCGCGGTTGTTAGCCCAACCGCGCAGGTGCCAGACGAGCTCGGCGCACTGGGCGATGCCGGTGGCGCCGAGGGGGTGGCCTTTAGAGATGAGGCCACCAGAGGGGTTGACGACGTAGCGGCCGCCGTACGTAATATCGCCGGCGCGAACAAGCTCGTGGGCCTTGCCGGGCTTGGCAAGGCCGAGGGCGTCGAGGACGATGAGCTCGTTGGCGGAGAAGCAGTCGTGCAGCTCGACGACCTGGACGTCGCGGGCGACGTCGATGCCGGCCTCGGCGGCGGCGACGCGCACGGCGTGCTGGGTCATCTCGAAGCCCATGAGGTCGATGGCGCTGCGGGAGAAGAGCGAGGGGGCGTCGGTGGCCATGCACTGGCCGGCGATGAGCACGGCCTGGCTCTTGAGGTGGGGGCGGGCGTCGAGGAAGGCCTGCGAGACGACGACGGCGGCGGCGGCGCCATCCGAGGTCGGGCAGCACTGGAGCTTGGTCAGGGGCGCGTGGATCATGGGGGCGTCGAGGATCTGGTCGAGCGTGTAGACGTCCTGGAACTGCGAGTACGGGTTGCGGGTCGAGTGCTCGTGGTTGACGCGGGCAATCTCGGCAAAGTCGCGGGCCTCGGCGCCGTGCTTCTCCATGTATTCACGGCCGGCGTTGCCGAACATTTGCGCGGCGCCAGGGGCCTTGGTGATGCCACGCGTCTCGGCCATCATCTTGACGGTCGTGCCGGTGGGGTTCTCACGATCGTTGAAGAAGCTCTGCAGGCTGCCGGGCATCATCTTCTCAAAGCCGACGACGAGGACGCAGTCGGCAGCGCCCGAGCTCACGAACTGGCGGGCCATGGCGAGGCCGGTCGAACCTGTGGAGCAGTTGTTGTTGACATTGTAGATGGGAATCTGGGTCATGCCGAACTGGTAGAAGACACGCTGGCCGCATGTCGAGTCGCCGTAGCAGTAGCAGGCCACGCCCTGCTCGACATCATCATAGTTGATCTGGGCATCGAGCATGGCCTTGACGCCAGCCTCAAAACCGAGTTCGGTGTAATCGACCTTGCCACGGGGCTTGATGAACTTGGTCATGCCAACGCCGAGGACGTAGCTGGGAGCCTTGGGCTTGGGCGCCATCTTGTCGGGTTGTTGGAAGGGATGCACTGGCGATTGTGCAGGTGACCGTGGGTATGGCAAATGATTTGGGTGAAGATGTATAGTGACAAGTAACAAAGGGCGGGTGACAAAGTGAGTGGCAAAGGGGAAGCTGAGTTGGAACAGCGGCACGACGACTTGATAAACCGTTTGGCCTACCAAGCCTGGATGAGGTTCTCCAGCGTGACGGACCTTTTCCCCACAGGCGCCGGGACGCCAGGCCCGACTCGAATGATGCGGGGAGCCGAGGCCCCAACCGCCTCGCGACTCCCTCACGACTGCCTCGCCCCTGCCTCCCCCTTGACCCCGATTGTCCGACCTGTCCGACCTGCTGACGCTCTCCATCAGACAGGTGAAGCCCACACATGCCGGGGTAGCTGGACCAATCAACTGGCTTGCCGAGGTAGATTCCCCCCCACCTGCCTCCCCGCAGTCTACAGCGAACTTGCCGTTTGGGGAATCCATATCGTGGAGCCTGCCTTGGTGTGGGGTTCGCCTTCCTGCCACCATGATTCCTATGAAGGAAAGTCATCTCAACGACACGTGCCTGACACTGAGGAAGGGAGCCAATGTGAATACTGATGTTGCAAGCCGAGTAGCTCCTCCTTTTGCTGCTGCCCTAACGGATAACGCGACTCTGAATCATCGGCTCTTGGTGGCCATCTAAACTAAAGCAATCGCTCGCCCGACTCTTCCGCCTCTGCCCCGAGAATCTTGTGCCCTTGACGACTGCGTCACATGTACAAAAGTTGAGCCCTGTCGCTCACCCAAAAAAAAGTCCATTGACATAGAAGCAAAAAAGTAGTTGCAAAAACAGTCAACATGAATCGAATCAAAAAAGAAGAAAAAAAGGAAGTTGGTATCGTGCCTGCCTCCCTCGCCCCTCCAAAAGATATCCTGCGTGTGCTGGGTTGGATTCTATATTGTGCGCCAATCATCCGGCCATGCAAAATCGCCCCTTCTGTCCCTCTGTCTGGCTCTCTTCATCCTGCACCAATCCCATGGTGCATGTGAAAAAAAAAAAAGAAATCCGACCATCTCCAACAAACAATGCCTCAACGTTCGTATCAAACGCAACGGAGGAAAACGACCGCCTTGACGACAAACCACGGCGCTTCATGACGACCACAGCGGCATGATCTGGCCCCAGTACAGATCCCAGCTCGGGTCGAGGCCCTCGAGGTCCCAAATCATGCTCTCCTCATCCTGCGTCTGCCGTCCAGTCATCATCAGCCCAGTTCCACCCCTGCCAGAGCTTCCACCCCCGGTTTCCACTTACCGGCGCCGCCGCCATGCCGTTGGGGTGCAGCATGTAGTGTGGAGGCTGCTGGCCCGGCACCTGTGCCTGGAGATAGGGGTGGCTGTTGTTAATCGACAGCGGCGGCGGAGGGTGAGGCAGCGGGGAATGGACGAGCTCGGGGTTTGTGTTGGTGGCGCGCATACACGTCTCGAGCACGACGGTCAGCATGCGCCGGATCTCGTGCAGCTTCTGCTCGTGTGCCGTCGTCTGTACCGATGCGAGGACGACCGACAGGGCGACGATATCCTTGACGTCGCCGCCACCGACGTTGCGCATCAGCAGGTCCATCGACTTGTCGACTGTCTTGATGAGGCGCACCGGTGACCAAAGCGCTGGCGTTTCGGCCCGGTACGACCGCGCATCGTCGAACGGCTCCGGGGACAGCGCCGCCAGCTTGAGGTTGCTGTACGGGCCCGCGTTCGACTGGAGGCCGGCACGGATGTAATAGCACAAGCTCAGCGACGCCTGCAGCATATCCCGCTTGAGCACAAGGTGGTACATGTCACTGACGCTCTGGTAGTGCGCCAGCATCGGGTCGAGCTCGTCGAGGTACTGTAGGATCACCATGGACGACGAGAGGTAGGCCCGCGTGATCTGCGCCGGCGCATCCACCGAGCCCAACGCAAAGGGGCGGTACAGCGCCAGCAGTGGCCGTCGGATGTGCATGTCGAGAATGACCCGGCATCGCCACATCTTGCTTTGCTCGCTGTCGCTCAGCGAATTGTTCCGCGGGAAAAGATAGCCAATGTCCTCCGAGATCAGCTCGAGCTTGGCCCCGAGCTCGAGCACCTCGTTGTAGTCGCGGATCGAGTCGATGCGGTTGAGCATGTGCACCACTTTGAGGCGGATGCCGACCGTCATGGCCGCGTAGCATTGAATCTGGTTGTCTGTGCCATTGTCGATCGGTCGGCTCGGGGGCAGCTCAACCATCTCGGGGAAGAGCTCCTTGTCGTTGAGATTGCTGGGCGGCTTGCAGGTGAAGTCGCCTTCCCGGATCGAGCAGGGCAGGCTGCAGACGAGTGAGACGTGCAGGTCGAGTTCAAGGATGGAGAACCACATTCTCCTCCGCATCTCGGCCGAGAAGACGGGGATTTGGGGTTCGAATTCGGAAGGATCCCGGTGCATCCCCATCGTCATGGCCATGCGGAGAATGGCGCCCAATTGCGTCCACAAGACCTGTGGCCTCGCCGCCGTCATGCGCATGGCTTGCAGGAGAAGCATCTCCGTCTGCAGCGTCGTAAAGTCAATCAGTTGTTTGCCCTTTAAGCTGTGGAGCCAGGACTTGACCAGCTCGCAGGCCGTCGGGATGTGAACGCCGTCGAACTCGGTGCCAATGCTCTTGCGCAGGCCCTTTGACTTGGCCTCGAACCGCGAACCCGTGGCGCAGATGGCCAGAAGCTGGGGCAGAAATGTGTCGCCCTGCAGTTTTCCGTCCCAGTACATCTCGTACTGGGCCATGAAAGTGGGCATGTGTATGATCCTGTAGATCGTCTCCGTCGTGTGTATGTACGACCCGAGCAGCTTGTCGCAGACTTCGCGCTTGGGGAGGACGTGTTGCATTCGACCCCGCACCGGCGTCGTCGACTCGACGTACACCGTCATGGGCGTGAGCGACTCCTTGTACGAGTCGAGGATCAGCTTGTGCAGTCGGGACAGGGCTGACATGAGATCGCGAAACTCGGCCGAGTCAGCGTGGTTGGCCAAGAACTCCTTGGCCTCGTCAAACTGTGGGCGAAGGTCAGTGCGACTCCAACAGGCCAGCGGTGGACCACGCGACAAGGTTCGGCACGGTATGATCTCTTACCAGGTTCATGAGGACGCGCACACTGCTCTGGCCGAAGAACCGCGTCTGGAGAGCTCCTTGCTTCACGGTCAGCCCTCGTATCGTTGCCGGCGAGAGCGGCAGGCGGGGCATCTCGGCGGCCGAGGGACTCTTGATCAGCACATGGTTTTCCAGGCGATCGACTCTAGAGGCCAGCTCCTGCAGAGGCGACGCGCCATTGATATCCCCGTTGCGCGCTGACGAAAAGGGAGGGCCCAGGTTGGCGCTCCCGGCGTTGTTTCCTTGACCCCCCACGGGAGCACAGTTGCGCTTCGCCGGCCGTTGCGCGTCGCTTGGCTCAGCGTCGGAGGCGTCGGAGAGGGCAGACGAGTCGTGTTCTGCAGAGTACCTGCAGTTTCGATGCGATTTCTGGCATTGTGCGCACGGCAGATTTCGATCGCACTTGAGCTTGCGCTTGCGACACTCGGTGCACGACTTGACGGGTCGCGGTCGTTTGACGCTGCGGGCGGCCGAAGGGTTCGTGGATGTCGGCGTTGAGGCCGTCGCATGGGCCGCCGAGTGTGGCACCGGCGAGTGCATGGGCAGCCCTTGTGCATCGTAGGCGCTGCTATTCGGCGAGAGCCCCATCGGCGCAACGGCGGCGGCATGGGGAGCCAGACCAGGCGTGCTGTCGTCGGGCGCGTGGTTTGCCGACGGCGTCGTCATGTCGGTTACATATGCAGACATGCCTGGAGCCCTTTGACGGCTGGGCAGCCGTGATCTAAAGGTTTGCGACTGCAGTGTAGCAGTCTGGAGGCCCCGTAGGATTGCGCACGCGAGATGGGCAGCGAGCGCCTCAGGCTGGGCGACGGGGCCTGGCGGGGTGCGAGTTACACGGTACGGCTTCCCCCCCCCTCGTCCCCTCCTTTTCCCTCAATGAAGAAGGCTGTTGCTGGTAGCGTTTGATGAGCTGCGACGTCGAGCTTGATCATTGGGGTCCAGGATACAAAACGGGCGAGTCATTCGCTGGGCGCGACGATCCGAAGTAGTGGTTGGGGGTGTGGCACCTCGGAGCCCAAATCTCTGGGGAACCTGTGGGTTGCAGGAGGAGGAGCAAATCGAGTCATTCGTAGCTATCGACTGACTGTGCACCACCTACTGAGCCTGGACAGACAGGAAATTGTAGCTGCTGCGTTCGCCCGGAAAAAGATAGAGAAATGCGAGCGTGCGCAGTGCGTGTTCGCCGGTATTGTCGAGGTCGGTCGTGGGGGTCCGATGCGACGCGCGGGGCGATGAGTGTGTGATTTGCAGGTTTTGGAAATTTGGTGTCCGTCCTGGTTAGCAAGGGGGAGCGAGATGATGTATGTGGCGAGAGAAGAGGTCCCAGGACAAAGGAGCTTGGGAGAAAAAAAGACGGGATGGACAGATGAGATGACTGAACAAAGGGAGAAGCTTCCTCGGTCGAGCACGAGGAGGCGGATGATCCAAGCTCCTTCTGTCGTCGCGACACAGTTGGTTCTAAGTTGCCTTGACGAGGAAACAATCGGAGACGAGGTACAGAAGTACCAATCCCAGGATATGCAACAAGATGGCGCCAGCCAGGGCAAGAGAACGTAGCTCGACGACGGAGTGGTCAGCTCTGCGCCGGGGTTATGATGGCTCGATGGTTAGCGTTGCTTCACGCACACCACCCCCCCCCCCCCTATTTTCTTCCGTCACCACGCTCTTGCGGACGGTAGTGAGGTTCCTCGTTCGACATCCCCTCTTCCCTGGAGGTGTGCTGTGTGTGGTCGGTGAGGACAAGTTGCTACACGGGAATATCGGGCAGAAAAAAACACAGGTGCCGCTTGCGCCATGTTGGATGGCACGTCCGAGATGGGACGGCCAGGACCTGACATCGAGGCTGCACTGCCACCCCTGGCCCCCGGTCGCGGCTCCAACCGGTGGAACTGGCCAGACCGTATGCTGCCGTTCAGTTGACGTGACGGCGGCCTTCTCCAAGGCAATCTACATACATGTGTGCGCCTCCAAGCCTCGTTAACAAGCCCCCCGCGACCACCTAGGCACTAGAAACAGGGAATGAACCGGGTCCTCACCAGCCGGCAGCCCGCCTGCCCGGCTGGTCGCGCGCCTGTCGTCGTTTGCTGTCGGGGGAGGGGGGAATAACGGAAAGAGGGGCAGTCTGCCTCCAAGAGAGTCTTTTCCTCCTGATGCTCCTCGCGCACCCCCATCCACCCTTCCAAAGTCCCCAAATTCCCCAGGTCCGGCTTGGAGAAGGAAGAGTCTGAATGATCGGCCCTAGTCAACGTCGCTTAGCAGCGGGGCTGCGCCGAGAGTCACTATGCCTGAGCAAATCCAGAAGCCACAGGGTGCCAGCCTTCCGAAGATGTCCGTCCATCTTCCCTAAAAAGTCTCAGGAACAATAGGCAACCTGAACGCCACGCGATTTATCGGACGATGACAGCCTAGCGCGAGATGCGTTCCTTGCTTCATGCTGGTTCGATGAGAGGGAGAGACGCCGTTGCCTTTTCGAGAGCTTCGTTTCGTATGGTGGCGGATTTTGAAGCAGCGAAGCTAGGAGATTTCCGGGCACATCACGTCATCTCTGACGGCCTCGGCAGGCAGGTCGAGTTTGGAAGCCAACGCAGGATCCTGTCAATCAATGGCTTGCCGTACAACCATCTCATGCCGTGCCCCTGCTCATCTCGGGCGTGTTTGCCCAAGCAGACCTAGTCGCAGGGTCCTGCAAAAGTAATCTTTCTCCATGTCGGCCTTGACCACCGCAATTTATTTGGAACTACCAAGAGTTGCGGATCATAGGCCGGAGACTAAAGGATCTATAACCAAACAGAGATTGCGGAGAAGGAACAGCCGACAAGTCGGCCGAGAGGAGTATTCAAGATTCGGTCGTTTGGGCGGAGACGATGTGTCACTTTTTTGGTCGAGACATGATCGTCGCTTGAGACACAACTAGCCTCACGTCAGGAAGGTGTCCAAGCCCCCGGCTGTAGGAAACCAGCATTCCGCAGCTGAGGTGGCGCCCAGGACTGGTCTGTTTTCTGGACGTGTTCCACGGCAGTGCCAACTGCCAATTCGGCTCTTCCGTCTTCGCTTGCGCGCGTCGTCACAATCCGTAGGTCGGCCGAGAGAACAAGCGAGAGTTTCCAGAAGATCCACACAAGATCCGATATGCCCGATGCACAAACATTGGCTGTCATTATTGCCAGCGTCCTGCTCGCATTACCTGTCCACCTTCGTGTTTGCATCGTGGAACGGCACCATGAGAGAGAAGACGGAGGACTGCCCGTTCCACTACGGGGCCTCCGCCGACATCGCCGCCTACTGTGGGTTCCAGCACAGGGGAATGGCTGGAGACAAATGTCGCTACTACAGAGGCCGTATTCCCACGACTCTGAGCAGACAGGGAGATGACGAGCAGTACCGATGACAGGAGGCTGCGACAGGCCCACATTTGCCGAGTATCGAATCGATGCTCGAGGCAGGTGATGGACCAGGAAAGGGGGGGGGGGGACGGTAAATGGGGCGTGGGCCCAACACGGCAGCTCGACAAAGCTGGCGTCAGCAGCTGTCAAAACAAGGCGGTTAGGGTGGTGCTTGGTGCCCAAGGGGCACACCACTCGGAGATTTCCTTTGGTCATCGGTTCTGGAAGCCTAGAGGAGAAGACGGGTGAGATGTGATGGATGAAACGACATGGTGGCAACGAAGTGGTGTGGTGAAGTCGTAAAGCGACACTGAAGATTGAACTCTGCAAGCAGAGTAGAGAGATGTTGATACATGCTGAAAAGCTGTGAGGGGTTTCATAGTAACATGGAGTACGGCAAGAGATCGTGTGTGGTATTGCCTGGTATTGCGGTGTACAGCGGTTCGAATTGCAGTGCTGCGAGAGATGTGCAATGCATCCACCAAAAGCTCGTGGCCAGGTACAAAGAGATGATGACACATACGTGAACTGGTTGGTGCATCGGATTAACGTAAAACCGATTTACAGCTGGCCCCTTGACTTGGCAGTGGCACAAATGACCAATTACCGGAGCCTCCCATGTCAGCCTTGCAGCGGCAGTGGCCAAGGCTTATCGTTATCGCGACTTGAGCTTGCTCCGTGACGTGCAACTTGTCCTCTTTGCCTTTCCCATTTGGCCAGGTAAGCTTCGTGCCAATTGAGGGGCCACGATTCAATTCTTAGGTCATTTTTAGACGACGTTTCCACGACATTGCACCATACGTCGTCTTGGCTGCTGTCTTTATCTTCAGGGCTTTTTCCCTTCCGCCCTTTCCTCCTCTCTGCGTTGCTGTTCAATCAGCGCTCAGCACTCTGTTCTTTCAAGCGGCGTGCGCATCTCATCATCTCATTTTCTTGATCCCGCGATACCCTCTTGCATTTCGTCCTTCGACTTGCGCACATCTGCGCAAACCCACACCGCCACCATGGCTTCCCTTCGGTTCTCCCCCTTGACGTTGGTCTTGGGTAGTATCTTCTTCTTCACCTCACAAGTCTTTGCCGTCTCGGCCGTCCTCGGCGTCGACCTGGGAACCGAGTACATCAAGGCAGCTCTGGTGAAGCCAGGCATCCCCCTCGAGATTGTTCTCACAAAGGACTCGCGCAGGAAAGAAATCTCGGCTGTTACGTTCAAGCCCCCTCAAGGCGGCCCCAAGGCTGGCGTTTTCCCCGAGCGACTTTATGGCTCCGATGCCATGGCCCTGTCTGCCCGATTCCCCGCCGACGTCTATCCCAACCTCAAGACCCTTCTTGGCCTGCCCATCGGCGACTCGATCGTTCAAGAATATGCCGCCCGCCACCCGGGCCTGCAGATTGAAGAGAACAAGATCCGTGGCACGGCTGCCTTCAAGAGCAAGGCTTTCTCCGCCGAGGAGGAGGCCTGGATGGTCGAGGAGCTTTTGGCCATGGAACTCCAGAGCATCCAGAAGAACGCCGAGGCCACAGCCGGCCCCGACACATCTGTTCGCTCCATCGTGGTCACAGTTCCCCCCTTCTTCAGCCTTGAGGAGAAGCGCGCTGTTGAGCTCGCCGCCGACCTGGCCGGCCTCAAGATCTTGAGCCTCATCAGCGACGGCATGGCTGTCGGCCTGAACTACGCCACCACTCGCCAGTTCCCTAACGTGAACAATGGCGAGAAGCCCGAGTACCACATGGTGTTCGACATGGGTGCCGGCTCCACCAAGGCCTCAGTCTTGAGGTTCCAGAGCCGTACTGTCAAGGACGTCGGCAAGTTCAACAAGACCGTCCAGGAGGTCGCCGTTCTCGGCGCTGGCTGGGACCGCACCCTCGGCGGTGATGCTCTCAACTCCCTCATCGTCGACGACATGATCTCCCAGTTTGTTGAGTCGAAGGGAGCTCAGAAGATCTCTGTGCAGACCGAGGCTGTCAAGTCTCACGGCCGTGCCATTAACAAGCTCACCAAGGAGGCTGAGCGTCTTCGCCACATTCTCAGCGCCAACTCAAACTCGCAGGCCAACTTCGAGGGTCTCTACGAGGACGTCGATTTCAAGTACAAGATCGAGAGGACTGACTTTGAGAAGCTGGCTGAGGCCTACGCTGTGCGAGTCGGTACCGTCATCCAAGACGCTTTGAAGGCCGCCCAGCTCGAGCTCACTGACCTTGATTCGGTCATTCTTCACGGCGGTGCCTCTCGCACCCCCTTTGTCCAGAAGCAGCTTGAAGAATCTGTCGGCTCCGCGGACAAGATTCGTTCCAATGTTAACTCTGACGAATCGGCCGTCTTTGGCGCTGGTTTCCGCGCCGCTGAGCTGAGCCCTAGTTTCAGGGTCAAGGAGATCCGCCTGAACGAAGGTGCCATGTACCCCTCTGGCATTAAGTGGACCAACCCCAAGCAGAAGGAGCAACACCAGCGTCTTTGGTCGGCTGTCTCGCCCATGGGCGCCGCGCCGAAGGAGGTCACCTTCACCAACCTCGAGGATTTTGATGTCTCATTCTACCAGCAAATCGCCGGTGCGGAGCGTGATGTCAGCACCCTCAAGACGCAGAACCTGACTGAGACTGTCGCTGCCCTGAAGGAGAAGTACGGCTGCGAAGACAGCGGCATTCAGTTCAAAGTCGGCGTCAAGCTGAGCGGCGAGAATGGCGAGGTCAAGGTTGTGAAGGCGGCCGTTGAGTGCGAGGCTGAGGTCTCTGAGAGCCTGATGGACGGCGTCAAGAACCTATTTGGGTTTGGCAAGAAGGATCAGAAGCCTCTGGCTGACGGCGAAGCTGAGGATGTCGACTCAGCGGCCGATACGTCTTCTACCGAGTCTTCCACCACATCGACTGAATCGTCCAAGAGCAAGACCACGTCAACGGGGACTGCCGCTGGCGCCGAAGCTAGCGCTGCCGAGGCCAAGGATGAGCCCAAGAAGAAGCAGATTGTGTCCATCCCCGTCAAGTTTGCTCTCGAGGATACTGGTTCGCCCTCGCTCTCGAAGGAGGACCTCAAGAAGTCCAAGGACAGACTCCAAGCGTTTGAGGCTTCTGATAAGGCTCGCCGTCAGAGGGAGGAAGCCCTGAACCGCCTCGAGGGTTTCACGTACAAGGTCCGCGACTTGCTTGACAGCGAGTCCTTCGTGGCTGCCTCGACTGAAGAGGAGCGCACAACGCTGGAGACAAAGTCCAGCGAGGCCAGCGACTGGCTCTACGGCGAAGGTGCTGACGCGTCCAAGGACGAGTTCAAGGCCAAGTACAAGGAGCTCAACGATATTGTGTCGCGCGTGCAGAAGAGGGTGGAAGAGACCGAGACGCGACCCGAGCTTGTGAAGGCCCTCAAGGATGCGCTGGACCAGTCCACCGTCTTTGTTGACAAGATCAAGGATCAGATCAAGTCGTACGAAGAGTTCCACGCGGCGGCTCAGGCTGCCAGCTCTGATACGAGCACTGCCACTGAGGAGCCTGCCTCTTCGTCCAGCACTGACAGCGACGGAGTTGAGGATGATACCGCGACGGAGAAGCCCAGGGACATGGAGGACGTCATCAAGGAAGACGGGCCGATCCCCCCTCTGTACAAGATGGAGGATGTCGACGTCATTGACAAGCTCCACGAGGACATTTCATCGTGGATCACCGAGATGGAGGCCAAGCAGGCAGCCCTGCCCCCAACGGCGGACCCGGTGCTTCTCGCCAAGGACCTCAAGTCACGCCGTGAGAAGCTCGACAAGGCGGGTGTCGACCTAGCCATGAAGGGCGTCAAGAGCTTCGAGAAGAAGAACAAGAAGGCGAGCAACAGCAACAAGAAGACGAAGAAGACCAAGACGGCCACGGCGGCCACTGGCGACGCCTCAGATGGGCCTGAGCCGATCCACATCAACCTGGGCGAGGACGGCAAGGCGCCTACCGAGGAGGAGATTCAGGAGATTCTGAGGAAGCTGCAGGAGTCGCAGGAGCCCGCACGAGAGCGTGACGAGCTGTAGACAGTTGACCACTTTTTGTTTCCATTCCACAATTGTTCCCATGATAGACGAAGAAACACGTTCACGATGCCCTCTCTCACTTACTCTCCCCTAGTGCTACGTGTTGCTACTTGTTTGTGTCGTCCCAGCACATGCGAAGAATACCTGTGCTTGGTTCGGTCCTTGTGGCTGACTGTCCCCGTCTCTGTTTGTGTTCAAGTCCCGCGTGACGTTGGACTTGGCAGGCCACGGGCGTATGTGCTAGTGTATCTGTCACTGAGACGACGAAGCTGCGCCTTGCCCTCCCCCTTAATTGCTCCCGACTCACGATCCAGCAGCAGCACGGGGGTTCTTCGGTGCCGCCTGACTGGGCTGATGACGTTCTTTCGAGGCCTCGTGGCCGCCTGCCAGCAATCTGTCTGCCACTTGCTGCCCCATCACGGCGGGTGGACGCATCGGCCACGGGAACACGAGCCGGCAAGGGCAGCGCGCACGAGGTCCGACACGGCCGCTTTCTCTCGGGAGGCAAGTCGCACCACGAGGCAAGCACAGCGAGCTGGCAGCGTACAGGCGAGGGGAGTGAAGGCAATCGCAGCAAACGGACCATCGCCGAATTGCAGCCTCCTGGGCTCGTCTCTCCAGTCTTTCTGCCGCTCCGGAGGGCCAGCATATAGGCAGAGGGGGCTGGTCAGGGGTATACATATATATAACGGGACGAGCGGACGGGATCGGTTATGCAGTCTCGAACGAATCGAGCAAGCCGATCATCATCCATCTCATCTCTTCTCTCTGCCAGGGAAGCCAGGCTACTTACGTGTCACCGCCACTATGAGTTCTTTCAGAGTGGCCCTTGCGACGGCCTCTGTGGCCTCTTGCCTCATGCAGGCCGCGGCTGGGCTGCCGACGCTGGAGGACCGGGGGATCGAGGCCCGGATCCCTGTGACCGACAGAACCGGCCTGCATAAAGAGGCCTGGGGTGCGACGGCCTTTGCTGCTACCTATGCGCGATGGAGCAAGGAGGTGCCGCAGTCGCTGCGGAAGTATGTGAAGTGGAGCGAGGACCGTAAGTCTGTCGAGTTTGCCAGAGAGTATGCAAAGTGGTTGTTGGTGTTGACATGTGTAGCCGCTACACTCGAGGCCGAATCCATCTTGGACATTTTCTTCGTCTCCGAGCTCAAAGTGGGCAGCGCCCGGGAGCCCATCAACCTGATTCTCGACACGGGGTCTCCCAACACGCAAGTCCATCGCCCGAACACGCAAGTCCATGCGTCTTGCTAACACTCACATGGTCCAGTTGGATCAAGGCTGGCGACACCTCGGGCAACTCGATAGCCTACCACCCTGAAAAATCCGAGACAGCCATCGAGATTGAGGACAGCGAGTTCCGCATCCACTATGGTGAGTCGCCCGCTGGCCCCTGATGTAGGTAGTCGCAGCAAGAGTCTTGGCCAACCTTGCTGATCAACAAACCCCAACCTCCAGCCGACGGCGACTTCGCCTGGGGCAGCGTCTGGCTCGACACACTCGAGCTCTCGCCGACGCTCATCGTCCCCAACACATCCATCGGCGCAGCAACGTACATGTCGGACCGGCTGCGCGCCGACAGCGTGACGACGGGCCTCATGGGCATCTCCAAGGCGCTCGAGGCGACGACGCGGCCGCCGACGCCCACCATCATCGAGACGCTCTCGCTGCACCTGGCGCCGGACCAGCGCTTCATCGGCGTCGACCTGCGCGCCAACTCGTCGGCGGGGCAGTACACCTTTGGCGCGCTGCCGACGCGCCTCTACACGTCGGCCGACGTGCGCTGGGCGGCGCCCGTGCCCGACTCGGGCCACTGGGACTTTGGCGTGAGCCGGTTCCGGCTCGGCGCCATGGCGCCCGACGTCTGGGTCCAGCGGCCCTTTGTCGCGACGGCCGACACGGGCACGACGCTGCTCATGCTGCCGCGTAACGTCGTCGAGGTCTACTACTCGGCCCTGCCGGCGGCGCACAAGGCCGACGAGTACGGCGGCGCCTGGGTGTTCCCCTGCGCCGACGAGGCGCCCGATTTCGAGTTTTGGGTCGGCGACGGTGACGGCGAAGACGACGGCTACCGCGGGCGCGTGCCGGGGGCGTATGTGCGGTACGCGCCTGCGAGCCAGGACGACCCGGACACGTGCTTTGGGGGTATCCAGGACGTTGAGCTCATGCTGGAGGGGGTCGAGGACAAGCCGGATGCCATCTTTGGGGACGTGGCGCTCAAGAGCATGTTTGTCGCCTTTGACATTCAGGAGGGGAGGGTTGGCTTTGCCGACAAGGAGCTCGAGGTCTGCTCGTTTGATCGGAGCTGCCAGGGGAACCCACTTGACACGGGCGAGCTGAAGGGATGGGGGCAGTAGATTGGGGGACAGTGCTGTCTGGCGTCGTCTCTGTCTCGATGACGAGGGAGGGCTGTAGCCCGTCAGTACTAAATGAGACGCATTGTTTACCGCTTTCGCTTCCGCTTCCGTGAAACGAACTTCCTGTCGTAGTCATTGGGCGAGTTCGTCCTTCGACAAGCGACCTCGCCACTGGCATGTACACCAAAGCACTACACAAAAACAAATTAATGTATCAATTCAGGCCCGATGATCGGGCCCGTCGTGCGTTCTAAGCAAAGACGCGACGGCGTACCGTTTGTGCGCCAGCCTCCCAAATCCATCCCGTCGCTCTGATTCCATGACAACAATCAATGTGAACACCACTGCTACTCTGGCTGAACCGATCGTCCCGACGACAGCTGGGCAGGTGGTTTCTAAGCACGAGACCCGGCGTCGCGCGTGCCGATCCGCCTTCTCTTGTACGTCGAGCCCGTGTTCTCGTCGCCCGCCAATTCGTCCATGTCATCATCAGCCGTCTGCGCCGCCGGCGTGCTCTCGCCCCTAGGCGTCGCGGCCACGCTCGTGGGCCGCGCGCTGCCGCTACCCGAAGGTGGCAGCCCGCTGCGATCCCTCTCGGCCGCCCTGAGATCGCCCAGGAGCCGCTCCACCTCGACGAACATGATGCGCGAGTCGCGGACGACCGCGTCTTCGTCGACACGGTAGGTTGAGGGCTCAGCGTCGCCTTCGCCGTCCACCGAGGCCTCGCGCTTCATGAACGAATTACCTGGGCCGCGGTACGGATCCAGGTTGTACATGATGGCGTTGGAGAACATGTGGACCAGCTCGCGCTCCAGCTGCTCGCTGTTGATGATGGACTTGGGCGGCAACAGATCGCTGCTGATTGGGAGCCATAACGTCGGCGTGCCGGGATCGCCGTCCGGGAGCTTCTTGGCCGCTTCCACTGCGGCCCTGTTGCCGTGGGTCATGGCAGCCCGGATCGATTTTATGTCCTGCGGTTGCAGAATGAGGCCCTTGTAGCCTGGCGCGTCTCGCTCGCGAATCGCATGAGCAAACTGGTTGGCACAACGGTGGCTGCTGATCTGATCCAGGGCAGGGTTACTGATCTTGCCAAACTGACGGGTCCAGAGCACGTGTGTTGGCGTGCTCGCGGGTTGTGGCGGTAGTTCTACAGGGGATTCCTGACGTTTCCGCTTGTGTGCTAGACGGGACGACACGCTGCTGGGTGTGACGGCGTGTCGTCGGCTTGGGCCACTCTCATCGGCCGTCGTGTCACCAGCCTCATCTGGTGGTCTTGGCGTAGCCTCTTCGTTCTTAACACGAGGCGCCAGCTCATGATCATCCATGGACAGCTCATCGGCCTGAGAAGCCACGGACTGGCTTCGCGCGACGATGCGTGAAGGCGTCTCCTGTGCGGCATCCCTTTGCGCGTTCCGAGACGGCCTTCCACGTCTTGGTTTGCCCTCCTTCGTCTCTTTCGCCTCCTTCGGCACCGACTCGACAGATTTGGGCAACGGTTCTTGCTTTGGTTTCAGCTTTGGTTCCGCCTTGGGTGTCGCTTGCTGCGAGGGTGGTGCCTGAGATGGCGTGGGCGCTGGAAGACTGTCTGACGCAAGAACAGGACTGAGTGGCTCGAAGGCCGGACTAGGGACATCTCCAGACGGTCGGCCCTGCGCAGGTGGTCGTGGTGTCGAAGGGGTTGACTTTGCCGTCCATCGTGTGCCCGACCCGGTCATGATGAAGGAGGGGGAACTGGCCACCGGCGTCTTGGGCGGAACGAGACTACTAGGGGTGCGCTGCGCCGGAGATGGTGAAGCAGGCAGTTGGCCGGCCAAGTGAGCTGGGATGGCGGGCCTCGGAGGCTGGTTGGTGTAAGGTGAGCCAACGCGCTTCTGTGCGGTACCAGGCTGGGTCTGTGGGTGCGATGGGGTAGGCGAAGGACTAAATTGCTGCTGCACAAGTTGCGGCGTATGGCCGGTCTGTTGCTGCGTCTGTTGTGGTGGAGGCTGGACCACCCAGCCTGGTGGTGGCACCAGCGGCGGCTGCTGGGTAGCTGGAGTTGGAGCAGCTGGAGCTGGAGCTGCAGCGATAGGCCGGTTCTGAGGTGGGACGTAGCCGGTCGCAGCTTGCGTAGGGGTTTGTAGTGGTTGAGCAGAGGCGGGGCGTGCCTGTGGAATAGCCGGAGAGGGTACTGGGGTCGTAGATGGTGGTCTCTGAGGTGCCGCAGTGGGTTGAGTAGGTTGGAGACTTGGGGTAGCACGGCTGGCCGGATGTGCAGGTGGCACGAGTTGACCCCCAGCTGGCGGGGGAACAAGGACCGGCTGCTGATGCTGTAAAGGCGGCTGCTGTGGTCGTGGTACTTGGGCATTGGCGTGATGTACAGTCTGAGCTGGGGCTTGGACATGCGCCTGAGCCTGAGCTTGCGCCTGAGCCTGAGCTTGCGCCTGAGGTGCATTGGAAGGCTGCTGTCCTTGGGGTGGTGGATGCCAAGCAGCAGCCGGCTGCGCCTGTCCAGGTGTAGACGGCGCATTGGTTGCCGGTGGCTGTGGTTGCGTAGGGCGTCCCTGGAGCGGCGCCGCCGGTCCAGGGGGCTGGTATGGCTTCTCCCATTTGAGCGTGCTCGGGGTCCCAGGCTGGGGAATGGGCACAGGCACGGCCACTGCTGGTCCAGGCGTCTTTGGCTTTGCGGCATCTGGCCGTGGGGAGATGGCGGGCAAGGGCACTGGTGTTGTCGATTGCAGGCTGCGTGGCGGCGGCTGGCTGGCTCCCATCGGCTGGCTGGCTCCCATCGGCGGTTGAAGGACCTGACTTGGGGGACCTGTTGGCTTGAAAGGCTGCTGAGCCTTGCCTTGGGGTGCCAGGGACGGTGTCTGCGCTTGTGGTACGGCTGTTGGCGGCGGCGGCGGCGGGGAGGGTCCTGACGGAGGTGCCACATTGCGGGAAGGAATCTGGTGTTGTTGTTGTTGTTGAGGTCCGGGCGATGGCTTCGCTTGGACAGGGACAGGCGACGGTGTTGGTACTGCTGGCTGGATCGCGACGGGGCCTGGTGATGGCGCGGTATGAGGCGTTGTTGCGGGAACGGGACTGGGCCCCTTGGGTGGTTGAGGCGGGCGTTGAAGATCGGGCGTTGGTGTCTGCGTCGGCGTCGGCGTTGGTGTTGGTGACGGCGCCGGCACGGGCGTGGCATTTTGGGCCTGCGCAGCTGCTGGCAGGCGTTTCGCGTCGAGCCGGGCCTTTTCTGCCTCACGCTCGGCCTGCTCCAGAACATGAATCTCCCGCTGCAAAGCGACGGCTCTGCGCTCATCCTCCCTGATGGCCCTGACCGTCTGCTCCCGATACCTGGCGTAGAGCTTCTCTACCAGCACGGGGATCTTCCCAAAGTTGTCGATGACCTCCTTGAGCGACGGCAGAGGAGGGCTCTGGGCCTTTCGCTTCCTCGAGTTCGGCGACAGTGCAGGGTTGGCGTCGGAGTTCAGGTTCGGGTTGGCGTTCGCATTGGCGGCGGCGGCCTCACTCCTGAGCTCCTCCCGCACTAGGTGCAGGAAGAGCTGGCGCAGGGCATCAGGGCTGAGGCGTGCGGCGTCGTAGGACGCGTCATGCCGGATGAGAGCGTTCGCCTTGAGGAGATCCGAGACGCGGGCAAAGGCGGCGGCCTCGACGCCGTGGACAAGGAGGGCTTGGAACAGGAGCAGCGACTCGAGCGGGGTGTATGGTGCGGTATTCATGCCCCAGTCGGCGAGTCCGCCGCGCCGCTGCTGGGAGAGGAGGTGGATGGGCGCCACGATCTGTGGAGAGCGAAGCGAAGACAAGTCAGAAAGGTGTCATCATGGATGAGGAACGCGATGAGGCAACGAGGTTTGGAACGGAGTGGTCGACAAGACGTACTGGCTGCCGTTATGCGCTATGGGAGAAGTATTGATGCATCTAACTGCGCGCCTTCCGGAATCGCGGAGGGGGGGGAGGGGAGGGTATTGATGGAGCGTTTCGGATGGGCGCGCAATTGATGGATGATGATTGACGATGTGGTTTTTCGCGGTCGGCCTTTCGAGGTCACGTGAGACCGAGGAGATGAGAGATGGGATTTTCTGGCGGCGGCGATGGAGATGAATGTTGTTGCTGGTTGGTGGTTAGAGCTTGGAGCTGGAAGGCGGGTCGAAATTTGTTGCCAGGCTGAGGCTAGAGCCAAGCCAGGCAAGGCAGGCAAGGCAGGCAAGGCAGGCAAGGCAGCTCGTCCAGTGCACGAGGCGAGAGACGGAGCGTACGGCGGGCGGAAAATCCTGCGAAGGGAGGTGAGCTTAGGTAAGGCGGCAACCTTGCATGGCGGAGCCAGTAGCGAGTCATCAGCACCATTTCGTTTGATTACTAGAGGACACCATCTAAGATTGAAGCTGTGTAGATGCTCAGTATGGTGGTTGGCCTGCACCATTCATCTTTTTCACAATATCCTCGAACTACGCCGTTGCAACATCGGTGTTGTGGTTCTTCTCGGTTCATGCCATTCGCAGGCAGGCATCAGCAACAAATCACCCGAATGGTACTGCTGATGTCATGACTCTCTTATCTGGTCGGTACATGGTACCTTGCTTGCTATGCCTAGCCACAGCCACGAAATGGATGTCTCGCGGGTGATGCCGTCATGCGAGTCCCGGTGGACGCGGCGGATCGAGTGTTTCTTGTGTCCCGTGGGAGAATCACACGAGAAGCAAAGTGTCTTCGAGGTGCTCAATAATCATGTGTCGCAGACACGAGGAAGGGATCATGGTTTCTGTGGCCCTCCGGTCCCTGGGAAATTGACCATTTGTGTACAGCGCCTTGTGAGTTCATGCAGCGCACGCCCGTCCCAGCAATGGCAGGCGAAGACAAAGCACGATCTACCTGATTCCCGGGCTTCGAGCGATCTGCATGAGCATTACCTCAATGCACCTATGAGACGGCCTACTGATCCGGCCCAGACAGTGCTGACAGTGCATGTCATGCTGTCCGGTCCCTCGGCAGGGTGCACCATGCCCCCCCCGTGTTGCAGATGACAGCGAACCTTCGGGGGGGTGTCTTCCCCACCTTCGGGCAGCTGGGATGCACGGTGCGGGAAGCGATTCCAGGCACGCCCCGCGCATTAGGACGGGCAGCAGTGTCATGATTAGCGGCCAAACTAGCCGCCTTGGCTTGCTTGCCCCCGAAGCTGTAGGTCCCTTAGGTACCTACCTGGTGCCAAAGGTAGGTCGGTTACCTAGCTGCATTGAGCCCCTATTCGGCACTCGACAAGCTCCTCCCAGAGCTTGACGAAGCTGTCTCCGGGGAATATGCCTTGGACACATGAGAGAGGAGAGATACAGGTACAGCGTACAAGCATGGACCTGACGTTCATCTTCCCTTTCATCCTCATACATGTACAAGGCCCCAGGTCATCCAGACGGCAGCCCCCCCCTTGCCAAGGTAGCATGAATCTCCTCAGTGCATCTGTTGGCCCGTGACAGGGGCCCAGCTGATTGCTCTCCCCTCCCAAGTGACGGTTGAGGTGCTGATCATCCTGGTCTCTTTTCCCCCTCTAAATCCCCCAATCCCAATCAACCAAACCCCCCCATTGGGCCCCCTTTATCGACCCGACCCGAGCCACGACAGCCACTAGAGTGCCCCCTACCTTTAAGGTACCACTCACCACCTCCACCACAATACATGTACATCCCGAAGCGCTGTAGAGCACAGCTCCCCTAAAACCTTTTGACGTCTTCTTCTCTCCTCCCCTCCACCACACTGCGTCTACCCTACCTACCTACCTTGCCAACCTACACCCGCGTCTCCTTGCTAATCCTCACCGCCGCGCCCTACGATTACGACCACCATCACCTAAGCCCGGCCTTACCTACATCAACACATCTACACTCCAGCCATGGCCCAGAACTTGACCGATGCTGAGCTGGACCGCGACTGGCAGCCCAATGGCCGTCGTCCTCAGTCGTGAGTGCGCTCCCTTGATGCTCCGCCGCCCCCATGGCCCTCTTTCTCCGCCACGAATCTTTGTGCTACCAGAGCACGTGAGCTGACCGAGGCCTATAGCACCATCGCCCGCTCCTTCTCCCAGGAGCTGATGGACATTTTCCGTATCGAGAACAGCGTCGCCGACATGGACGAGAAGGTTGACCAGCGGTAAGACTGTCCCAAGGAACTCGTGAGCTCTGAGCTCTAGGCCCCGAGCTCTGGGCCCTCCTATAACGCCGTGGTCGTATTCGCTGCGACGAAACGACGACCACCGACCGCCCCCAAGCTAAAACCTTCTCGCAGAAAGCAAAACGTCCAGTCCCAAGCCGCCGAGCTCGAGGCTCTCGAGCGCCGCATTCGCGAGATGGAAGAGCGCATGAAGCGCGGCTCCTCCTCTACCCACCAGCGGGGCGCTCTCCCCATTCACCAACAACAACCCTCGACCTCGACCACAACCTCCCCTTCTGCTGCCGCGACAGCCACCAAAGACGGGTCCCGCTCCCGACCAGGTACGGCGCGCCAGAACCAGCCTCCCGCCCCGTCCTCGGCCAACATGCCACCCACTCCCACTGCCAGCGAAGGTGATTACGAATTCGTCGGGAGGGACGACCTCTCCGATCGCCCCCCTTCCCAGAGCACACGGCACTGAGCGCTATCCTCCCTCTCCTCTCACGCTTCACAACACGTTTCCTTTCTTCCTCTGTTTCTCCAGCCTCTTCTGAGACACGGCACCGCTTCTTTTTTTTTCCCTTGTACTCGAGACACTTGATCCGCCGCCCGAGAAATAATCGAGAGGAACCAGAACCAAGAAAGCTGACTCCCCCTTCTCCTCCTCAAAGACGGCGACAACGGCCAGGCATGAACGACTTGTTTCCTGTTGCTGTTCGGAAGAACCCCCGACTGAACATTTCTGTCAAACCATCCACATCAAATAAAGCCACGGACCCCAGCCTGGCCTGCGCTCGACTTTCGCTGATACCCCCTTCCCTCTACACTTTCTTCCTTTTCCCCACCCACCTCATTGCGAAGATCCGCACACCAGTCCATCTGGTGTGCTGTTTATTCGACCCTTTTTCGGCCCCTCCTCTCTGCTTTTCGGTGATATAGGAAGGAGACAGAGAGGGGTTCTTTCACCTGGATACCTTGATCTCCTCGTCGTGGACGATGAGCCGATGAAACGCGCTCCTTAGACGGCTCTCTCCCTCTCGCTTGACGCCCTCTTTTTTTCTTAATTCGACAGTTGGTTTGGCGTTTTCTTGCGGCATGCTGTATGGATGCCTACCCCACCCTCCTTTGTTTGTTTCCCTCTCGCCCCGTGCCATTCCGGATTGGTTTAGACCTCGACAAATCTAGATGCATCAAACACGACAGTTCTGCGAGTCGAGATATGGCCCCGGGGGTAGTCATCTTGGCGAGTGTGGAGACAAAGGGGGTTGGAAGGCTGAGGCGCGGATTCAGAGTAGCGAGCATCCTTGCGGGGATGAAGCTTCTCTACTGGCGGCTGCGGATAGAGGCCGCGCAGTACGAGAAGTCTAGAGAATGTGTATATACCGAGACGAGTCGGAGGCACGGTCAAAGCAGCAGTATATCTTATATTCTGTGCTGGATGAACCAAAAGAAAAAACTCTGTGACGCTGCTGCTGCTTCCATGCTCTCTTCTTGAGAGCAGGACGCTTATGTAACCCAACTGAACCCGGAACGCCATGCTCGTCTACAAGTCTCATGCCAGAAAGCCACCCGTCTATCCGTCGGCGTCTATTTGTTCCACCTGCCGTGTTTCCGCCTCTCGTCTTCGTCGTCGTCCTCGGGGATGCTCTTCCGCGGCCAGTCGCGGCAAATGTCGATGTCTTCGCGGGGGAACCACATCTCGAGAAACAGGTAGATGAGGTAGTCGATGATGACGCACAGGCAGAACAGCTTGCCGGCCCAGATGCCGCAGCCATAGTACCGCTTGAGGCGGTCAATCAGCGCGAAGCTCCTCTCGCCGGGGCGCGCGACGCCGTAGCGCGGCGACGGGGCGCCGTCGTGCTCGTCGTACTCGTCGTCGTCCACGGCCTGCTCCCCGCCGCCGCCGACGTCCTCGTCCTCGTCCTCGTAGAGGCTGCGGTAGACGCGCTCGGTGCGCTCGGCGACGTTGGTCCACGAGTACATCTTCTTGACCTGCTCGTGGAAGCGCTCGGTGCGGACCTTGTTGGCGCGCAGCGCCGCGATGGCCTTGCCCGTGGCGGCGACGAGGTCGTCCTCCTCGGGGCGCGCAAAGACGGTCATGTGCGAGGGCAGGACCTCGGGGATGCCGCCGACCTGGGTGCAGACGACGTAGAGGCCGCACGACGCGGCCTCGACAATGACGGTGCCAAAGGCCTCGGTCAGGGACGGGTGCAGGTAGATGTGGCCGCGGACCATGACGTCGCGGACCTCCTCGTGGCGCACGGGGCCGAGCATCTCGACGCGGTCCTGGAGCACGTTCTGCTCGATCATCTGCTCGAGGTCGATGGCCTTGGGGCCCGAGCCGGCAATGACGAAGCGCGTGTTCGGGTTGTTGTAGAGGATGGGTGGGATGGCCGCCGTCAGCAGATCGGTGCCCTTGTTGTAGAAGAGGCGGGAGATGACGACGATGGTGATTGTGTCGTTGGGGCCGAGGGGCTGGGCGGGCGGCGGGTTGTGGACGAAGTTGGCGACACCCGACGGGTTGGAGGGGTAGTTTTTGGGGCGGAAGTTCTCGGCGACGACGGCATTCGGGATGACGGAGACCATGAGCGGGTCGAGGGACGCTCGCAGAACAGTGTTCTCCTTGCTTGAGAGGTGTCAGCCAGGTGAGCTCAAGCAAGAACCTTGGACACATGTACTTACCAGGTATGGCTGACGCAAATGACATGGTCGACATCGCTGAGGGTAAACTTGAGAAGCTTATTCGTCAGGATGCTCGTGGCATCTGCAAACCCAAAGAGTGAGTGATCTGTGAAGAGGGTCCGCAGTCCCATGGTCCTGCCATGGAGGATGGCCTCGTGGCAGAGGCTGCTCAAGCTGGCATGGCCGTGGACGATCTCAATCCTCTCGCGAATGACGATATTGCGGAAGATCGGGAAGAATGAGAAGACGGTGGGGAACGTGGCCTGGCGGAAGATGACGAGGAAAGGCACATGGTAGACCTTAAGGCCGTTCGTGAGGTAGCGCACGCCGGTGCGGCCTTCGTAAGCGTGGGTGATGACGATGACCTTGTGACCGCGGTCTATGAGTTTCGAGGAAAGCTGGTAGATGTGACTCTCGATTCCTCCTGGCTGCGGAAAGAAGAAGTCGCACACCATGGCGATATTGAACGTACGACGGCGGGGCATCGTGGCGGTCGAGGGTCCTGCTACCTAGGATGTTGAGGCATGTCTGACGTAGGACAGATGTCGAAACGCGGTGGGCCAGCCTTTTCGGACAGGTTTGAAGAGTTGTCGGTGGTCGACTGGTTGAAAGTGGTGCTGAAGTTGTTCAGTCGACCATGATCGTCAGTCAAGCAGGTCCCTGGTTTCGACCTCAAGAGACACACGAATGCGCTGAAGATCAATTGGTCAAGGGATTGGATCGAGACAGCTAAAGAACCACCCCTGCAGCGGGAACGATAAGGGGGCGGTGGATCTCGGCAGAACACTGATAAGCCGATGTGCTGGATCATTGCCCAAATTTTTTGGAAGCTCGTCTCGTCTGCCCCTCCGAGGCCAGACGCAGCGACGACGAAACACCACTCTCGACATTTTGCTTGGCCGACCGCTCCGAGCGACCAACTGATCAGAGAGCCTGGAAAGATGTACAATCGATATGTCCCGTCAAAGGGAGCAGCTTCTGCATCACCATCACTTCCTCAACAGAGCACCGCCAGCCATGGCTCGACCAGCCAGCCCTCCACAGACTACGCTCGTTACGTACCCCCAACGAAAGGCGCAAAGGCGACGGCGACCCAGTCTCCATCAATAAACTCGCATGATGCGCTATCTCCCGCGACAAAGCGCAAGCATGGCGATGCCTCCACGAACGGCGCAGAAAGCCCTGCGCCGAAGCCCAAGAAGTCCAAACAGTCTGAAGATGTAGAGAAAGCCGAGAAGAAGGAGAAAAAGAAGAGGCAAAGGGAGGCACGAGACAAGCCAAAGAAGAAGAAGCCTGCTCGAGAGGACAATGGGGACGACGACGACGACGAAGAAGACAAGGTGCCCTCGCGGTTCGCATCAGTATTGGCAAAGAAGGCCAAGTCGATCAAGGCCCCGGTACCACTGCCCGAGGGAGCTGAGGCCATGAATGTCGACGAAGACGAAGCGGAGGATGTCGAGATGCACGGCCTGGACCCCCTACCGCAACCGGAGCCTGTGGCCGCCGACACGACCAAGATGTCCTATGAAACCCTACCGCCATGGCTTGCAGCACCGATACGCGTTGCAGCCGACACCAGAACTCCGTTCCCCGAGATCGGCATCAACGACCGTTCAGCTAAGATTCTCGAGTCGAAAGGCTTCAAGGACGCCTTTGCGGTGCAGACGGCCGCGATACCATTGCTTTTGCCCTCGTGCAAGCACCGCCAGGGTGATCTTCTCGTCGCGGCCGCTACCGGTTCCGGAAAGACGTTGGCGTATGCGTTGCCGATTGTGCGCGACATCAGCCAGGGCCAGGTAACGAGATTGCGAGCGCTTGTGGTGCTGCCGACCCGAGAACTTGTCAATCAGGCTCAGGAAGTCTTCCAGCTCTGCGCCGCTGCTTTTGATGCCCGTGATCAGAAGCGCGTACGCATCGGGATTTCAATTGGCAGCCATCAACTGAAAAACGACCAGGCGAATCTGGTAGAGCAGACGGAACGCTACGACCCCAAGGCATATGCAGACGCTGTGAAGAGGGATCGCGAGGCTTGGACTACACTTGAGGATGCCGATGCTGAAGGTGGGCCGCAGGCGTCCAGGCCAGTCATGGGCAACTTGCCCGATCACGTCGTCGACTACAACTCCAAGGTCGACGTACTCATCTGCACCCCCGGAAGGCTGGTCGATCACATCAATCATACACCGGGCTTCACGCTGGACTTTATTCGCTGGCTGGTAGTCGATGAAGCAGACAAGCTGCTGGCGCAAAGCTTCCAGGGTTGGTTGGACGTGGTCATGCCTGAGCTGCGCACCAACAAGTTCAGCGCACGCGACTTCCCCGACTCGAATCTGACAGGCGTCCGCAAGGTTGTGCTCAGTGCGACGCTCACCCGAGATCTCAGTCTGCTCGGCAGTCTGCAGCTCAGGAGGCCACAGCTCATCGTGCTCGAGGGCGGCAAGGCCGATGGCACGACGCAGGTGGCCGAGCACACGCTTCCCAGCTCACTCAAGGAGTTTGCGACTAGGGTCTACGACACCAGGCTCAAGCCTCTGTACCTGCTCGACCTTCTCCAGGGCAAGCACTTGCTCTCGCCCACGGACACGGCATCGAAGAACAAAACAACTCCTGCGAAGACGGCAGCGGCAGCAGCAACAGCAGACGATGACACTTCATCAGAAGACGAGTCGGATACCTCGTCGGACGGCTCATCAGACACCTCGTCAGACTCGGCCTCGGACTCCGACACGCCCAAGGCCTCCTTCAAGAAGACGGCGCTCATCTTTACAAAGTCCAACGAATCCGCCATCCGTCTCTCCCGCCTCCTCTCCCTCCTCGCGCCCTCTCTCGCGCCCCTCATCGGCACCCTCACATCGACGCAGAAGACATCTCACCGCCGCCGCGTCCTCGCCTCCTTTACAGCCGGCACCCTCCGCATCCTCGTCGCCTCCGACCTTGTGGCTCGTGGCATCGATCTGCCGGCCCTCGACAACGTCGTCAACTATGATCTCCCGGCCAGCGCCGCGGGTTACGTCCACCGCGTGGGCCGCACGGCGCGTGCGGGCAGGCAGGGACGGGCGTTCACGCTTGTGGAGACGCGCGAGAGCGGATGGTTCTGGGGCGCCGTGGCCAAGTGGGAGGGCATCCGGAGAACGGAAGAGGTCGGACGGTTGGTCATTGTCGAGAAGGATGCGGAAGAAGGAGGGTTCGGCGGGGAGAGGATGGAGCGGTACGAGAAGGCATTGGAGGAGCTGGGGAAGGAAGCGTCCGAGGTGCGGAAGCACAGGTAGAAGCTGTGACGAACAGGATGCTGAAGAGAACCGTTTGCGCCGGAGTTGCGCGGTCCAAAGCCTGCACGTTGATGCGTACCTGAGTCCGTGTGATCTTACTGAAGCGATAGGCTGATACTGTGTCTTGGGATCGCACAGCGTCACGCCGTGGTTCCGGCTTTGCGAGCATGGTGTAGTGAAGCAAAGTTCCCTGGCGGCGTATATCTCTGGACCTCAGGATACGTTGAGTTACTGCATCAGTCATATCGGGAGTTTTCATGTAAGAGCGATACTCGTCTGAAGCTACATCTCAAGCTTTATCGATCGGTGATAGTACTCATCAAGTTTAAAGACGCATATCCTCGGATGAACCCCTAAACGTAGTTTTGTTGTATACGTGTATCAGACTGATGTATGCTCACGGGGAGGAATCGGTAGTAGTGCTCCATGCGTACGTCACTGCTGGCCGTGTCTGATTGTCAAGCCAGGGCCGCTCTGACCTGGCCAGGCAGAGTCTACCACTCATTCAAGAGTCAAGGAACATGATGTTACAATAGGAATGGACCTGGCCAGGAAAGCCCGGGTCATCGCCTTGGCCGACAGCACACTATCCCGCCGGTGCCAGGCATTCACGTCTCTCGTCTGGCCAGACGATCGGTCGAGAACCGGTGTCCGTCGATCTCCGCCGGAGAGCGGTGGCCTGATAAGAATCTGGGGTGGCCAACCCACGGTTATCGGCGAGGGCCGTTCTAGGCGCGCGATGTGGGTCTGGTTCAGTATGTCGCCGCTTCAAGGGGACGTTTCGACCAACGTCGAGTAGAGCATTGTGCAGAATTGTGCAGGCTTGACTGGAGACGTCCAGTATTCTCAAGGTTGAAGCGAGAGCTTCGTAGAGGGAGTCGATGGGGACATGACGCTGCAGACCAATAAGATTGATGACATGGGTTTGGTGATGGGATCCGTTGTAAGGACTGGGCAAGTGAAGTGCCAAATTTCAAAACGCAACTGAACAATGCAGGCTAACATTAGGTTGCGAAACACATCCAGATGTGTCTGTTCCGTGGCCAGGCTCCAGATTGGTAGTGCGCAAGCTGTGATGTATCTCCGGTTGGATGTTTATTATGCCCCTTGTTGCCTTTGTGGTCTGGTTATGTAGGAACTCGCTGGAACAGCCTATCTACATCAACAACAGCCAAGGCAGCGAAGTATATCGCATATAGTGCCTATATAGGTATCTGGTTGATTTGAAGCACGCTTGAACATGATGATAACTTTCCACACACGCGGGCTCTCTCCTCGTCAACAACATGGACCACTTGACCTCGACCAAAGACACTTTCCACCTCTTCCCGCGATTTCCCCTCGAGATCCGCAGGCTGGTCTGGGAGCAAGCTCGCGCAGAGTCTTACATGTTCTGCGCCTTTGACACGGCAGCGTCGAGCAGCAACAACACGCCGCAGCAAGCGAGGAAAATGGTAAGCTGGCGTCAGACCAACACCGTCCTCAGCTGTCGTGAAGCGCGCCAGGCGATACCAGTCTCGCCATCACGCGTCGGGCTCATCCATTTTGCCAAACTTGTCGGGCATATTTTCAGTCACCGCAACCACCCCAGTACGCAGTATTCGAGAGAAGGTCATTTGTTCGTGGCCATGGATTCCGCCATGATACACTCTCGTTCAGCGAGTGGAATCTACCACGACGTGCTGCAACAGCACCCGGAGTGCCCGGGCGGGTGCGTGTACCTCAAGAACTTGGTGACGATTGGAAGTTCGCGGCACATAGCCGAGACCGAAAATTCTGCAGCCCTCAAGGATGAACCGATCATGAGCCTAGACCTTTGGGCGGATGTGTTGCCTACAATGTCGACACTGCCGGGCGGCACCCATTCGAGTGACTTTCTGACGACTCCTTCAAAACGCAGACGTAGGAGGAAAGAAGCGCGCCATGTAGAGCTAGAGAAGGCGAGGAGGGCGTGTGCACATTTGTCCGCGTGCTTCGAGGTGCGGTGGAGCGTTCCAGAGGCCGACGAACTGTACCATGTCATGGAATATGTGATTCAGGCGTCCCCAGAATGTGTTCCAGTCATGTACCTAGCAGCATTGGCTACATGAAGATGCCCGGCCATTGCACCTCGTGTTGCCTGGTTCGTGCAAGAGATGTCAGAAGCCGAACTCTCAACTGCAGATAATACCTACCATACTCCTCTGGTTCATGTTGTCATTCAGGTCAATATTTAAGGTAGTCATGAAGATGTATCCAGATAGGTACCTAAGGTGGTGAAGCAGGTAAGCAGAGGGTGGTTGTGCAACCGGAAGTTATGCAGAGCATCAAAGGAAGAAGCAGAGGTAAAGCGGCGACACACATCGAACACAGCAGCTTCCTCATCCAGCATGCGCGTGCACGCTGCCCCTGCCCCCGCCAAACCGAGACCCCACCGGGGGCTCCTTCCCCCACCAAGATTTGGCGGACCCCTCGGACGTATCACATGGGACCAAAGTAAGCAGCGGCGACTGACTACTTTTTGGCGATGCTGCATTTATTCTCTTCTCATCCCCATTTTCACTGTATCCTAGTTTAACAGTTCTCTACATCCTCTGCCCTCTTGTCAGTGCGTGTCAATTTGTGAATTCACCTTTGCGACCGTTTGCGACCACAAACCGGCTTCTCCCCGACCAACCCCCTCCCGCACATCCAAGATATCGCAGCCATGCCCGCCGACGAACTCCCGATGGACCTGCCCATCATTGACCTCGATGTCTTCCTCAACAACCCCCAGGACTCCCCCGAGTCCAAGGCCGAATGCCTCAAGGCTGCCAATGCCCTCATCACCTACGGCGCTCTCGTGCTCCACGACTCGCGCGTTTCGGAAGAGGACAACACGACGTTCCTCGACCTCCTCGAGGACTACTTTGCCCAGCCCCGCGAGGACCTCCAGAAGGATGAGCGCCCTGAGCTCTCCTACCAGATTGGCGTTACGCTTGAGAACACGGAGAAGCCCAAGTGCGCCGTCGACGAACCCTGCCTCGACGTCATCGCCCGCCTTGCTCCCGAGGAGCGTCCCCTCGACATCTCCGCCCACAGCCCCGACCCCAAGTGCCGCTTCTTCTGGCGCATGAACGACGCCCCGCCCCCTGAGGTCAATACACAGTTCCCCGGCCTCAACGCCTCCAACGTTGTGCCTGAAGCCTCCCACATCCGTGACCGCTGGTCGCCGACCATGAACCACTGGGGCGCCACCATGAAGCAGGCCGTCGAGGGCGTGGCCTCCATGGCCGCCGCCGGCCTCGAGCTGTCTGCCGATGCTTTCACGAGCGCCGCGCGCTACGGCCCCCACCTGCTGGCGCCGACCTCGTCCGACCTTCGCCGCTTTGACCAGCCCGACACCATCCTCGCTGGCTTCCACACGGACCTCAACTTCCTCACAATCCACGGCCGCTCCCGCTACCCCGGCCTGCACGTCTGGGCGCGCAACACGGGCAAGAAGATGGCCGTCAAGATCCCCCAGGGCAGCTACCTGCTCGTCCAGGCCGGCAAGCAGCTCGAGTACATCACGGGCGGGCTCGTCAAGGCCGGCTTCCACGAAGTCGTCATCAACGAGGCCACCGTGGCCGCCATGAAGCGCCGCACTGAGGAACACCCCGACCGTCCCCTCATCCGCATCTCCTCCACCATGTTCTACCATCTCTCGTCCGACTACGACCTCGCGCCCTTGCCGGCGCTCGCCGAGAAGGCGAAGCAGGTTCGCGCGCAGCAGTTCAACCTCGGCAAGGACGAGGGCGCCGAAGTCGAGTACCCGCCTACAAAGGTCGGTTTCCAGGTGCAGGGTGAGCTGAAGCACATTGCCCTGATGGCGTGATAGTCACATGAATGAATAAAAACGTTAAATGTCCATGTTTTCTCTTTATCATACATCGTGAATTTCTGGTGGTCACCGCGACGCCCACTCAGGCCTTGCGCACCTTGTCGTACACAGGCTCACCCTCAGCAACATCCACACCCTCCTTGACAACGCGCTTCACGGCCTCGTCAATGTTCTCCTGACCATCAAGCAGGTCGATCCACGACGTCTTGAGGCCCTCGGCGTCCACGAGGCGCGCCGTCACTTCGGCGACCGTCCTGCGCGACACCTCGCCCTTGGCACCGCCCGTCCGCCCCAACTCGATGCCGCCAACGTCCCCCTCGGTCAGCGTGCCGGGCCGCAGGCTGACGGCGGCGAAGTCACGGCGCGTGCTGCCGGCCTCGTAGAGGACCTCGTCGGCGGCGACCTTGGCGTCGTAGTAGGCGGCCAGTGTCGTGTTGACCTTTTGGGCGTCGCCCCAGGCCGCGGCGTCCCACCACGCGGGCTGCGCGCGGCGCGAGGCGAGGTACGAGATGAGGATGAACTTTTCAATCGAGGGCGTTGCGGCGGCGGCGCGCAGGAAGTGCGTGGCTGCGTCACGGTCGATGATACGGGTCTGTCTCGTTAGCATTGCCTGACTTTGTCTTTTTGATGTTTTTGTTTATTGATTCCAAAAGGCGAGAGAGAAAAGGGAAGAGAGGCAGAAAACGTACTCGGTCGGCGGCGCCCTTGCCGCCGGCGCCGGCGCTGAAGACGACCGCGTCGGGCTTCACCTCGGACAGGATGGCCTGGGCGCGGTCCTGGGACGTGACATCCTCCAGGGACCGGATCAGCACGTTGAGGGTGCCCCTGCCGTCGGCGGGGGCGAGGCCGCGGATGGTCGGCGCCTGGTCGTCGGCGCGGATGACGCTCGTGACCGTGTGCGCGGCCCGCAGCAGGAGGGGCGTCAGGTGCTGGGCGATTTTGCCGTGGCCGCCGAGGATGAGGACGTGGGGCATGGTGGGCGAGGATGTCTTTTGGTGTGTGGACTGCTTTCTTTGTCGCCGCATCCGGATTCGAATGGGCAAAGATGTAATAGGATGTCGCCTAAGGTGGTGGTGATAGTGAAGCTGCTTGTGCGATCGGGTTGTCAGGCGAATTGATGCAACCTTCAGCGAGACTGTGAAAGAAGACGATTTATACGGCCTCGTCAGGCCTCACGCAACACGCCATTCTTCGCACGTCACGGCGCGGGGGACGGTGACGTCAATTGATCCAAGACGTGCTCGCTCGTCCGGGCGTTTCATCATCAATACGAACAGTCAAGCACCGCTGTTTAGTAATAATAAGCTTCGCTGGGGGGGGGCATTTGTGTTTGCTTCTCTGCTTCCGGCGTATGGGGAGGGGCCACCAGCATGTCCGATCGGGGATAAGCGTCGCTGGGCTGTGTGGACTGTGGGTGCTGAAATCGGGTGATGGGGTTACATGTAGACATGGTACTCAAAAAGGACGAGGATATTCCCATTCTTGGGAAGGGGTGTGGTGACCTTGATGGAACCATCCATCTGGGCGCGCGAGTCGCGGCGGCAGAGAATTCTTGTTCTTCATTCCTTGGTAGAGGGTCGCGAATGACTCGAGATGAAGTAAAATGAGATCAATTGGATCAAAAGATGCGCTCACACACCGTGGTATCATCTGCCGAACAGGCCACAGGGGGGGTCCTGAAGGTAAGGTTAAGATAGGAAACAAAGGCCGTGAAAATGGCACCCCGAGACTCCACCTCCGATGGGCTCCTACAGCCCTCTTCGTGCCATAATGCCAAACACATATATACACACTCCCGACGACCACGAGTCCTGTTCATTCCGTCATGCCCGTTATGACGCATGACGGGTGTGTCCCTCGTTGGCAAACGAAACTGAATTACTAAAAAAAGATTCATATCGGCACTTGCGTATAGAGCCGATACATCGCGTCGTAGGGCCTATGTCCTCGGAAAGCCGCCGCCGGTGGCCTCGCAAGCGCGGCATCGTCTTTGTCCTGCGGCACGTAGTGAACCTTGCACAGCGGACAAGTGTCGTGCTTGTTGAGGAACCACTGCGTGATGCATTCGGAGTGGTAAATGTGGCGACACGGCAGGGTGCGAATCAGATCGCTGTCCTCGAGTGTTTCCAGGCACACCACACTGAAAGAACGTCCCGTCAGCACTGGGACCTTTGAAGAAAAACCCTTTCTTTCTGGCCAGCAGGATGCAAGTCATGAAGACCGAGAGACAAAGAAGGCCGGGAGGGGGAAAGACGTACCAAACGACATAGGAGCTGGCTCTGGCAACGCCCTTGACCGCATCGTCGTCCCTCTCCTCATCAGGCTCACTCACACACTCGCCCTCGCCTTCGCCCTCATACTCGGCGAGCCAGGCCTTGTATGTCGTGATGGGCGCCGACTTGTCGAGCTGCGCAACCTTGCGCGCTATGGCCTCCAAGGCCACGGCCGGGATCGCCGGTGCCGGGGTCCGGGGTGAGGCGGGGCCGTTGCCGGGGCCACGGGCGTGCGCGTGAGCGTGAGCGAGCGCTTCCGCATCCGGCGAGTTGGGTCGTGTTGGCGAGAAACCAGGGATCATGACCCGGCGCGCGACCCAACAGCTGCGAAACCGTAAGCCCCACGATTTCCTGTGGGCGTGAAAGAAAAAAATTGGTTCAGTAAAAGAAATCTCTCCCAGAGTACGCACATGCAGAAAAACAGCAGAATGAGGCCCGTCAGGGCGCCGAAGAGGATGAAGATGGAAATCCAGATCGGCGCGCGCTTCTCCCCCGAGGGGGCCGGATCAGAGGTCGGGTCGGCAGTGGCGCTGGCGCCGGCGCTTGTGACAGTGACATACCTGAACGTCGTTGTTGCCGAGATGGCCATGATGCTTGGCACCACGTCGAAGGACGAGTCGTAGGATACGCTGATTGCTGCCTTTTTTTCTTCTTCTTCTTCTCGGCCCTTGGCTCCGTTTCGCCCCAGATCTGTGGGACTTGCTTTTTTTGTTGGTGATTGGCGAACACACCTTTCGTAGGTTCGTCGCCTAGTTGGGCCAACCTGCCCAAAGCTGTCTGCCGGAGGGCGACTTTTGATAGAACCGAGGAGCAGTGAGCGATGCTCAAGCTGTTTGTCGTCTGGCGGAAAGGTGACCAGCCAACCGTGTGGCGATTCGCGTCACCGAGAATCAAGACACCACGCCTCCCGTCGCTGAGGGGACATGGACCTGGGCGGGCAATTCTCTCGGTCAGGTGACGGTGGCGGCGACGGACGGGGAACCCACGTTTTGTTTTTCTTCTCTTTCGGCGGCCATGCAATGTCCACGCGGACGCACAAGATGCAATCGACGGTTCGAAGGCTCGGCTTGAGATCTTAGAAGGATGAAAATAAAATAAAAAGAAATAAAGTGACACAAACGAGCATCCTCTGGAAAGAAATCACTCTGCTTCGTCGCGGACGCCCGCCGGGCTTTGTACGACTGAAAAGACGGGATCACTACAGGGGGAGAGCCTGTGGCACAGGAGGGCAGGTCCGAGCCATGATTGGTAGGGTCCCATCGTGACCCTCGACCCTCCTCCTAGCTTGCAGGAATGCGATGGTCAAAGAGGGTGTGGACGGGCGGCGGGCCCCCTCGAATACGATCAGCTGTTGTCTTGATTGAGTTTGGCTCTGGCGGACGGTGGACGGTGGAGCAGACCGAGGGATGGATGGGTGTGGGCGCGTCAGTGAGGTGGGATTGGAGGATGGGCGTGTGTTTGGTGAAGGGAGGGGGGGGCTAGGTAACGCCCGCGCTCTATCTAGGCTATATGGCTTGCATGCTGGGTCGTCGTGATAAGCTGGAGAGAAGAGAGAGAGAGAGAGAGAGAGAGAGAGAGAGAAGCGAAGGGGGTCTGTGCCAGGACGCTCAGATCAATGTGAGGGGAGAGGTTTGGCCCGGTTGTGTGACATGTTGGCTACGTAGCTGTCGGTTGTCTGTCAATGTTTGACGTCTCGAGACCGTCGCACGCCTGGCGTAACTAACCCCAGAAACCGATCGTCGCGTGGGCGAAATGACAGCGCCGAAACGACGATCTGCACGCTATCGAAGCGTCTGGACTTGCGGATTGGATTGCTGACTCAATGCACGAGCATCCTGTGGTCGTTGGGCCAGTGCTCGCTCGCATGCCGCCATTGGGGACTGGTCGTATCTTCACATCCAGCCAATCATCGAATCCAAACGGCCTTCGAGTTCATTGAGATGTAAATATATACAGTCAAGAATTAGGACCAAGGCCAGAGTTCAGACAGCATTGGGATCATGATGGTTTGAGGTTACTTGCGGTTAGATATGTTTCTGAGGCTCATGTACGTACTCCACTAAGTTGTGAAAGCGGGCACCTCAGGATCATACGCTTGAAGATCCCACGCTCTCACAGAGTGACTTTGTCTCTGCAAGAAAGAAAATCGAGATACGTGCTCATAACTCACGGTATTTATTTTTGAAGCTCTTCAGGCTCATACTTGTATTGATAATCATGGATTCAACGTGTTTTTTTGAAAATCCTCTCGCTCGTGAGCCTTCCGGTGTAAAATGTCACTCTCACGCTTGGATCTTCGGAAGCTCTCCTGGCAACACGGGAAGATCTGACCTACAGTTCCTTGTCCAATATTCAAGTTCTTTTTCAAATCTTCTTCCTGACCCGCCGTCTCCCACCCTGATAATGTCATCTACAAAACTCTTCTGCCCTATCACTGTCGGTGAGGTCAAACTCAGCCATCGCGCCGTCATGGCTCCGCTGATACGCTTCCAGCAAACGCCGACCACGTGGCTTCCCTTTGATGCATCAGTACTATACGCAGGAGATCTACTGTCACGGCACACTCCTGACTGCCGAGGCGACCTATATCTCACCTGCTCACTGCGGTGGCGAGAGCGCGCCGGGCATGGGGGACGAAGCATAGGTTCAGGGATGGAGGAAATACACCAACGCCGTCCGGGCCAAGGGCTGTTTCATGGTCATCCAGCTGTGTGTTCCGGGGCGCGCAGGTCAGATCGAGGGATATCCTCATTACAGCTCGGGCTCCATCACTATGGATGTGGACCGATGCGGCGGAGTGTTATTTTTCGCACATTGCCCGCGGTCTCGCGGAGCTCAACATATCTCAACTGCACCTCCTTGAGTCGCGGGTCAACAACCACGTCAACTGTGAACAGACGGAGGGCATGTCATTTGCGTTGGACAGCTAGCAAGACCATGGCCTTGTTTCCGTTGCTGGAGAACATGATGGGCCAAGGCCCGTAGTGCCGTTGATGGAGAGCAGCAAGACCGCGATGCCCTCATTGCGTTTGTTCGGTACTTTCTTTCCTCGCCAGACCTGGTATCCCGGCTTCAACACGGTATCGAACCAACCAAATAAGACCGCTCCACGTTCTACACTCCTGCTCAGGCAGAGGGGTCTATCGCCTGCCCCTTTTGCGAGGAGTACTCGGGGTCTTGGATATCGTAGAGTATTGATCCACGGCATCGCAGGGTCTTGCCTGCATCGAAGGGTTCTTCGTTGGCTTCAAGTCGTTGTTCGACCAGAATACTTCAGACCGCCAGCGAAGGCTGTTTGTTCCCTCTTTTATTACTTCCTTTCGCCTGGGATTAGATGAGCGGACAATTTGGACGTTTTGTATTCAGAGGTAATTCATTGACATGCACTCCCCAATCATTATGATTCAACCGACGCCATTGACAAGTATTGATAATGAGCATCATCAAGCTGATTGCTTCAACAGGTCGTCGAAATGCCTTTGATGAAGAACTCCTCAACCAATTCCACCACTCGAGCTCGATCTTGCTCGAAATCTGGTCGAAAATGAACGAGATGGAGCTCGTCAAGGGCTGAAGTTCACCTCATTCTTAGAGAAGGCGGTCTGAACGTCCTGAGCCTCAACAGTAAAGTGCAGAAACACAAGCGCTTTCATCGCAAGCATAGATGGCTCATCATGATCGTGCGCATCCTACCATTCAGAGGACTACGGTGTGTGCAACTACAGCAAAGCTGGTTTTAGTCGTCACACGAATTAATTAACGCATGAGGTCGACCTCCCATGCGACGGAGGATCGTCCCGGCTCGTGGAAGCAATGGCCAGGGGTGTGGCAACCAACACCAGTGATGACCTCATTTCCGTAGCTTCAGAAGCGCGCTGATTGGCACGCTCAAGCATCGCGGCTTCTAGGGGCTGACATCCCCACAAAGCTTCTTTCTTGACCACGGCCGATTCAAGCATCGCGGCGTGGGCGCAGGGTTCTCTGCTGTGCTTGCTGGCAAGGCTGGGAACCCAGCTGACAGAGCAAGATTTCACGATGCTTGTGATCGGGTTGTCATAGTGCAAGCCCACGCACCGCACGTGCAAACAGGGGTGACGCGGGCATGGAGTCATTCAGTTGACCGCCAGATGGCACCCTCACAGGTGGTCGGATTGTGTGGTAAACAAAAGATGGTTGCTACTAGCCTGGACGTGTTGAGCCAGCGTTGGCCGGCGTAATTAGCTAGGACCAGGATGCTGGAATATGATGCGCTACACAGTCATGGCAGTATGCCCTTGGGCATCAAATGTTTCCTGCGAGACAGCCCTCAGCTCTCTCATTTGGTGTTACCGGCTCTTGTTCCCTGTGACCTGTGGGCGTCGCCAGGTTGTTGTTGTGGCTGGCTGCAGTGACACGCTGGCGATGGCTGCTGTCCATCTGCATCGACAACGTTGCCGCGACGAGAGGGAGGCGACTGCCGAGGGATCCGCCCTGTTTGATTTTTGCTGTGAACTGTCTAGACAGAGCTGAGATGAAGCAGACTGGGGATGCACAAGCCCTGGTGAGCTGAGAGCTGATAGTGTCACTGGGGCTTCTTAGGCGAAAGGACGAAGGAGGGAGAAAAAGAAGAGGCTTGGCCTCGTGTGGTATCGTCCCACGTCGGAGCGTTCAAAGGCGTTAATTTGAAGGTAATTAGTGGATGCCTCCGGGGGGGCCAGGGAGGGCCAGGGGCGGCACCTAAAGCCCCTAATGCCTGGTGCCCCACGGGCCTGTGAATCTTGGCACGCGCTTCCTGGGAGGTCGCCCAAGCTGCCAGAGAAGGGCACAGGAAGGGGCAGCCAGCAAACAGTGGATACCAAGCACTGAACCAAGCATCTTCGCCCCCCCCCGGTGGCAGGTAAGCTTAATCCGCCTGGCCACCTAGGTACCTAGGCTGGCCTGTGATGTGCAATGAATTCCGTGGGCTCCACTGCACATTACACTCGCCTACCTTGTAGTCAATGTTGTTGTTCCAGGAGTGCCTGCTTTCCACCGCCCTCCCTTCTATCGAAGACCGCCCCATGCTTCTCTCGGTCGGAGATGGCTAGATGCATTTTGGATCAGAGACATGGCCAGTGAAAAAAAGGGACGAAAACAAGAAAAAGAAGCAGAGACGACCAGAAACGATGACGGCTGCACCATGGCAACGAAACGGCCAGCGGTCCAGGTCCCCCCCCCCCCCCCTCCATCTCCTGCTGGCGCCCACAGAAGCCCACATGCCTATGGCGCCCCCTCGAGCCCCTGCTCCAGTGATGATGAAGGTGGTTACTCCAAAATGAGGCGAGCTTGACCAATGACGCCAAGCATCACGATTGCCAAGGAAACGGAGCAGCACTGCCACATTCACACGGCCGCTACCGTCCCTTCCCTGATCTCATACGATGAAATCACGTTCACCTACCTAGTTTACGTACTCTATAGCATTTGGCTCTTTCCTGCCTCTTGGAAGCTTTCTCTTCTCAATCTCGACCTCTCACACCTTCGCCTTGGGTCTTTCACGAGCGCAATCCTTGCCTCCGCCTACAGTCAATCAGGTATCCGGCACTGAAGTGCGCCTCCTTCCTGCCAACAAAAACAAAATTCACGACCTTCGCATTCGCGCCGAAAGCATCTCGGGCACGCCCAAGATCACCAACACAAGCCTCCGCCGCAAAAGCAACAGACGGCTTGCCTTCAAACGAAGGACATCCCCAAAAGGACCGCGATGCAAACGACCCTCAACATTGATCATCACACCCGGCACTGCCACACTCGTACCACTTCATCGATCATCTCCTAACATCAACACGAACCCGGTTCGCGCCCGACGGCTCCGAAAGGCCCTCGAGCTGTAGAGAGCCGAATCGGCCCTGCTCGATTCTGCCTCGAGTTCTGCCTTGCATACTTCGCCAAGGCAACGAACGATACGTTTCTCCAAGACCTCCAGTCCGCCCCGAGGTACCTTTCGTGCTCGGCTTCATATTCCTCGATTTGACGACCTGGGCCCCCTTCGCCCGACTCGTCTGCATAATACTCAAATCGCCCTTTTCCGTGCCTGCCACGGTCCAGACCATCATGGACAATTCGACCAGCCGCCCAGCTTCGCACCGGCGGCCCCAGACGCCTGCGATCACGGTCGACACCTCGGCCATCAATAATGAACAAGGTACGTTCTTTTTGGAGGAGTCGCAGTGGCGTTGCGTACGCTGCAGCAATGCCTCACACTGGCTGGAGCTCGGAGTTGTGGAAGCTGCCTCAATGGTCAGCAAGCAACACTGCCTCAATCTTCTGAGGAGCGAATGGGGGAAGCCTTTTCAGTGTCCACCTGCCGCACCGACAATCCCTGTCGACCCGGCTTGGCGCGGAAACACGCTTCCCCAGATTCTCTCGATTCAGGCATCATCGCGAGACATCTAACACCCGTCAAGAGCTTGCCAAGTCAAACCCAAGTATTGCACCCACTAACCGCCTGCTTAGAACCATTCCCAGACGTAGAGGACCACTCTCCTACGTCACCGGCCTTCGAGGACACCAACACTCTAGCCGTTCCTACGAGGACATCCCGCGCACAGTCATGGGATTCCAATAAGTCGCATCCTACACAATCCCCTACGACTCCAGGATCCGATCCAGGGGACTCTCTACGCAAACCCTCGGCTGCTGGGGACAGCAATATAACGGGGACCACTAAAGATGGAAAAATCGATCCGTTGAGTCCGGATCCGGGCGAGGAGCAGCTCTACAATGTTGCCAATAATCCTTTCGCCTTCTCACCAGGCCAACTCACCAAGATTATCAACCCAAAGAGTCTTGAAGCATTTGTGGCCCTCGGTGGTCTTCCTGGTCTTGAAAAGGGTCTCCGTACCGACAGAGCGGCTGGCCTCAGTCTCGATGAGGCCACAATCTCGGATCCCATTTCCTTCGAAGATGCTGTAGCGGCAGGCACCGACACAGTGAACCCAAAGAAGGCCGCTCTGGATGTTAATGCTATTGCAAAGGAAGCTGGAAGTCAGCCGGGCGGCTCAGCTGGGAACGACTCTGATGGGAACTTTGGCGACCGGAAGAGGGTGTTCGGCGAGAACCTTCTTCCCGAGAGGAAATCAAAGTCCTTTTTGGAGCTCGCATGGATTGCTCTCCAGGACAAGGTCTTGATCCTTCTGTCGGTTGCTGCTGTCATTTCTCTCGCGCTCGGCCTCTACCAAACTTTCGGCAACAAGCATCACCAGGGCGCCAAAGTCGAGTGGGTCGAAGGCGTTGCCATCGTTGTCGCCATCCTGATTGTCGTTATCGTTGGTGCTGCCAACGATTGGCAAAAGGAGCGCCAGTTCCGGAAACTGAACAAGAAGAAGGAAGACCGCATCGTCAAGGTCATTCGCTCCGGCAAGCCGACCAATCTTTCTATCCACCGTGTCCTCGTGGGTGACGTTATGCTGCTCGAAGCGGGAGACGTCATTCCGGTCGACGGTGTCTACATCGATGGTCATAATGTCAGTTGCGACGAGTCGTCCGCCACGGGCGAGTCGGACCTGATCAAGAAGGTTCCCGCTGCTGCTGTGATGCAGGGCATTCGCGAAGGTAACACGAACATCAAGAAACTCGACCCGTTCCTCATTTCGGGTGCACGAATCCTAGATGGTGTTGGCACGTTTCTCGTCACTGCTGTCGGCCAGAACTCCAGTCACGGTAGGACCATGATGTCTCTGCGCGACGATCCTGGACAGACTCCTCTGCAGCTGAAGCTGAACATTCTTGCTGGTAAGTGCGCTGGTTCTTGCGCTCTGGGCCGACGTCTAACAGGGTACAGGGTACATTGCCAAACTTGGTAGCGCTGCTGGTCTGATTCTCCTCGGTGTCCTCACTATCCAGTTCCTCGCACGTCTCCGTGGGAACGACGACAGTCCCGACGAGAAGGGCCAGACGTTCCTCCAGATTCTCATCACCTCGATCACCATTGTTGTCGTTGCGGTTCCCGAGGGCTTGCCGCTTGCCGTGACTCTCTCACTTGCGTACGCGACAAAGCGAATGACCAAGGAGAACAACCTGGTCCGCCACTTGCAGTCTTGCGAAACTATGGGTAATGCGACGGTCATCTGCTCCGACAAGACCGGCACCTTGACCGAGAACGTCATGACGGTAGTGGCTGGGTCTCTTGGCTCTGGGAGCGTGCGCTTCAACGATCGAGACGACCAAGACGCGGAGGCTACCACCGAACCGACGACGCCTGCAAAGGAGGTGGAGGATGATGCCCGCACATCTAACGGAACCCCATCGACTCTACGCCTTCCGATTGCCAAGCTCTCTTCAAGCCTATCAGACGAATACCGCAAGCTGCTCAAGGAATCTGTCGCTGTGAACACGACTGCCTTTGAGGCCGAGGAGAAGGGAAAGCAGGTCTTTGTCGGCACGAAGACGGAGACAGCTCTCCTCGACTGGGCACGTAAATGCTTCGCTCTCGGTCCTATTGCCGAGGAGCGCTCCAGCTTCCCTACGCAGCAACTACTGCCCTTCAATTCGAAGCGGAAGTGCATGGGTATCGTCATCCGTCTGCCCGAGAACAAGTATCGCCTCTTTATCAAGGGTGCGCCGGAAATCGTATTGGGACAATCCAACAAGGTCATCGCAGACCCTACTTCCTCGCTCGCCCGCGCCAACATGGAGGACCAGCAACGCGAGGACATCAAGCGCACCATTTCCGACTATGCTAAGCAGTCTCTTCGTACCCTGGCACTGGCGTACCGCGACTTTGAGTCGTGGCCTCCCCCAAACTCTCGCAAGGAAGAGGGTACCGACAATGTCGAGTTTAACGACCTGTTCAAGCATCTCAACTGGATCGGTGTTGTTGGTATTCAGGATCCTGTGCGAGGCAACGTCCCTAAGGCTGTGGCACACTGCCACAGTGCCTCCGTGTCCGTGAAGATGGTGACGGGTGACAACATTGAGACTGCCAAAGCTATCGCCCGCGACTGTGGTATTCTTACCGAGGGCGGTCGTGTCATGGAGGGCCTGGAGTTCCGACGCCTCAGCGATCAAGATAGACGCGCCGTGGTTAGGGACCTGCAGGTTTTGGCGCGCTCCAGCCCCGAGGATAAGAGGATTTTGGTCAAGACACTGAAGTCTCTCGGAGACGTCGTCGCTGTCACTGGTGACGGTACCAACGACGCGCCCGCGCTCAAGGCTGCCGACGTTGGTTTCTCCATGGGCATTACGGGAACCGAAGTTGCCAAGGAGGCGTCTGACATTATTCTGATGGACGACAACTTTTCTTCGATTGTCGGTGCCCTCGCTTGGGGCCGAGCCATTAACGACGCCGTCAAGAAGTTTCTCCAGTTCCAGATCACGGTCAACATCACTGCTGTCATTCTCACCTTTGTCTCGGCTGTCGCCAGTGCCGAAGAGGAGGCTGTGCTCAAGGCCATCCAGCTTCTTTGGGTCAACCTCATCATGGACACCTTTGCCGCGCTGGCTCTCGCCACCGACCCCCCGACGGAATCGCAATTGCGTCGGAAGCCGGAAGCCAAGACTGCGCCGCTCATTACGTTGACCATGTGGAAGATGATTATCGGCCAGTCCATTTACCAGTTGATCGTATCCTTTGTGCTGCACTTTGGCGGACCCAGCTTCTTGAAATACCCCAAGGATGAGATGGACGCGCTCGTATTCAACACCTTCGTGTTCATGCAGATCTTCAAGCTCATCAACAGCAGACGTATCGACAACGAGCTGAACATCTTTGAGGGTCTGTCGCGCAACCGCCTCTTCTTGGTCATGTTTGCCATCATGGTGGGCGGCCAGGTTCTCATCGTTTTCGTTGGCAGCGACGCCTTTGTCGTGGTCCCGCTGACCGGACCCCAATGGGGCATCTCGCTTGTGCTCGGCTTCCTCTCGATCCCGATTGGTGTTCTGATCCGTCTGTTCCCCGACTCAATCGTCCGTACGTGCGCCCACTGGGTGGACAGGCACATGCCCAGGATCCCGATGCCTAAGTTCCTCAAGCGCAAGAAGAACAAGTCGGACGAGGAGACACAAAACGGCGTCGGCACAGCGTTCCAGGGTATCCGCGACGATCTGCTCTTCCTCAAGCGAATCCGTGGCGGCCGCATCTACCTTGTTGGCGATGCCATCGTACACCCTGTGGAGGCGGTCCGACGCACGCGCAGCCGCAGCAGGACGGGTGGCTCCAATTCAGAAGACGAACGGTCGTCCATGTCGCCGATGCGATCCGCCATGGGATCGGCGGTCGGTATGCCTGGCATTATCGCTGCCAGCATTGGCGGCCTGTCCCCGATTGAGCGCCAGCCGTCGACGTCCTCGGGCATGAACGACTCGACGCCACTGCAGGAGGAAAAGGGTCGCCGGGACAGCGACGAGAAGGGGACCGGACCAGCGCAGCCGCAGCCAGTGGACAAGGCGCAAGAGTGATTGCCATTGGGTGGTGAGAGGGTGAGAAGGTGACGTGGTGCCACCGCTTCGTTCGTGTGTACATTTTCAGTGGCTTGTATGAAAGTGAAACTGCAAGTTTCGGCCACGGGAACAGGTAACTTTGCTTGTAATAGTAACACATTTACTCCTCATTCACTTTTTTTCTTTCCTGTGTCACTTTCCACTCTTTTTCTTTTCTTTTTCCTTCGTTTTGCTTCAGCAGCAGAAGCAGCAAGTGCGATACCAAACTCCGGGTTTCGTCCTTCGGCACAACACACATCATGAGCGCAGGGTCTGAATCAAGTAGCTACAACGGCGAGAGGGGGAGAGACGGGGGACAACGCAACAACCAATCCCCCTTGGAAAATGGATAGACAATTGATTTTTCTCAGAAAAGCTGGCTCGTTTGTTTGGGAGCGTTTCATGAGCGGTGATCGTGATGTTGTATGACTTCATCAGGTTGCAGTCGGTGTCACTTGCACAGGCACGTGTGCACGATGATCTTTCGTCGCTGTCAGGCTCTGGTGAAAGACGGTGGGCTCTTGTCTGGCTGCCATCCGGCTGTTGGGATTTGCTCTCACGTCACTGGCTCGAGTATGGGCACCAGGCTTTCTCCCTTGTTGCTGGGCGGTTCCTCGTGATGACAGACGAGCGCGCTGGCGGCCCGGCCTTGCTGGGGGTGAAGCTGGGCTCTGTGGGAAAAGGGGGAGGGAGCCTCTGTGGGCGGGTGTTGTTGATCTGTGCGTGGACCTGACTGAGCACGTCCCTGCTGCCGCTGGCTGGTCGGTTCGGTTGCGGAAGGGAGTTTTGTCCCATTCGTGCATGGTGCTAGTTTATCGGACATGCCAGCGTGCGGTATTCCGCTGGCCTCCTGGTCCTCGCGTTCTACTTGGGTCAGGCAGCTTGGAGGTACGGGGCGTTTCGCTAGTGCCGAGGCGGCATTCCAGAGGCTGGTGGGAAACAATTGGGGGGGCCCAGCTGTGAGGTGAAGGAAAGGGGGGCCAGGGTCTGAGGCGCAGAAGGGAGAAACAGACTGTGGTGGTGGTGGGGACTCGTGCGTTCCTGAGGGTGGTGGGCTTGGCCATTTCTGGTGAGGCTTGGACAGTAGAAACGGCGGGCGGCGACGCGGAAACATTCTGGAGTCTGCATTTCGAGGTCGCAAACATGAACCCCGGAGACTCCATCGCGCATGGCAGGTGAGTGCCGAAAGGTCGGTCACTGGGCTTTTTGACGAAAAAGGACGCGCCAAGGGGGCCGTCGTGTTGGTTTGGGAAGGATGGTCAGGGGGTGCTGGGTCCTCTGGCGGAGACTAGGTGGCGATCTTGGAGGCATTCAAGGTACCTCGGCGACTTGGGGCAGGCACCTAAGGTAAGGCAGGCCAAGAGGCAAGGCAGGAGGCAGTGGGACGGGAAGAAAGATTCAGATGGCAGACGACATTGGCTGAAGCCGTGGCAGAAGCATTGGCGCCGCCTCTGGATCTGAAACGGAGGGAGGCCCCCATCAGCGTTCAAGGCGTGGGCCTGGTGTCGAGTCAAGGACGGATGCGGAGTGGATAGGCCCAGGGCGACTGCCGCTGTGCTCGAGACCTGGATCAGGGGTTCAAGGGGCCGGGGTCCCTTAGCCTCAGGGCTCCAGTGCACTGCGGACCACTGCATAGCCAAACAAACGCACGCCGCAGAGCCTCGGGCAGCGCGAGCGCGACGCGGACCCCTGCAGATCACCCCGCAGATCGTGCGTCACTGGCGCCGGGTGCCGACGTCCCACGCCTTCCCAAGTGTCCCAAACGGCGCATACTCTCTTCTCGTGCCTCGCCGTTTAAAGATAGCCAGGCCCTCTCCTACCTTACCCCCCCCCTTCCCTCCTTCCCACATTCCTGTGCTAGGTTTGGAAGGAGACTCTATTGTTTGCGAGGAATTCTCGACGACTTCCTGATTCGACCGATTGAGAGCTGGACTTTCCTTTCGGGTGGCTTGTGAACCGAACCTGCCTCTCCTTTTTTTCCTATTGATATTGAGAAGCCCTTGTCTCCTTCTTCGCACCAGCCATTTCTCTCCCTCCCCCCCCCCATTTTCATCTTTTCCCTGGCGGCGAACGTAGTATGGGATTTGGATCCCTCGTTTTGAACCCTCGACTCGGATTCACGTCCCTCACTTTCGCTCACTCACTCCATCACGCGACGTGATCTCCCACGTCAGACGAGACCTCACACGTCAGACGAGACCTCACACGTCAGACGAGACCTCACACATCAGACGGCATCTCACACATCAGACCCGTCTCACGCATCAGACAGCATCTCATTGAATCAGTATTGCAACACCACCATCTCGAACATTGACGACAGGGTCGGCACATCATCATCACCGTCAAGACACGGCAGCATTATACCCAAAATCTTTTACACGCATCCCGCTTTTCATCATGGCCGATTTCTTCAACGACCTCCTGTCGGGCATTGGCGTGCCCACGCCCACCCTCCTCCCTTTCCCCGGTGCCGACGAGACAACATCGCCCCTCTCGACGCTATCACCCCAGCCCACATCCGTCGATCTCGACGAGCGACCAACAATCACACCCACGAGCTCAGACAGTCCCTCCTCAACACCATCAAGGCCAGCAGATGACGATGCCGCCGACGAAACTTCAATCCCCGGCCTCACAGCCTCCTCAGAGCTCCCTCTCCCCACGTCCCTGACGACTTCAGAAACCGGCATCTCCTCGGACCTACCTTCAGCCATCACCCGCCCGCCAACGACCCTGCTCTCCTCTATCCGCGCAGGCCCCTCGGCATCGACCTCTTCAGAAGAGGAGCTCATCGTCGCGCCCCCACAGCCCACGACCCTCGTCGTCGCCGCACCGACGACCACCCTCCCGCTCGCCATCCCGCCGCCCGCGTCCACCTCGTCGCTGGCCCCGCTGCCCACGGCCGAGGAGGCCAACACGGGCTCTTCCGGCAGCGGCGCCCTCATGCCGGCGCTGCCCATCTCGCTCGGCCTCGTCGCCGGCGTGCTGACCATTGGCGGCCTCATTGGCTGGGCGTACCGCAAGGGCAAGGGCCCGTTTGCCGGCCGCGCGCGGAGGCGCGCCATGATGGAGAAGGAGGACATGGAGGACGGGGAGATTGACCGGCAGCAAAGGCAGAAGTGGGATCCTCGGGTCAGCAGGATGGGCGGGCATGCTGTCAACTTCTAGACGCTCTGCATTTTTAGACGTGTTGGATATAGGCGAGTGGACGGGCAGCTTCCGGCTGCGATTACATCAAAAATGAATACCCCTTTATAATTGTCATCCCTTTGGCACTTTTCTGGACACATACGACATGTGGGAGCTGTGTGTAGAGGCATTCCCGAGTTTGTGGACGCCTTGCAAGACGGGAAAAGAAGCAACCGACAACGAGAGGATGTTTGCGTGCGAGCAATGACGAGAACACGAACAGTGCCTTGGCCAAAGGAGGAGGGCCTACGTTGCCAACACAAAACGTCTGCAGTTTGATGAGGCCTACTTTCGATTTGAACCCCATGAGCCTTGGTCTGCAGTAGAACGCTGCTCTTACTTAGCCACGCTCCATCTCCCCACAGCGCAAGCCAGCGAGTCAAGTCCATGTTCCGAGACCAGCGCCCCTCCTCCTCCTCCACTTCCCGAAATATAGCGTGGGTTGGCAGGTAGTGCAATTTTGTCTGGCGATGTTGTACACCTGGATTTCGCTAGATTACAAGCTGTAATATTCCGGCCACTGCCGAACGACTGCATTGATCACAATGGCTACGGGCAGCCTGCCTCGCTCACGAAGGACCATATTCGTGGCTGAGATGGAGTCTCGCAGGGCAAGCTGCGCCGATCTGCGACATTACTCTCTGTCTCGTGGCCTGGCCATGGATACTGTCCACTTGTTGAAGCACCGAAAGCGTATGCAGTTGGGGATCGCGGCGTGATGGAAGGCCGGATCAAAGGACCGGACTGCGAGAAAGACTGCGGGCACGGCGAGATGCCCAGTTGGGGGTCGAAATGACTGACTACAACGACGACGATGATCCGCACAAACTTTGTCATGAGAAACGACAGACTCAGGTCTGTTCGGAGGCCTGGGTCATGCAGGGTCAGGGTTGAAGGACCAACAGGATTAATGAAACGATTTTCTCCGAACAGCTAAGATACCTAGATAGGCTAAGGGTAGGTCAGCCGTGTAGAACTTTGGGCGGGAGAACAAGATCTGGCCCCCCTCTTTAGACGGATGGCTACTTGTCATGACAACCGCATCAGATCCAAATCCACAGGCTAGACTACCTAGACCACCTGGTTTACCGACGAGGATTGGCCCGCGTCCAACATGCTCAGCCCTCCTTGGCCCACGCTTCAGCTACGCGGCGCCCGTCGCAGCGGCGTCCTCCGCCTCATAGGACACGGCCATGGCCCTGAATTTCCGCGCGGGCGTCCGGGTCTGGAACAACTCGTTGATGCGGCCGTACGTGATGTCCTTGGTCTCGGGGATCTCAAAGAACGAGACGACAAAGCCAACAACGCAGAACCCGGCAAATAATAGCCCGATCTTGCCGCCCAAGTCACCCTGGTCTGCGTTGAACATGTACGGCACGACAAAGTTGAAAGCCCACATCATGAATGCGTTGACCGCGAAGCCCAATCCGAGCGTCTTGGCGCGCAGTCGATCGCTTTGCTCACTCGTACGGGGCTTCGCCCCATACCCATTTACCAGAATTGTATAGATTAGACGAAGAATACTGTTCAGTATCATTCTATTGATATCACTCCAAGTGAAGTTATTCCGAACTACATATTTAACAAAGTCGAATAACGGACTAGCTCTCCACAGGACAAACACCAGAAAGCCTTCAGCCCTACTTGATTGGGGAAGAGAAGAAGACTTCTAGTGAAAGTGAAGCTATTCCCACGTAATGATACATCATGACTAAAGTAGTCCCAACGCCTGATACGCCGTTCACGTGATCCTACACCAGCTCCGTTACCACGCCACACAGAATCTTCAAGTGCCGCCTCCTTTCCGCCACTGCTTCTGGTCCAGTCTGACCAAGCTCAATCAACAGAGCATTCACATCTCGCACTACATCCGTTAGTAAAACAAATGCATACCCTACCAAGGAACAGACAAACACACGACTCATCGTGTTGATATCCTCCAGCGTGTCTGGGAATGAATCAAGAACTTCTCCGGTCCTTAAACTGCGTAAAGGCTCCAAGGCCTGTCCAGGTCCTTTCACCGTTCCATTCAAAGCTCTCGCACGATTGTTGAATGCACTACGCACCAAAAGGGTAAGTATCCAAACCACAAACCAAGACGAGAATCACTTACTCTGCATCAAGCCTGACTTCCAAGGCACCAAACCGGTCTTCCAAAGCATCAAAGCGGCGTTCCAACCGCGTCATTCCCTGCTGCAGACGCTCCAGTGCCGCAAGTATTTGAGTGCCGCCATCAAGAGCCGGAAGATTGGGTAGCAAAGCACTCTGCTCAGCAAGTGTAGTAAAGGCACCCGCAACTTGGCGGAAATCGGGCTGCGCTGTCATCGCGACCGTAAGAAAGACTCCAAAGTGGTGAAGAAGGGTGGAAGTTCAAATAAGGCATCCTCACCTGCCGCGTTACGCATATATCCACTTCACCAAATCACCTGCCGAGCAACGCCCCACTTTCTCCAAAGATGATAAAGAAACAGCCTTACTAAGGCCTGTCCCACACATCTTCTTCCCAACACCACAGTGTCCCAAGACAACATTCCCATTATCCTAAAACTTCTTTGTCCCAAAACTAGCTTGTATAAGATGGCCCATAGTCCGGGTCCAAAGTGCTCCACTCCAATATTAATAAGCACGAAGGAAGGGAACAGCGATAAGGAGCCAAAGGCGACTGAAAGCGGGCAGAGTAGAAGGGGAGTGATAACGACCTAATGAAGAAAGGCGAATGGAGGCCGCAACTTCAGGCTAGGGGCCTCCATCCCCATGGGGTACGCCCCAGAGTCGGGTTACTCTAGTCCTTCGCAATCGTGCAAGTAGATCCAAGTACCAGGTTTCGCCTGCTCAACGACTGAGGTGGGCACCCGATCCCGATGTGGTTGATTTTCCGACACATTCGAGCGGTGCGCAACGGACGGAGAATACTTTGATTGGCTCAGTTGCAGTCTAAGGTTCCGTGGATCATGAATATTGAACAGAACGCATAAGCTACATCGCTTGCTTGAAATATATGCGACCAGGCCATTCGCTGTATAGTTGCAGTAAAGTCGACTGCGGTTTGCGATGTACCTATCATCGTCCCAACACCTCGGCTCCGCAATCAAACCTCAACTCGAGCGCTTAGCGCTCATATCATGCGTGTCATGAGGCAACTGCGGAGCCACGGAACAGGGTTAAGTGTAAGGGCCTGGGACCATGAGAGAGCGTATAAAAGGGACACGGATAGCCAGAATCCATGTGGTTCTAACGCCTACCCGACAATTGGCTGCGGATATCATCTACGGAAGACTTTCATTCTGCTGATCCGCTAGCTTTGGCAACAGGACTGCACTAGGAGGATATGGTTAAGACAAAATCTCAAGTTGTCTATTTGTTCTATGGTGAGCATGTACTCTACCATTGATGATTAGCCCAGCTGCTTGATAGCATTATATTCCTGGCTAGAAGCCTGTAAGTTAGAGGCACCGACCCTGAAAATCTCGAGACGAACTTCTCCTCTTGTCACGAGAGATGTGTAGAATGAGGCACTACAGAATGGCCAACGCGGAAGTTTTTGGCCTCAAAGCACGCCGGTAGAGATGTAGCTCTAAGACATGAACAGGCATGTCGAAGCTAGAAGAATATTGGGTCGAATTGCGTCTCTATTTCCCATTGACGAGGTAGCTGCACTGCACGACTCGCAATGCCGCTCGTGTTTTGCAGAGTTATGCCCCTTTGGTTCCCATACATCCATCCACATGGGTTAGCGACATAAGTGCCTGACCTCCGACTCCCCCGCCGCCATGGCTTCCCAATGGACCCTGCCATGGCACGACCCCTGGGCATCATCACCCTGCCTGCCCTCCACGAGGATCTCTATCACTCCCCTCCCCACGCATTCGTCTCCAGCAAAGACGGCTGCACCCGCGACCCATTCTCCACGACCCCATCGTCGATGCCCCTCCGCGGCCTCGCCGTCGGCGACAAATCCCCATAGCTCACAGGCACATCCGAATCAGCCCCCTCGTCCCCTGCCTCGGGCGCCCCGAGCAGTGGCCGCACAACACCTTCACGACCAGGAGACGAAAGCCCACGCCGTCTGCCCCGCCACCACCACCCGCCGCGACGCGCCCACCATGCATCCCGCCAGGACTCCGCCCCTCGCGCCACAGCCAGTGAAGCGATCTGCATGGCCGCGACGGCGAGCACGATGGCGAGACCGAGCGCGGCGTTGCGTCCGAGGGCGTTGCGCCAGGGTTCGGCGCAGGCGGTCTGGCGGTCGAAGCGGACGCCGCAGCGGCCGGGGTCGACATCGCGGGTCGGGAACGGCCAGGGGCGGTCGCGCGTCGAGCGGTAGCCGCAGCAGTCGAGGGCGTCTTGGATGGCGCGGAGGTGCGGGGCGTCTTTGGCTTGGAAGAGGCGCTGCCAGGTTGAGCCGAGGGCGCAGTCGAGGAGGGGGGCTGACGCGGTGGTGGACTGCAGGAGGAGCGTTGCGAGGGCCGTCGTCAGGATGGCTTGGAGCGACTGCAGGGCCTGGGGCAGGATGCGCTCGACCGGGGAGCGTGTTGTGCGGGCGGCTTGGAGGAGACGCGGCTGAAAGGCGGTGTTGAGGGCCGCGAGGAGGGGGAGGAGGATGGTCGTCAGGGTCAGGTTGGGGGCGATGGGGAGGGAGAGGTTCGCGCTGGTGATGTGGAGGGTGCTGTTCTTGCTCGTCAGGGATACATCTTTATAGCGGGAGAGTTGGTCCTTCGTGGGAAGACGTACATGGCTGCGCCAAGGAGCAGGAGTGTGAGCTATTGCAGAGAGAACGTCAGTCGGGCTGTTCGTTGGTATTATAACCTGCAGGAGGTCACTGTACCAGGGCAAAGGCTACGCCGGGAGGGAACATGGCTCTGTCTGTTTGTAGGCTGAGCTCTGTAGTTGGTATCGAGAGCACATTTGCTTTCTCAAAGATGGAACGCGGGGAAGTCCTTTGCTTTCAAGGTCATATTGATCTCGAAAGCTTTCATTGCCTGCTTGTGCGATTGCCCATCAGCACCATGCATATGCAGCTCTGCTCACCAGAGCTCTGTGCCGCCTCGGGGACATTGATAGGTTCGGGCTCTGCGGGAGGCCGACCGACCCCGCATGCGACTTCGTTTCTGCTGAGCGTTACACGAGGGTGGCGACAAGCGATGAGAGATGTTTGGCGAAGTATTGTGAAGCGTGGAGGGTGTTCCAGAGTGGCTGGCCATTGGTAGCTGTTTTTGGGACGAATGGTTTGGTGTCGATGTGGGAACTGAGTTGATGCTCGTTTATCAGGCAAAGGCGATTCTCAGCCGGAAGTGGATGCTCACATCGTGCTATTGGAAGGAAGCTCCCAATAGAAACCGAGTGAATTCAGGCGTAACATTCGGTACTGTTGCTCATACCAATGTCTGGACTACATGGACAGTAAACTGGATTTTGGCATAATATGTGCCATCTATGATTCTCCAAATCAGTCTACTTTTCAACATCGGTTCGGTGGTGTAGTTGGTTTATCACGTCAGTCTAACACACTGAAGGTCGGGAGTTCGAGCCTCCCCTGAATCATTTTTGCCATTTTGCAGCAAACGCTGCGCAGTCAATCCATCACATCCATAAGAGACCGGCCTTGGACAATTGTAGCGCATATGCTTCACTTGGAGTGCGAGTTGCCCGGCCGAGCGGAGGCGGTCACATGTTGTGTCGACCAAACTCGAGAGGAAGGTGTAGCGCCCAAACCGACTGCCTTACCTTTGCTTTTCACATCTTTGGTCCCTCTGTCATTGCACCTCTCGCTCATGCCTTTCGCCCGATAGTTGCCATGGATCCATCCCGCGCATCGAGTAATCGAACCCTGCAGATTGTACGAGCTGCGTCTGATGGACATTACGGCGTGCTGGCTGCCATATGGTAGGTGCTTGTCACTCATCCCGCTACGCGCGATTGACCAGACACAGCTACAACATTGAGCATCTTACGGCCCTAGTCCGAGCCGCCGAAGCCAAGCGATCACCCCTGATCTTGCTCTTGTTCCCGTCGACCGTCACCCAGCTCCCGACGCTGGCCTGGGCGGCAGCGGCAGCCGTCAAATCGGCGACTGTTCCGCTGTCTCTGCACCTTGATCACGCCCAGGACGAAGAGCAGATCCGCCATGTCGTGGATCAACTCCCCTTTGACTCCATCATGGTCGACATGAGCCATCACGATCATGCCGAAAATCTAGAGAGGACGAAAAATCTCACGCAGATCTGCCACGAGCGCGGCATCGCCGTCGAGGCCGAGAGCGGGCGTATCAACGGTGGCGAAGATGGCATCGCGCACACAGGGAACCTACAAGGTCAGTCGGCGAGGCCTTCGCCTCGTTGTCCAACCGAGCCTCTGACTCTTCCGACACAGCGCTCTTCACGTCCCCCGCACAGGTCGAGGACTTTATCGCTGCAGGCGTTGACCTGCTGGCGCCGAGCGTCGGTAATATCCACGGCGACTATGACGCGCGAGGCCCTCAGCTGGACCTGGACCGATTGGCGGCCACCAACAGGCAGATTGCTGGGCGTGTCATCATGGCACTCCATGGCACGAACGACTTCTCGCCTGATCTGTTGCGCAGGTGCATTCAACATGGCGCCGTCAAGTTGAACGTCAACAAATTGCTGCTTGAAGTATGGAGCGCTCACTTGAAGGTCAACGCGCACAAACCATTGACGCAGCTGATGGATGATGGAATGGCTGTGCTGCAGAACGAGGTCGAGCGGTGGATGGACATTTGCGGCAGTGCTGGGAGGGCGTAAAGCCCGCGAACGATGTTTCCACATTACAGCGACGACATCCCGACGCGCTCCCAACATTGCAGTTTGGGCTCGCCCGGCTCATTGAGATGGTAGTCGTCTTGACTGACAGACAAGCAGCATTTCCTCGTTCCAGACAGCCCTACGGCAATCAGACGAAACATCCATCATCGTGGGACGAAATAATGCTACCGTCTTCAGACCCCTGACACGATGTGGCGCCCCATACCCTGCACGCGACGCGGATTATTGGGCCAGACCCGAGCCCCCGTAACACCATCACCGATGTTGACGGCGCTACAAGTCAACCCTGCATGAAAGCTGAAAATTGAGGGGCTACGACGAAGATGATAAAGATGTTATCGCGACACTCAGACCTAAGAACTCGCGATACAAGCATCGGACTGCAACCAAGCCTGCAATCATCAAATGATGACCAGTCTTTGAAAAGCAAGACAGACCACCTTTGTCAATAAGATTGACTGTGCGTAAATCGTCAATAGCCGTCACCATGGATCATCTACCCAACTTCAAGTACAAGTCCGAGCCATATCCCCGCGTGCCGCTGCTCTCCTCACAGCCCTATGATGGCCTTGAATTCGACGGCTACCAGACTCGCCGCGGCTTCCTACTTACCCCTCTTTACAACCGTGACTTTTCGCAAAAGCCGCGCGAAGAAACCGCCGATTTTCTCCAGACGTGGCTCTTCTATGGGGCCATTCGCGAATTGCTCACCGTGGATGAGCCCCCGGACCTCAGCCTCTTCATCGAGATGGATGACTACGGGTTCCGCGCCTCGACGCGCCACCTTGAACGGCTCATATCAGCATGGGCCGTCAAGATTGAAGCCCTCGCCAAAAAGTCGGTGGAAGAGTGCCGCGCCCAGCTGACCCGTGTCGGCGTCGCCCTCAACACCATCAACAAGATCTACCACAACCTGCTTATCGTCCCCGATAGCCCGCTGCCTTGGGAGGTGACGCTGTCGTTCGGCGTGCTCGGCTGCACCATGGACCACGCGCTCAAAGACATTTTCAACCTCGGCCGCGGCCGCACTTGGGGGCTTGACAGCCTGGCTGCCACGAGAATGGCTGCCGCTGGCTGGTGCCCTCGCGACGTGGCCGTTGCACAGGAGTTCTTGTCAGAGCTTCCCATGTTCTGTGCGAGCTTCATGGAGAGGCGCACTGTGCCATTTGATCACTGGAACTGCTCGAGCGCGACGTGCCTCCTAAACAATATTGACGAGAAGACATATGTGACGCAGCATCGCACGCAAGGCTGTCGGTGCCACATGGTTGGTGTGGATCAGAGCGAGGTGCATCGGATCATTGAAAAGGGGGGCATTCCGGTCATCTGGATCACGAACTCTGGAGTGGATGCATACGGATCGCCCATGCTGGACGTCAAGTTGAAGAACGGCGGGCTTGTGATGAACAGCTACATCGCCATTAGCCATGTGTAAGAGCGATGACCCTCTGTCGGTGGTAGCCTCTTGTTAACACTTGGTAGTTGGTCTGATGGACTCGGAAACCCGCACGCGAACACGCTGCCCCTCTGCCAACTGCAGTCCCTCTATGATCGACTCGTCGACATGAGCTGGAACGAGACGCTCCACGTTCTCAACACGACGGGCCAGGACATTGAGTACAACGGACAGACGGAAAAGAAGATCATCGAAGGCATCGGTAAGGCCTTCAAGTTCATGGCTCCCGGTCTCAAGCGTGTCGTCGATCCGATCCGAGAATACCGCAAGAAACCCCTTGCCATCTGGCTCGACACGTTCTGCGTCCCACTCGGAGGCCACAATAGAAAATTGGCCATTGCGAACATGGCCAAGATCTACTCTACCGCGCACATGACCATCGTCTTGGACTCGGAGCTGCAAGCTCTCGAGGCCAAGGGTTGTCTCGACGAAGAATTGGCCATGCATATTGGGCTGTCGGGCTGGCAGCGACGGGCGTGGACGTTCCAGGAGGGCGCCCTCTCGACACAGTGGCTACGTTTCCTGTTTAGAGATGGGCCAGCGCAGCTGCCGTTGTGGAAGAAGGAAAACCCCGACCAAAGCATCGCCCTGGGCTACACGATGCCAGGCTTCGTGGACGGAATGGAGCGCATGCAGGGCAAAGGCCTCAATCTGATCACCAAGAGGCTCGACGGCAGCCCCCATTATTCCAGGCCAGACGTTCCCAAGAGCCGGCTTGAGGAGATGGAGAGGAACAAGTTCACCTTTGCACTGCAATCGTATACGCTCGAGGAAACGAAGAAATTCTTCATCGGCATGAAGCTCATGTGGAGCGGCACTCACATTTATTCGCACCCCGATGTCCTGGCAACGCGCATCATTGCTATTTGGGAAACGATGCGTTTGCGGGCAACGAGCAAGGAGTCGGACAAGTTCATCTGCTTCGCCATCATGTGTGCGCTCAGCGGCAGTCAGCGGCAGCACTTGCCAGCGCTGTTCTCAGAGGATGAGCATGTTCGCATGCGGCGCTGGGTGCAGTTGCAGAGCATTGTGCCATCGGGGCTGCTCTTCATTCCCGGGCAGAGGTACGACGAGCCAGGCTTCCGCTGGATTCCCATGGGCGTGTACCGCGAGCCACTTGTGGACGACGAGTACGCCGAGCGCGAGAGCGAGGCTGAGGGCGGCGCTCTGCTGTTCTCCAAGCCCGGTTGGATCATGGACGATGCGCCGGTTCGCTGCCTGCAAGACGGAATGTTTGTAGTCTCGGACTCGGTGACAAGCTTGCGATACACCGTTGAGCAGATCGACGCCCCGTCCAAGTCATCATCCTTTGCTCTGGTGCAGGGCGAGGCGATGGCTGTCATACTCATGTGCCGGGTCGGCGAGCGTCCGCCGGAGGAGGGCGACAACATTAAAGAATTAGGCGCGTTGCTGAGAAGTGTCTCGCAGACGCCGTCCCGCATCCGCGGTGATTTTGTCTGCCGCGTTCGGGTTGGTTTGTGTATCGAGAGCGAAGGCCAGTCTAGTGCTGCTCCCGTACCTGGAAGAACGATTTACGGAAGCCAGAAGTGGATACTTGGGTGATCGTGTGGGCGATTATTGCACTTGTCTGATTTGATGATGAAGGGTAGGGAAGCCTCGAGGTTCACAAGTTCAGCTACGGCTATGGAATTCAATCGAGTTATCGCGGCCTCCTCTATACTTGAAGCGCCTCGTATAGCCAGAATATGCCCCGATACACATGGCAAGCACTGGAGTGCCACTCCATCGTACACTTCCAAGTCGAAAAAGGGCACGTTGCGTCGTTCTCGACGCTGGGTCTGTCGCTTGTGCCCAGCCCAGTTCAGCTCATGGTTCAGCTGACGGCGCCGCCACCACCGAAAACCCCTGACCCATGTCTCTAACACGTCTGCCCTTGGAGCTCGGAACGGGTCGCTCAGAGCTAGTGATTCGGTGGTGAGCGCTAGCTATTATCTGGCCATCTACGACCTGGGCCGCTGTAAGCGCCGACTGATCGGCTGAATCGTGCGATGTGTCTGCCTGAGATTTTCCAACGACGCGAATGCGCTGAACATAACCCTTACGTCTCATGCTAAACGGCGAAATTTCACTCTGGCGAGCATCATCAACCGGCAGCTGTTGACGCTGGCTGTCTCGTTTCAAGCTCGCAATGCCGCCTAGGCTGCCTTCAATTGCATCGCGCGACTTCTCAACAGCGGCGACATCGAATGAGTTTAGAGACCAGTGGACGAGACCTGGCGATGTCTTCAGTGTACTTCTCCTCCTCGGTGGTGAGATCGTCGCTCGCGCCCTGGCTCAACTTGCCGGGCGTGGAGTGGCGCCTGTCACCTTCTCTTTCGGTATGCTCATTGCCCCTTACTTGTTCCGGCGGTCCGTCACAACGGCTCACACCGACATGAAGGATGGGTAGCGTATTCGCTGTCGGCACTGACCTCCGCCGTCGGCGAGAACAAGCTCATGCCCCAGGCGCCAGACTGCCAGTGCATCGTCATGAACGGCAAGACGGGCATCCAGATGGAGAACTCAAGTTGGATCATCGGCAGGATGGTGCGCGACTTTGAGACGTGGTGCCACCCGGGCACCAGGGCCAAGACGAACGAAGTCCTCGATGAGCGATGGCTCGAGATCAAGGTCAAGGACGGCCAGGCCCCACGCCCCATCCGCGGCGGGCTCATCGTCTCCGTCTACCGCCCGAGCACCGAGCGCAAGCCCGGCCTGCCCGAGCCCGACCTCGTCTACTGGAGCGGCTTCGTCACCATGGCGCTCCAGCTCGGCCTCGCCGCCGTGCCGCTCGCCGTGTCCGGCCACTGGGGCATCCTCCTCATCACGGCGTGCGGCACGCTGCTCGCGCTGCTGACGGGCCTGCTGCCGCAGTGGCGGCTCGAGAAGTGGGCGTGCCGCATGAGCTCGCGCGATGCCTATGTCCTGACGCGCGGCAACGGCGCCCAGCACGCTATTGTCATCCTCGGCAACGGCCACGGCATGAACCTCGCCGACCTGGCCGCCGGCCAGAACAACCTCGACACGTCGGCCCACCACTGGACGCGGGGCTCCGTGCTCGCCCTCGCCATCCTGTGGATCCTCCTGCTCATCACTGCCGCCGGCATCAGGGACGACACCTGGTTCCTGCTCGGCATTGGGGGCCTGGGCATCCTACAGAACGTCTTCGTCGCCGGCTGGACGCGCCGCCCGGAGCATTTTGGGGTGCCCCTCGATTTCGTCGAGGCCATCGGCAAGACAAAGGTCATGCGGACACTGTTTGAGGTCGAGGAGCGGTACCCGGGCCTCGGCCGTGTTATGAGGGATGAGTTTTTCCCAGGGGCGCTTCTGCCGGAGGAGACCCTACGCTGGCAAGAGTTCGAGAAGACCAAGGCCGAAGGCTCGAACAGCAGCAACTCTCAGTCTCTGCTTGATGTGTCTAGGCAAGAACCGCCGGTGCCAGTCCAGGACAGCACACGAGGGACGAGTTGATGGGAAAGCAGTTGTTCACATTAGGACCGCATAGTATTCTCTTATGATCAGGTAAAACTTGGCCATCTCTCTATGAAAACGATCTCCTATATGACATGTGCAAAAAAGGGACCAGGCCTTGGTTGGAAAAATAAGGGGGTATCTGTGCAGAATGTAAGCGCCTTTGCGCGCGGCAGGGCCATTCCTATCTTCGACTTTCGCCGTCATGGCATGAAACTTTCCCACAGTCTCTCTGCCCCCGTTACCACTACCCCCAGTCTAGTTCTCGCTGCGCTTGCGCTCGTCGTCCACGCGGTTGAACATGCCGTCGGCGGACCGCGAATCGCTGCCGTCGACCGAGTGGTGCATGTGGCGGCCCTTCTCCTCAGCGTCGTCGTGATCGATCAGCAGCTCGCCATTCTTGCCATAGCGCCTCGGCTCGTCGTGCGCAATCTTGACGACGGAGAACCAGCCAGCGGCGCCCTTAGCCTTTTGAAAGATGGCGTCCATCTCCTCGAGCGAGCGGTAGGCCGTCTCAGGGTAGAAGAAGTAGACGACGGGCACGATGATGGCGTTGATGACGGCGAAGATGAGGTACGTGTAGTGTCCAATGTCGTTGAAGCTGACAGGCGTGATCATGACGACCATGAAGTTCCAGATCCAGTTGGCCGACGTGCTGAAGCCGTTGGCGGGCGCGCGGATGCGCAGCGGCACAATCTCGGCCGGGTAGAGCCACGTCATGCCGAGCCAGCCGATGGCGAAGAAGGTGTTGAAGATGAAGAGGAACACGATTCCGGTAATCTTGAACGCGGTGCCGTCCTGTGAGTTGACGCCCGTCAGGATGGCCATGGTCGCGGCCTGGCCTGCTGCGCCGAAAAGCATGAGCTTGCGGCGACCGACGCGCTCGACGAGCCAGATTGGAGGCAGCGAAGCGAGGAAGTACTCAGTTCCGTTGAGAGCTGCTAGAAGGCGGGACATGAAAGGCGACATGCCGAGCTGCTTCTTGTCAATATTCGCTCGTATACTTTGTTAGGGACATGAGACCTACTCCGCTGTAAATAACCGCTGCGTAGTAGGTGATGAGGTTGATGCCGCTGATCTAGAGCACAGGTCAGCAGCTTTCTTCTGCCAGTTCGAACGGTAGGTTGTACGAACCTGCTGGAACATCTGGTTGACGTAGGCCAGAACAACACGGTGCAAATGGCGGTTCTCGTCGTTGGAAAACAAGTCCTTGAAGGAACCCTGAGACAACGTCAGTGCCTTGTTCAATTTACGTCGGGATAAGTCTACTGACCTTGGACATCTCAGCGACAGTCTCCTTAATGGACGTAAATTCGTTCTCGACAAACTGGTGATCCATGGGAAGATCAGCCAGCGCTGAGATCACCTCCCTTGCATCATGCTCGCGGCCCTTGAGCATGAGCCACCGGGGCGACTCAGGAAGCTTCCAGACAGTGGCAAGAATGAGAATGCAGAAGAAGATCTGGAAGGCCAGAGGGAAACGCCCTGCAAACAAGTGTCAATACACGACTGCGGGGCATCACTCCTTGAGTAGGAGGGCACTTACAAGCGACACTACCAGCAGCGAAGCTGAACCCAAGGTCAATCCAGTAACTAATCATGATACCAGCGGTGATAAGAGCACCCTCGAACATGACCATCTTCCCGCGTTTGTGGGAACTTGACGTCTCTGATTGCCACGTGGGCACCGTCGACGTGTTGATGCCGTTGCCGAGACCGGTGATGATGCGACCAACAATCAGGTGGGCGATGCCAAAGGCTGAAGCCTGCAGAGCGGCGCCGACAACCATGATGGCCGTGCCGAGGATGATCATACGCTTGCGACCCAAGGGGTTTCCGATGAAGATGGCAAGGATGGCGCCGAAGAAGCAACCGAGGTTATAGCTTGCGATCGAGATGCCTTGGTGTGTGGCACGAGTACTCGACTCAGCGGCATTTGTGGCCGTCTATCTTTCATTAGTACGGCCAGAGCTTGGCGCATGGTAAGAAACAACATACATCCGGGTCCTGGAGGCATTTGTTTAGCAAGCTGCGTGGTCACAAGGGACACTTTCCAGCGTTCTGAGTGACTTACAATTTCAGGGAACTGGTCCAAGAAAATCCTCAGCGTCAGGATACCACCCATTACACCTTGATCTGCGAAGGGTTAGCCTTTCTCTAGCAAGCGGAAAGTTAGACGTCGAGAGGCGCGTACCATAACCGAACAGCAGAAAGTCCATGCCAGCACAGAAGCCGATCATCCATCCTAGCTTTTTGCCACGTAGGCCGAAGAACTTGTCCCCAATACCCATGGTGTCTGATGGATAAGATCAATCTTGTGTCGGAAAAGCAAAGTCGACAGTAGGATGCGTTTGTGAAAGGCTTGAGGATCGTCAGGTCTACTAGAAACGGTCCACAAGTTAAGAGTAGGACAAGAACAATAAACTCCACGTGCCAATGTTCAGACTGAAGATCAGAGGAGACGCCCAGACTCATATACTTCCAGAGACTCTTGGAGAAGGCTTGTTAGTCCATTCTCCTCATGGGATCGCCCTTCACTCATCACGCTGGATTCTCTCGACTCCAACATCTTGAATGTGGAGCAACAAATTAGACGGTCAGTAGACGAATCGTACCAAGACGTCATCGGAAACAATAATACCGCCCTATACCGAGTCAGGTCATCTATGAACCAGCCTCTCACGACGTTGCCCCATCGGTTTTACTCAATTCGGACTCCACAACCTCGTGCAACAAAGCGGCTACGAGGCCCAGTCGGGCAAAATGGACCATTCAGAGACGGCGCCAGCGCCCGGAAGGGTTCGAAATCCTGGAAACATCCTTCACCTGGTCGGCATGTCACCCGGAGGAAGTCTTGGCTTGAGAAAAGGCGAAAACATGTCTGCCGATACATTCGTGGTCACGCTCACGTTCGCCCTGCAAGTACTTTCTATCACAGCCAAGGAATGCCTTTTTTGGACGTGCCGGGAGAATGGAAATCCAACGCGATGGTTGCGAACTCAAGCTTCCAGTTGATGACTGTGCTGTACTCTCATCCACAATCCCCGGAATCGGGAATCACGATCCCAAATTTGTCTCCCCTTTCGGACCCATTGAAACCGCTTCTGCTCCACGAAGTTGACATCATCAGCCTCCACTGCTTCATTCTTGCGATATTTTCCCACGACGTAGAAAATTTTGAAATTCTCCACGTTGAGACGTGACACGACCAAAATACGGGCGAAGAACGGGCGGTCGGAACGGGGCCAAGACGTCATTGCTTCCGAGGACACCCACTGAGCGGAGGGATGTGCGGGTCAAGCCTCTGCCGCCTTACCAGTCCCCTAGCTTCAAGCCTTAGCCAAGTGCCATGAATCCGGGGAACCGGCCTTGGCCACTTGCAGGCTGATCTTTCTCTAGGCCTAAACGGGCATCCCGAGCTCGACGTTGGGCATGACCAAGGGCGGGAATGATGGTTCGTGCCATGCGAGCAGAGGGGGGAACCCTCTCGCTGGCTCGTTTTCTGATCTGGCCTGATCGATCTGACCATTTTGGTGTCGTAGTAAAGCCTAGACAAGCAGCGAAATGATCGGGGATACCACAACCTGAGAGCATGCCTCAATCTGGGGTTTGCCTCCAACGGTTTTGGGATCCCGCCACCCGTCCATAGTTTTAAGCTCTCCAGCCTTGGGGAGAGACATGTCTTCTTTCTTGAAAAGGTAATCCGAGCAGGTCGAATATTGTGTTAAAGTGCGTGCTAATCGCTCTGCCGTTGCACCACCAGTCATTGGTGATCCTCAGCACCCCACTCACAGGTGCTCTGCATTGGCATCAGAATGGTCAGTCCAGAACTCCAAACTGTGTCATTATCGAAGACGCATACATATGCTGATGACGAGGCCGAACATAGCGGAAATGAGCCCTTTGCGATTGAACGCAAGCTAGGTACTTGATATCTATGCTCTATGCGTCGCGAGCGTTACTCGGTGGTGTTTAAGGATGTGCATACATATTGTGCAAAAGGCTCCTTGCCGTCTTGAGCCGTCCATGATGTGACTTTGCTTTACCTGCTGTCCGCCATTCTCTAGATTCGAACCTTATGCGGGACTGTACAGATGTGCTGTCTCGGTCGCACCAGTAGGGACGTCCTTGTTCCTGGCCCGTATCCTGGAACCATGCCGGTAAAATATGAACGGGACCGGTGCAAGCAGCACCGCAACTCCGGGAATTAGCGAACCTCCGCCACAACATGAAGCTAGTGAACAGGGGCGGAAATGCGCAGCCGAGTGAGCAGACAAATATGTTGGCCGCCACAGCTGACGAAGTTAGATGTTGATAGGTGTCCAGTAGGTAGTTGATCATCGCAACAAAGATGAGCAAAAGACTCGCCGATAGACAAACATCTGCGATCCCAGACACCGACCAGTAATTTGAGCTGCAGACATTAGCCGAGTTCTGTTGTACAGAGCACGCCTTTTCTTGTGAAAACGGCACAAAGATTGGCTTACTTGAATTGGCCTGTTTATGCAAACCAGAACATTGCAACCGGAAACCTGACACCGCTGAGCATGGCCATAAGCAGACGGTCTTCTGGTGGTAGCTCTTGTCTGTTCTTGCTTCGGCACATGCGACGCCGCGTATCCAGGGACATTATAACAACACCGAGATCAGCCCCGATTACCGACCCCATCAGGGGGAGCTGGCCAACACCAAGGTTCCACCCACGCATATCCTAGAGAGCGGTGGGGTAGATACTGGAACAAAATATAGTATAATGTGAAGGCAAAGGCCATGTAGATGGCACACGCGGTAGAGATTTGACTGACGAGTAGACACCATGGCCATGTGAGGGCAGTCTTGTACATGCCGAGGAGAGAAGGGCTCATGGCCTCCGCGTACAACGTGAAGTTCTCATAGCCGGGGATTTTGGCAGCCTTGATACAGCCGGCCTTTTGCGACTGAATCGTGAACGCATGTCTTGGGCAGCGTCAGCATGGGGATCACTGCGGCGGCCCAAATCCACAACGCCGTGTAGAACGCCCAATGCCAGGCCTTTTTCAGCTTGCAGAACCCAGAAACTATGGACTTGACAGAAGGCCCCACCCAGCTGAAGTGGAAGAAGAAGACAGCAGTGACATTGCCCCTCTCGTTAGGTTCCTACAGATCAACTAGAACGCTTGGGGCGATGCTGATGCTCGCGGCGATGAACGTACTGCCCAAGAAGCGCCCGACAAGCAGAGTAGCAAAGCTGGGGGGAAAGGCGCATAGGTATGTGAAGGCCATGTATATCGGAGTCGTGGCAAAAAACACGTTTCATCGACCATGAAACTCTGATAATGATGCAAAAAGAAAGACTCGGTGCAAAAGCGTAGGAGAAGACCGTGATTGACAAGTTTGTGACGTATTTAGGAACCCCAGAATTCTCAGAAATGAAGATCAGACTATCAGAAGGCAGGCTGGAGGCATTATTTTCCATTGATTGCGAGGAGGATTACAATGATCGGGCCGCGTGGTGGAGTGGGCTCTTGTATATCTCAACTCGCATAAGGAACAGCAGCCTGCGGATAGAATCTCTGCGCTCGATGAGGCATCTTCTTTGATAACACGCTCCCAGAACTACTTGCGTCCAATGACGACATGGTATAAAATGGAGGAGTCGGGACTCCTTGCGGGGACGAGGCAAGAACATGTAAGATATGAAATGCTATAATGTAAATGCAAGGATGTCACGCTGGTGGGGAACGAAGGATGGAGCTAATTGAGAAGGTCTTCATCGGAGGCGTGTGGATGTCCAGATCCGAAGCGGCATGATGCTGTGCGTCTTCAATGACAGGTTGGACCCCACGGAATCTTGTGGGCACGCGGGTGCCCCAGAGTTCAATGACATGCATGGCATTGTATGGTAATCGGAGGTTTTTTTGTTGGATTCACGTTTGCTCAAAGTTTCTTGACGCAGTCCAAAAGAGTCAATGCAAGATCATCCAGTGCCACCGAACATCTCTCCAGCCTCACGTCCGCATTAATGCTTGGGAGACGGTACGTCGCCGTGCTACTGCATGCTCAAGCTGACTGAATGAGGGCTAAAACTTTAATATGATGCCTGTCAAGTTGTACCAAATATCATTCTATGAAGGCCAAGAGTGCATGACGCTCTCAGGGAGTAAATGTCCGGGAATGCGGGGTCAAGATCGCATTCTTACATCATTCCGAAGCCCAGTCGTAAATGATGCTGTCATGATCACATGCTTACATCAAGCGGCCCAAAGATTATGTCAATCTCTTTTAATCTTCACAATGCCACATAAACTCCTCTTAAAATTCCTTACTTCTAATTCCAAACTAAAATTCCAACGCACAAGACCTTGGATCACTAGTCATCCTTGCCATTGAAGTCCATCAAGCAAACCTTGGAAATGTCAGGTGGTGAAAGCGGTCAATTCAAGCCCGTGGAAGAGAAGCAAGCTCAAAGCCTGCCCGGGTATGTGATAGTCGGAGTGAAAGGACGTGTGCCTCGCAGACAACTGTCTAACCCGATAGTTCGCTAGCCGAGAGCAAGATCTCGCGCCAAAGAGCGAGCCCACCAAGTTGGAAGGCAAAAATGATTTCCAGGAGTACCGTGCAGCTAAGAAGCTCGAAGGAAGCAAAGCTCTAATCACTGGCGGAGAGTAGGCACAGTTCATCTCCCCTCAACTTTATCGTGGCCTAACAGCCAGCAGCTCGGGCATCGGCCGGTCCGTGGCCGTCCTATTCGCCCGAGAGGGTGCTGATGTGACAATCGTCTATCTCCCAGACGAACAGGATGATGCTGAAGAGACAAAGCAGCTCGTTGAGAAGGAGGGCAAAGACTGCCTGCTCGTTGCTGGAAACCTTATGGAAAATGACACTTGCAAAAACGCGGTTCAGCAGCATGTCGATAAATTCGGCAAGATTCACATTCTGGTCAACAATGCTGCGAAGCAGGTTATGTGCGAGGACTTTAGGGATATCAACCTTGACGATGTGGAGAGCACGTTCCGCAGTACCATTCTCCAGACTTTCGCCATCACGAAGTACTCGCTGAAGCACATGGAGAAGGGCGGCTCGTATGACCCCAATATCTCCAATTGATCTGATAGCCGTGCTCACAATGTTCAAGCATCATCAACTCAACTTCGACGGTAGCCTTCCGCGGCACCGCAACCATGATTGACTATGCGTCCACCAAGGGTGCTATCACCTCATTCACGAGGGCCCTGGCGAAGCAGCTGGTCTCTAAGGGTATCAGGGTGAACGCAGTCGCGCCTGGACCAGTACACACGCCACTTCAACCGGCCTCCAGGCCGGCAGAACAGATGGAAGGCTTTGGGAAGAAGTCGCAGCTCGGTCGCCCGGGACAGCCAAGTGAAGTTGCTCCCAGCTACGTCTTTCTTGCTTCGAAGGACTCGGAGCTGTACTATGGTCAGATCTTGCATCCTTATCCATTGGGAGACTAGGTCCTGCACGCTGAAGTGGGGAAGTTGCGAGCTTGATGGTGAGGCATGGCTGAGGGTGGCGGCCGGGAAATAATGATTCCAACCATCGCAATGGTGATTAAATATCAACATACGGCTGCAAGTCTGTCCACCAATCTTGAATTACACCCCCGTGAGTGTGTCGGCTTGATCAAGAGAAGAAAATCTCATCTTTCGTCGTGCTAGCAAACTACAACGGGGTAACGAGTGAAAACTTGCGCTGCTGAGACGGAGTCAAGTATGGGGTGCCAAGCTAAAGGTGCTTTCGACCAGGCTTTGTGATCACACCAGTGAAACCGCGACTGACGGGAGCAGCGATGGTGTAATACAGCTTGGAGAACAAGCAATCGCTCCCATTGTTCAGCGTCTTCTGCAAGGCGCTTTCAAGTTGTGCATCCGAAGCAGCGGGCCAAGTCCTTTTGAGATGACGGAATGCAGATCAATTGATGCCTACTTGTCTCTACTGGTGCGAAATATAAGTCTGAACATGATGACCTTGCACATGGGATCTCATGATTCAAGTACACGGACTCCTGAAGCACTGAAAGTCCGATGGCAGCGTGTGTGGAAGGATGTCGATCTTTTCATGTCTCCCCTGAAGGACTTGGCACCTCAAGCACCGCCTCGCACTTGACCCCTTGCGGCGATGATGTGTTATTGCAGTGCTTTCCCCCCGCAAAGAATGCCCCACGGCTGTGAAGCAGGGTTGGCGTGCTGAGCGCATGTTCGCAGGCATGCAGGACATGGCAGATTTTCCTCCAATCGCCAAGGCTTAAAGGCGCAATGGAGGCCAATGATCTTGACCATCTCATCTGTCTGCAGCCCGGAAAGGTATGAGATGAGCAGGCCACGTTCAGCGGTGCCTTGATTAGTCGAAGATCACTACCGAGAAGGATGAAGGAGCCTCTATCTACCGAGAACCGTCTGTGGAAGATGACATTCATTCGAGTTTCAAGATCCTGGGGTAATTGTGGACAGCGCGTGAATGACACCAGCCAACCACCAACGGTCTGCAGACGCTTACTATGGGCTCCTCACGGAAGATCGACAGCGGGATGGAGACCTAAGTCAAGGTTATTCCGGAGATGCCTACAGATGTAATCTAGTTATTCTTGGTATGAGCATCGCGAGAAAGTAAGTACATCCAGCAAGTGACAATGTTATCGGAAGTCGCAAACTATAAAATAACGACTTTTCCGGAGTAACATATGGAAAAGAGTTCTTCAGCGAGCTCCAGTTTGATAAACGCCAACCCCTTCTCCCTTTACAATACTCAAATTTACCTTCTGCAATCATCCATCACTTGCCACCATGAAGTTCTCTCCCATTGCTCTGTTCGCCACGCTGGCCGCTGCTACCCCGATTACCTCCCGCAATACTCTGGCTCGTCGCCAGGCCAGCGAAGCTTGTCCCATTGGATACTGCACCGAGAATGGCGGCACCACTGGTGGCGCCGGCGGCGACACCGTTACGGTCACCACCGTTGACGCCCTGATCGAGGCCGCCCAGAGTGACGGCCCTCTGACAATCATTGTGTCTGGCCAACTCTCAGGGAACACTCGCGTCAGGCCCACCTCGGATAAGACTATTTTCGGTGAGGCCGGAAGCTGTAAGTCAAGAGTCATACCTTTTGCGATCGCTAGTAGGAACTGACAAATTCCAGCTATCGATGGTGTTGGCTTCTACGTTCGCCGTCAAAGCAATGTCATCCTGCGCAACCTGAAGATCACCAAGGTCGATGCCAGTAACGGTGATGCCATCGGTATCGATGAGTCTACCAACGTTTGGGTCGACCACGTCGACCTTTCTGGTGACCTGTCTGGCGGCAAGGATGATCTTGACGGTCTCTTTGATGTTTCTCACGGCGCGGATTGGATCACCATTTCCAACTCTTACCTCCACGACCACGTAAGCTTTGAACGGCACAAACAATCTAGCAGAAGTAGTGGCTAACTCTCAGTAGTGGAAGGGCTCCCTGATCGGACACTCTGACAGCAACGCCGGAGAGGACACTGGCAAGCTCCACGTTACTTACGCCAACAACCACTGGTCCAATGTTTTCAGCCGTGGTCCCCTCATCCGCTTCGCTACCGTCCATCTGATCAACAACTACTGGAACGGAATCATCGATTCTGGTGTCAACACGCGCATGGGAGCCCAGGTTCTTGTCCAGAGTTCTGTATTCGAGAACTCCGCTGAGCGTGCCATTTTCTTTGACTACTCCGACGAGACTGGCTACGCCGTTGCCGAGGATGTCGACCTTGGCGGCTCCGTGAACTCGGCTCCCGTGGGCACCCTGACCTCGAGCTCCCTGCCATACAGCATCCCTGCTCTTGGCTCAGGTGCCGTGAAGGCTGCCGTTGTCGGTACCGCTGGCCAAACCCTGTAATCTGATAGACCAACCTGGTTTGCTGGTCAAGATGAATAGCAATGGGTGGAAATTTGGGACGATGAACAGCCCCCTTCTCACACGCTCTGCTAGAACAGGCGTGACGCTTTCAAATTTTGTAAACATTTTCTCTGCACATAAGAAAGTCATGAAATGGTATTTATCTCAAAATGCATCGATCCACATGGCGCGAGATCCCAGTGGTAAACCCCAAGCTCGTTGACCAGCTCGCGATGGCAAACCTTCTGCATCCAAGCAGAATTTCATTCGTGAGTCTATCCATCCTGTCCAAAACTCCAAACTCCCTGAGAAAAGCAAGATCTAAAGGTCCATTGGCGTAAAAATATGCGCGAACCATTCGTCATCCAGTAGCTCTCCATCGAAGTCCGCAAGCTCAACGCCGTCTAGGGGTATGGAAGTGCCTTGCGTAGCCGGTGTTGGTAGACCCGTTGCCTCCCGTTTCGTCTTTGCCATTCGCTCTTCCATCTCCTTCTCCCAAAAATATTTCATCATACGAAGCATCTTCGCCGCCTTGACGAATGTGAACTCCTCATTGTCGTTGGGGGGCACCGTGGCTAGGTCTGCAGCTACTGTGCACCGTACTGCGAGCTTTTCCAACACTTGGGGAAGGTCGATGATGGTGCGCGCAGTGGCAATGTCCCAGATGGGATCGTCCATTGTCTGGAGACGGTGGAGATTGATGGCACAATGCGACATTTGCGCGAAGAATGTAAGCCCATAGTCGGGGCATGTAGAGAGCGGTATAACTAAGGCAAGGTCAAACCATGATTTGATGCTGTTAAGGCAGGCAAACAGGGCCTCAAGACGCTGCATGTTGGGGAAATTTGTCGGAGAGTGTGCTTGTGATATGGCACTTTCATGTATCGCGAGTTCCGTGTCGTGCAATCTACAAGCTACGATATCTATAGAATGTCAGAACTTCTATTGTCCAGGGTCAACTGTAAAATCGGCGAAGTGGTACTCATACCATTGGCTTTGACCTCTGGTGCAAGAGCCTGATAAACTGCGTGTAGCTTCGAAGACAGCGCCTTGATGTACAAAGTGGGTGGTGGTGAGGCCAACCCTATCGTGTCGCGAGGCGAATAGATGTTGGTAGCCTCGTCGTGAATGAGCTGCATTCTTACCATGGCTATAAGGGCGCGGTCGTTTGGTATCACTTCTGACTTCTCGAGTACGTCCAGACAATCGTCCATATGTTTTGTCCAGCGCATAATGTCCATTTTCTTGACAAAGGATGCAACACTGGTGGCGTCAGTCTCAGGAAACAAGCTACCTACAGGCGAGAGCAAAGCTTACGTTGCGTTCAGGAGATATGCTGCCAAGACGGTGCGTCGTTCCTCCATTGTCCGTGGGGGAGAGAGGGTAGAGCAGGGGCTGTTGAGGCCGATGGATTTCCAATACAAAAGTGGTGTAGAGAACTTAGAGAGCTCTTTGGTGAGGCCAAGATCGTAGACTAGCGCAATCGCGAGTTGTGTGTAGAAGCAAAAGAAGGGCTTTGAGCCCGGTTGTACGTTGATCCTGCACGCATGCGAAACAAAGTCAGCTCCCATATTCACTGTTTTAGGTTCATCTTGTCGTGACGATTACCCACCACGCCATGAATGCAATGAGACCAAGAAGGTAATCCATGTTTCTTTCATGTTCCATCATGAGTTTCTGACTGATTATCCATCGGATGCGCTCGCTCATATCCAGCTGTAGAGGTCTTGACCGCGTCGAGATGGCCATGATACACAGCCAGAGAAAAGGGCGCTCCTGGCGCATTTGTAGTGCTGAGGCATACCGTGAGAGGTCGACAAAGGGAAAGTATCGCAAATGACCGTCTCGAAAATTTATGAAAAGAAGTTCGGCCTCTTGTTGTGTAGGTTCAGGCCCAGACGTGAGACTGTGGCTATAGATTCCGCCATGAACTTGTGTAGATGAGGCCGGTGTGCCCTGGCAAATTGGATTTGTGGACTGAGATATTGATGCATAGTTTGCGTCCTCATGTGGTGTTGTTGATCCTTCAGTTAAAGAGGCGGGGTCACCTGACACGGAACTTTCAAGATCTGCAGAGAGGTTTCCATGCCCTGAGGCCCTCAGGAGAACAGCAAGATGATCTAGCTTCTTCTCCAGATGAGCAGTACGACTGTTGACTTGCTTCTTGGATCGTTTTCTTACGCTGGATGCTGACTGACATGTTTTGCTGAGTCGATGACACCTAGTTCAGGTGTCAGCGAGACGATCAGGCTCAAGAAGCCATGTGGGATGAATGAGGGTCAGGCTGTTGCCAGAGTCACTCAAGAGGGACAGCACAATTGTCGTACCTTTCACATGCGCCTCCAACGCTCCTCAGCGTGCATTTGCACTTGGCTTTAGCGCAATTGGTACAAGCCCTGCCATAAGGCGCCGGGGTGCCGTCGGAGACAGACTCCATTTCCGTGTTGGCGTGGCTTGGAGGGCTCGTGGTTATGGGTTGGGGGCTGCCCAAGTTCGGCCACCGGCCGCGGGATGAACACCTCTCTGGTTACCGACGGTGAGTATGTTGATGAAAGCCGGTCCGCCAAGCCTTATGACCTGAAGGAGACGCAGTAATAAGGATATTTGCCTCAGCAGAAGACAGCCTCGAAGCAGTATTTCTGGATTGGAAAGTAAGCATGGGACCATCAAAGCGGGATTCAAGAGATCGGACTATCCGAAATCCGTGTTCTATCCGCATCGGGCTTGGTAGTGCTTATGTAACAAGGCATTGGAATAAAGTTCAAGGTTGACTCTTAGAGAGGGGCCGGGATTCTGAATTCCGTTCCGTTTTTTCCGAGACAGTAGTATCGAGGCCTCAGCCCCTCATGTCCTATTCACCGACAGGATATTGAACGGTATGAGACCAGACACCAGCCAGCCCAATTGTGTGTTGGACCAGCTCTTCTGGTCTTTGCGCAGACCTTCAGATGTGCAACCTTCTCCAGCGGCAACATCCTCCTAGACCGCCTGCGAGCCTCGTTCAGATTCTATCAGTGCTTCATTTGAAGTAGAGTGAAGAGGTCTTCCAAGCGTGGTCCGCGGACAATGTAAAATAGATATAGGGATATAACATATCTGCGTTCTAACCCTCCACAGTCCTTTTATAATATCTCGCAGCCAAAGCCCCTGACTAGCCCTCTGTGCCATAGGCCCGCAAGGGTCTCCTAACGGATCCCGAGCACCAAACACTGCCGCCAGCGCTGTGATAGCTGCTGGCGGCAGAGCCGTTGCCTTATAGACATTTCGTTACACAAGCTGGCTTGCGAAGTGTGCTCCAGGCGTACTCGGATATTTTCACTGGGGTATTCTGTATTGCAGCTGTCATTTCGAGTGCAGGCTTCTTCTCCGCCTGGGGCATGAAATGGAAAGATGCTCGCAAGAAGAACAGGCCAGTCATCTCTCGTGACGACCGTGCCGCAAATGAGTGCTGCACGAAACGTGTTAGCCGTTGGTTACGGACGGTTCAAGGCTAATCAACCATGGCGACATATGCACACTGCTTGCTAGTCGATTGAAGCATGATAGAAAGTGAATGCGGGACAAAGTGTACACATCTACGCTGTCTTGGCCTGAGCTGTTGGCACTGCTTACAGGACGAACGCGCAATGACGTCCTCGTCGACGAGTGGAAAAGTGGACTATAAAATACGCGTATCCAACAAAACCTTGGATGAGATCAGCGCACAACACCAGCGGCTACCACCAATCATCGTCCGAACGTGAGCCCGCCAGTAGCTGAAGCAGAGTGGCCAGTGCAATTGAATCGAGGGTAGAAGGATCCTGAGCCTGTGGCTGCAAATATGTGACCCGCGTATCAGGCTGCATACCACTTGTAGTGTTGGAGCCTGTGACGTCTGAGGTGTCGCACTTACTAGGTAGAAGGGCACAGCACCATGAGGTGTCTTATCATCAGCAAGCTCCGCAACACTGCGGTCCATCAGTTTCCGTGTATACTCTGGATTCTTCCTTGCGGCATTCGCGAATTTTCGTGGTCATCACCAGCCAGTCCAGTCCGATGCAAAGTGATCGCCAAAGTTTGTCGGATGAGTTGCCGATCGAAACGGCATCCGAGAAACTTAAGTTCCTCGAAAGCCCATTTTTGATCACGCGAAGAAGCAATGGCAGCGATGCTCGACACAACGCGACGGGCGACGACCAGCCTGTCCTTAGAAAGAATGACGACGCTACGAATCTTGAAGTGTTCTACGACCTTTTCTTTGCTGTAAGCTTCCATAGAAAACACCCCTACACAGCCATTTCTCCATCGCAACCACTGACCGCCATCAGGCTGTAAGCGTGCTCCTGAGTATATGTCCTGCCCAACAGCCACTAATCGCGACAGTGCTTGAACCTTTTCAATCAAAACCAGCAGATGGCTACGCTTGATGGTCTCTCTGCATATGTTGGATTCTTTTGGTCAGATCCCCATCTAGGTCTTTGCGGCTGCTGGAAATACCTAAGGACTGACTTTAGAGGCAGTCTTCTCTGGACGACCTGGTTTTTGACCAGTATGTACGATGTTCGCTATGTGACCGACAGTATTTTTGAGCGCTGCTGTCGTGGGATTCACTTTGCAGTATTTGTCGGCTTTGTGACTGTTTCACCCAACTTCGATCCAAATGACCAGGACTTCCGGGTTTTTCGGACTTTCTGTGAGAGCACACCCATATATGATTTAGCCTCCTTTCGACTGACGGAATGGTCTAGCTCTCATATTGATGGTTTCTCGGCTCTGTCTCGCTGTCGAGTATGGCAGCGTCGTTTTTCACGCTCGACGACACAAAGCAATGAGAGCTCCTCTCATCTGGATGGTGTTGATCAACACCTTCAATGCGATGATATATCTCATTGTAACGTTTCGCTTTGACGATCAGGCTGACCGAGTATTCTATAGTTGGTTTCCTGTCTGTGCAGGTATGAAAAGAAATGCTTGAAGTCGACAAAACCCCTAGACTAAGTCGTCTGTGTTTAGTTGAGATCTTGACTGCGCTCGGCATGTCGGTCTTCTACCCTGTCCTCAGTTTTGAGGGTACCCCGTTGATGCGAAGACTGAGCCTTCTCACCCTGATATTTTTCGGCGAAGGCATCACCGTGGCTTGTGCTTCGATTACCAAGGTAGTGAACGCGGACGGACACGATGCGTGGAGTATGCAGTCCCACTTCCCAGAAATACTGCGAGCTGACTTCGTGCGCTTCAGCCTATGACACTATCGGAGTAGTATCTGCTTGTATAGCTATCAGCTATCTTGTGTTTATGATTTATTTCGACTGGCTACAGCGACTCTATGCCTCGCGGTGGCGACAGATTAGTTGGACGCTTGTACATTTCCCTCTGCATCTAGCCCTCACGCTGTTCATCGAAGGATGTGCACAGTACATCATCTTCTGGAAGACCTCTGAATTTCTTCGAAACCTCGGACACGACTGGGCTCTTATTCAAGAAGAAACAGTTCAGGAGAGAGAGCGTCTAGAACAAAACGGCGATCAAATGACTAGCAGTCAATTCGTTCAGCCGTACAGAGATTGGGTCGAGAATTTCTTCGAAGACTATTCTCCAGGCTACTATGTTTACCATTCAACCATAATCAAAACATTGGATGAACTGGAGAGCCTCGATATCCCGGCCGCTCGTCAACGAGTGAAAAGTTCAAACATGACGGCAGAAGAAGCACTCCAACAGGACGGAACGATCAGGGCCTTGGAAGAAGGGCTCAAGACCATCATCTTCACTGTTGACAACATTGTCAGTCTGAATTACGGCATTGACTTTTACGTCGATCAAGTGGAGACGGAGAAAATCGACCCCTCGGCAAGTCCTACCACGGCCGGACTCGACAACCAGAGCTTCAACTTCGCAGTAAGCTGGCGTTCCTATCAACGGATTCGCACCGTCTTCCAGTACACATTCGTCTGCGGGGGCGCTGTGCTAGCCATGGCGAATGTCCTCTACATCATTGCAAGAAAAGAGAGGTGGACCAAAGGTGCCGTTCTTCGTGTCATCTTCAACTTCCTCATCGCCCTAGGATTGGGTCTCGTGGCCTGCGTTTCTCAGAACACCATGGGCTTCTTCAATTACCACACTAGCACCTGGATCCTGCCGACCTTTGTTTTCGCATACCTGCTCGTTTTCATCGTGAACCATCTCACAGAGGAGCGGCGGATGGTTAGTGTAATTGCTGGCGGCCTCAGGAAAGGAAAACGACAGATCATGCCCTTGAAACGGCGCAGCAAAGCTAAAGAAAACATGAGGGAGGCTGACGAGGAACGGCATAAGAGCGCTTCAACGTAAGCGCTCACATCGTTGGCTTTCCCTTCCAGTCCAGGTTGTCTATACCACTTTGAACCAGTCTTGCATTCGAGCGCTACAGTTCTGCTCAGGGGACTTTGATTTTCATCTTAAGATTCCGTTCACGGGCGCCGGAATCGGGCCACAAAAGCCCATATTTTAAGCAAGACTACCAGTAATCAAAATGAACGTTGGTGGAACTAGCATTATACAAATGATTCATGCTAGTACCAATTCAATTGCCGTCGTAGCAACGGCAAGCCCCTGAGCTGCAAATTGTATTCATGACTCGAAGTTGCGACTTGTTCTCGACAAGGTTGCTAAAGACCTGTGTGGTGGCGTGGGGGAAGCAGGATGGCTGGGGGCCTTCTGTCGACGATTTGAGCCAGTCTCGACTCTGCTTAAGAAGCGTTGGCAGTTCCGTTACGACGTAGATGATTCCTATCAGCAACATACTGGCTGGCTTTCAGCCGGAGTTCGCCTCTCGAGGGGTTGTATCAAGTGTTACTGAAGACATGTCTGCTCATATTCGTCACCAACGAATGAAATATCTTGACGCCGGCTGGGCACTTTGCTCAAAAGAAATCATTTGCTATTTACTCCTGTGAAGGCAGCTGGTCAATGCGTATTGAACGACGTTCACGACTGCGGGTTCCTTTGTCTCATCTCGATCTCGCGTAAGGATTGTAGATCCGAGAAGGGGCTTCATAGTGACAATGCCAGTTGCATCTGCACCAGGGTGCTAAACCTATATTTCGTTTCGAACCAAGTAGCAAGCCATCGCGGTATTGAAACCAAGAAGCCGTGCCCGGAAGCTAGTTACTACCCGATTCCAGCTACTCTTCCTTGAAACCTATCATCTCGTTTCCAATGTCCCAAAGCTTCTTTGCGCTCTCCACATCGTACGCCCAAGCCGCGTGGCCACTTGCGCCCTCCTGCCAGGTCTTTCCAGAAGGAATGAGCGGGTCAACGGCGCAGTTGTTCAGATACTTGCCGCCGCGACCCTCCCACTCCTTGCTGACAGCGGCGTAGATTGTTGTGGCAGCTCCTTGAGGTGCGCTCTTGAGTTCGGCCTTGGCCTCGTCGGTCATGGAGGCTACCCATTCTGTCGTATCCATGTGGTTGGTCAGATTGGTGAAGATGACGCCGGGGTGAAGAGAGAGAGCGTGCAGCCCCTTGGAGCTGAAGCGACGTTCAATCTCATTAGCGAGGTAGATGTTGGCCGTCTTTGACTGTCCATACGCGAGCCACGGGTTGTGCGGCGTCTTCTCAAAGTTGATATCCTCGAAGCGGATGCCACTATCGTTGTGGGCAATGGAGGAGACGGAAACGACACGGGAGTGGAAATCGGGTGAGGTCCCGGCAAGCAGGGCAGGCTTCAGCAGCTGGAACAACAGGAAGTGGCCCAGATAGTTTGTGCCGAACTGCAGCTCGAATCCATCTTCGGTCTTCTCATCAGGAGTGCACATGATGCCGGCATTGAGGATAAGAAGGTTGAGCTTGTCGCTCTGGTCAAGGAAAGCTTTGGCTGCGCTGCGCACCGAGCTGAGAGAGTCCAAGCGCAGGGTGATCGCCTTGATGGGTGCGTCGCTGCTGGCGCTGGAATCCTTCTTGATGGCTTCGATGGCTTTCTCAGCCTTGGCCGTGTCCCTCGCAGTGATATACAGGGTCACGCCGGCAGCGTGGAGCGCGCGGGCTGTTTCAAGACCAATACCAGAGTTGGCACCGGTGACGAGGGCGACTTTGCCTGTGAGCTGGCCAATACGACCTTCGTCTTCGATGATCTGAAGGGCTGTAGGGCGAGCATCACCAGGGCCCTTCGGCGTAGCGTAGCTGGCGGTGTATCGAGACATGTTGTTTGTGAAGTGTGTGTCTGAGTGTGAGAGAGATACAGAGAAGTTTGTATGATGTTGGAAGATGCGATGCGAATGCTTGATGATGAATGATGTATTCCCAGTCAATCATCTACTACATAGACTCCTTTTATATCTTCTTTCACTGGCCTATTCACCTCCTTCGGATGGCTCGTTGTCCAACAGACATTCTCATGTTGGCCACCGCTTACAGATCTTAGGCCTCGCGGGCCAGCCCAAAGTAGGCTAGTTGTGTGGACCACCCTCCCGTATCAATACGGCGAACTAAAGTTCCTACGCTTAGAAAGAATCTTGACTCGACGTCCGATTGTCTGACCCACCTCGGACCAATTTCACGCCGCATTCCGTATGGCCTACCCTTCTGCAACTGCAACTGATCCAAACACGACATCGCACGGCCACTGAATTACATCTCTCCACTCGTCACCAAGGACACCCTTGACGTGACTTAGAAGCCCAGCAGGCCATGACCTGAGACACCAGTGCTCCCTGTAAAAGGTCATCAAGACGGCCAGGTGGGCCAAGACGGCGAGTGCCACGGAGTGCCGCGCCGAACACATGTCGAGAAAGTCTTGATGGACCTCGAGACCCCATCCCCAGATGACCTTGCCCTTCTCGGGCTCTCCGGGATTATCAACCAAGGTAGCTATTCGTTCAATGAGCTGGGAAATGGACGAAAGACACGCCATCTCCTGTGAAGGTTCGGAGAGATGCCTGACGCGCGCTACGAGCGGCTGGAACTGTGGGAATCTTGCACTGGGACCCTGGAAATCATCTCCTTGCTGTGTCATGGACGGCAGGAGAAGCCAAGACTCTGAAACCAGGGCCGGAGGGAAACTCTGCTGCACGAATGACGTTGTGCATCGCCCGAAATGAAAGGCGCGCAACAATTCGTCCACAGGATCGAACTGAGTTGGCTGCAAAGCGCGCAGTTGATGGGGTCGCATGAAGGGCTCGGCCACCGCGTACATGGAGGTGAACGCGGAGAAGCCCAGCAGCGCTTGTTGGTCCGTGGCTTCAGGCGACTTGAAGTGCGGCTTGACGCGACTGAGTGCGGTCTGTTGGTGAGCGACGGCTCTTGCGTACCATTTGAACCGAGACTGGTCTTCGCTGTAGAGCTCTAATGCCGTGAGGGCGAGGATACTGTTCAGTAAGTAGTGGTGAGAGAAACCCAATCGAACGAGACCAGACTCCAAGCTCCGCGCACTATCAGAGAGATGGCCGGTGATCTGACGGCGGTGCCATTGTTCGAGGAGCTCCAGATCAGCGATGCTATCTTCGTTGAGAGGCGTGATTGTCAGGCTCGGTGCAGAGTAGCTGCACGATATGTCGGCACGGTGACATGGTCCGCATTGGGGATGAACCTCGTTGCACTACGGGGCTTCAGCTCCAAAGCCTTGGAAAGACGGGGATGTGTGGTACCTTGGCGTGGCGCTCTTTGCATTGCAGACACCCGTCTCGAGACTTACTGTGCGCTTTGCGCCTCCTAACAATGCTCGTCATGAGGATGTGTCACTGACTGGTGCAGTAGGCGGTTGTGTCTGGGCGAGGGCTGTGGAGTTTAAACAGCCGTAAAGATACGAGCTAGCGCGAACATATGGTGGATCCCGGCCACGGATGACTAAACAAGCACAAACTTCCACAGGGCAGTTGCTTTGCCAGTCAACAACGTGGGCAAACGTAGTGATCGTACTACGTGACTTCAATTCCGTTCGCTTCGATTCGACAGGACATCTGGCCTGACATGACTCATGTTGGAGACGCAAAGAGGGAGGCCACGTCGACCCCGCATCCGTCTTCTTCGAAGAAGCCGCAACGATCCCCCAGATCCCCCATACGCTCATGACAGCCGCAGTCGGACTCCCGTGATCTGGAACCCTGGAATCCTTGAGCGGCCAATGGATTCACTGGTAATCTATGGCCCTGCCGCACATGGGGACAAGTTTGATGTCTGCGCCCTCACAGACGATTATGAATTGCTCTGGCGACGGCCCCGTCCGCATCCACGCAGCAGCAGCGTGACCCTTCGCCGTGTATCGAGACGGCAAATTCATTCAGAACCGGATTGTTGAGGGCCAGGGCAAGCTTGCCACAACCCAATACGTCCATAGCTAAATAAAGCCAACTGCCAGGTGGCCCTGCGGAGCAACCGAACAGGGGAGCTGATTGGGAGTTAAGAACTGCGAGAACGTGTACATAAGGACCGCGGAGGGCCCTCCAAGCTGCGGAAGGCCATAATTCAGATGTATTCCGACCCCCAACCTATATCCTATTGCTGTGGTCTATGTGTTGAAAGCTTCTTTGCTCTCCTCCAAATCGAGGACAGACATGGCGTCTTGATTCCTCAGCCCCAAGACAAGACTCCACTATCGTCTGTTCTTCAATTCGACTGGGGATTCGTTCGGCATGCCCGATCAAGAGGTGAACACATCACAGGACTAGGCGATCTCAACTGGGAGAGACAAACAGTTGTAGGGAATTGCGACGAGGACTGTCCTTTTCACCCAGTGAAACAGGGAGTACATGCTGTTTCCTGCTATTTATACATCACCGCCTCCTCGACGGCTATTCCCGGCCCCTAAGTATTTCAGGACCAAGCTAACCGTGAAGCCGTCCAAGAAAGAAAAAAGAATCAAGAAGAAGTATTCAAACCCGAAAGAGAAGCACGGCGTCAATGTAAATAGATGAGGAAATAGCCCTTCGTCTACCTACCAAGGATAAGTTGTTAACCCAGCTTCTTCTGAGCTTGCACCATGGACAACTGGTATATTCCCGGCACGCCTTCATCTTTTGTCCTTTACTCTGCGGGGATCGTCGATAGGGGCTGGAAGTACAGCCTTCCAAGTGCTGAAGCGTGTCATACCAGCTCTTGGCGACGCTATCGTCAAGCCAGACGCGGCCAACCTTTGATTTTCCAGTGCTTGATTGGCAGGGGGATCGGAAATATCTCGCTAGAGGACCGCAGGTCGAACGACGCCGCTTAGCGACTTGCCTCAAAACGCTCAGGGGCGGTGCGTAGGATCCAGTGTACGGTCGTCAGAGACTGATCCTCCTTCCGATCGTATTCGTCCTATCTCCTCTAGAAGAGAGCGAACGAAGTCCCGAGTATACTATTGTTATGGTCGTGCATGCTTTGTGACAGAAGTTGTGGCGATATTGTTTCTCTGGGTGTTGCTGGATCTTGGTGTGGTTCCCGGAGTTAAGGCTAAGGGCGGGTTGATGCCTCTTGTCAGAGCCCCGCACCACATCCTCGGAGTTGGTTGGGCTAAAAGCTGTGAAGAGGGGGAAGTTTCTCCGGAGCCCCGAGACTCCGCGAGCTGGAGTCCACCGACGTATGGCACCTTCATCGCCTGGACGTCGCATCATGCATAAGTAGAGACCGGGTACCAAATGCCCTTTGCTCGATCTCCTTTGCTCAATCTCATCATTGTGTCTCTAGAAGAAAAACTTCTCATTGCCGTGTCCATCAAGACCAAACCATCTTCACCAGTCCGCGACAACTAAACAGGCAGACATCATGGCCCCTATCAGAGTGGGCGTTGTAGGCTACGGATTCGCCGCCAAGAGCTTCCACCTCCCTTTTATAAGTGCTATCCCCGACTACGAAGTCGTCGCCATTCTCCAGCGCGCCGAAGCTCCCGCCGATCCGGCCTCCGCCGCCGCTGGCTCGCACTGCACCGTCGACTTTCCCAAGGCGCGACACCACCGCACAGCGGACGCTTTTTTCGCAGACGCCGCTATTGACTTTGTGGTCGTCGCCACGCACACGGATACACACGTTGCGTTCGCGGAGAAGGCTCTCGAAGCGGGGAAGCACGGTATGTTTTTGTCTTGGCTGCAGCGGAACATAAAAGCGACGGCCAATCATGTCTGACCGAGTGTGGTGATAGTCATTGTCGACAAGCCCTTCGGCAGGTCGGCCGAAGAGGTCGACCGGGCGATTGCACTTGCTGAAAAAAAGGGGCGCATTCTCACCTGCTTCCAGAACAGGCGATGGGTATGACTTTAGTTCCGAGGTGGAAAGAGAATACTGACACGGGTATAGGATGGCGGTTTCCAGACCCTGAGGCAGCTAGTTCACAAGGGGGCCCTCGGTGACGTTAAGGAGGCGGAGATCGTTTACGACTTTGAGAACGCGCCGTGGCTTCACACGATGACCGCAACGAAGTACACCCCCGGCGATGGCATGGCCTTTGGCCTGGGTATGGTTCCGTCACCTTCCTATCCGACGATGATCACAAAGACCTGACAACGTCGTAAAGGAACCCACAGTGTCGACCAGGCTGTCACCCTGTTCGGCAGACCCAAGTCGGTGACGGCCTTCTTCCGCGCGCAGCGAGGCATCGAGAGCGAGGTAGAAGACTCGTTCACGATTATCCTGCAGTATGATGGTCCGCAAAAGGATCTCCTCGTCACCGTCAAGACGGCCGTGACGAGTCCCGTGGCGGAGCAGCTCAAGTTCTACGTCAGGGGCACCAAGGGATCGTATATCAAGGTTTGCATGGCCCCAGCTGATCGACGAACGACACCAACACTAACAAACCCGCCCAGCACCAGCAACGCAGCACCTGCCCTCAGGAGGAACAGATTGCGGCAGGCGCCAAGCCTCTTGACGAGGGATTCGGCGTTGAGTCGGACGACCTGCGCGGCGTGCTGACGACGTACGACGAGTTTGACTCGAGCGTCCAGACCCTCGATCCCAAAACGAAAAAGTACACTGGGCGGTACCCCACCGTTACCGGCCGATGGATCGGCATCTACGAGAACGTGGCAGATGCCATCAACGGCAAGGCGGACCTCGAGGTCAAGGCGCAGCAGTCGAGGGACGCCATTCGCGCGATCGAGCTGGCGAGGGAGTCCCACGAGAACGGAGTGACGGTCGCGTGGAAGTAGTGGTGTAGTAGGAATGAACAGCATTACAAGAACGGATCACGCGTACTTGTTACTTGTTGTTTTTGGCCGATTCATGCTCGTCCCAC